GCAGCGCGAAAAGCTTCTCCCAGCAGGTGGCGACGGCGTCCAGGGCGCGCCGCAGGAACTGCCTTTGGCCGCCGCGACGCCGGGCCGGGCGCATCTCCAGCCGCCGCATCCGCTGTGGACCGGGCGGTCAGAGAGTGCGCACGGGCCCCCGCACCCACCCCGTGGGAAAGGGAATGGCAGCATGGCCAGTGGGTCCCATATGAGCCCCCAGGCCACGGAGCCAGGAGAGGCGCAGCGGCCCTGTGGGGTCGGGGACGGTTTGGACTGGCTCACACCCAGGGATGCACACCTGGCGCAGCGTCCTGCAGTGGCGCCGCATCACCGCCTCGGTGCGCACAGCCACGGTCCATGCCGCTTTCTCCAGGGCCCCGCGGCGGGCCCCGGCCGCCGCCCCACGCAGGGTCCGACCCAGGGACGCGATGGACAGTAGGATACTGTGCTCCTGGGGAGGGAAGAGTGGAAAGCGGGGGGAGGGGACTGGGAAAGGAGCCCCATCTGGAGGCCCCAAGGGAGGGGCAGGCCGGCCTGGGCGGGTGGGTGCGCCTCCTCCGTACCTTCTGGGCGCCACAGGAGGCCCCAGGCTGTCCCTGCCGCCCTGAGCCCCCGGCTTCTGTCAGGTTTTTCCGAATGAAATGCAGGTGTCTAGAGCCTGGCGAGATCCCTCCGGCCCCAGGCCCCACCCGCCTCATGGCGGCCTGCAGGTCCTCGAAGATGACCGCGCGGTAGTGGCGGAGCACGTCGGGGACGCTGCAGGAGCGGAGCCGGGCTCGGCCTGGCGCAGTCCCCAGCAGCGCCAGCAGGAGCGCCCAGAGTGCAGGCCTGGGGGCGACCTGTAGGAGACACCAGGTTGGCCTCCCAGCACAGGGCGCGGCCTGGCCTGCACTTGGTTCAGCCACCATGGAAGGTGCAACCCGTGCCCGCACCGCGGGGATCTCAGCTGCAGAAAATGGACCTGTCCAGCGAGGGCTCCAGGCAGAGGCCTGGCAGGATAAATCCCTGAGACAACAGAGAGGCCTGCAAACCAGACAGCTCCATGCTCTGGGCAAAGGTTTGCAGGGTGAGTGATGAGGAGCTGGGGAGGCCATTTCACTGAGACCTAAACAACCCCCCTAGGAGACAGAGGGACAGGCCAGGAGCAGGAGGGCTGGACACTGCGATCTGGTGCCAGCGAGGCCAGCAAGGGATGGTGCACGCACGCACACGACTGCACAGGTCAGGGCCCGCCTGGCTCTGCACAGCTGGAGTGGGGCCAGCTCTTAGTGGGGGTACAGCAGGAAGTCCCCCCAGTACAGCCTCACTCCTGGCCATGCTGACCCAACCCGGCGGCTCACACACTGGTCTCTCTGGGTGCCCCCAGCACAGGCTGCATAGGTGGGAGCCGGGGCAGAGCCTCACTGCTCCTCTCTGTGGCTCTGCAGATGCCACCACCAAAATAGCTCTACAGTCAGCTCAGAGACAGGGCAACTGGGTCTCCCTGCACCCCCAAGCCGACTGAGGCAGGGGTAAGGGCTCGGAGCTCCAAGCCACATACCCTACTGTTAGGGAAAAGCCGGGGAGACCCGGAAACGACAGGGGAGGAAGGGGGTCATGGCATCAAGTCCCACCAACAGTTGGAACCAATTTCAAAAGCCTCCAGCGCCTGCGAGCTCCCACCCACCCAGAGCAGAGCAGACGGGCTTGTGCACAGGGAAGCCACCATAAGACAGCTGACTGCCCTCAGGTTCACGGCCACTGCAAAGGGGCTGGCCCCCTAAACCAGCCCCAGAGGCAGACAGCCAATCTGGGGCTGGAAAATTAATCATGCGAACCGACCAAGATGACAGGACTCGGCTTCCCAGCCCAGGCAGGGGAGCTAAACAAGCAGCACCCGACCCTCACCTAGAGCTGAGTGTTGGGAGGGGGGTCCTGCCCAAGCATGAAGCAGCTATGGCTGGAAAAGCAGACACGGTTTGCTGTGGCCCTTTCTTGTAACCTGCTACCCCCAACACACACACCATGGCCAATTTGGTGAGTTCAAGAATTGCCACATCACCCACTCTGCCTGCTGCAGGTCAGAGGTCACAGTGAGAACAAGAGCCTGACTCCCCAGCAGGCCACCTGGTGTTACTGAAGGGACATCTAGCATCTGCTATGCCCCAGGTGGGGCAGGTTGGCTGCCCAGGGAGTCCCAGTCTGTACCTACCCCCCCACACCCAGAGCTCAGCCTCAGCACCGTGAGGGAGGAAAGGGTGCCCAGCACCAGGAGACTCCCTCCCACGGCTGCCGGGAAGGCCAGGGCACTCGCACCCACAGTCAGCCTCTGCGATGGGAACCAACAGGGGATTTCCCAACGGGGCACAGGGGGACATGCAGCGTCTCCTAGGCTGTGCTTGCTCCCAGCCACTCGGCCCAAGTAAGCCCCCTCCCCAGAGGCCCGCAGCTGCTCACCATAGGCCTCTCGGGGTCTCGCCCTCCCTCACTCCCGCCAGCGGGTCAGGCACATGATCCTGGGGTCCTCAGATGGGGAGTGCTGCCACACCAGGCCCCACCGCCAAGGCCAGGCAATCCAGCAGGCGGCTTTTGAAGTTGGCTCCTCCAAGCAAAGGGAGGGAGCAGGAGAGGGAGGAAGGGCCTCGCAATCTCAGCCCTGCCCCCTCCCTCTCCCCACCCCCTATCCAATTGCTTCAATTAACCTGACCCTGGAGCCCAGCAGCCACCTGGCCCAGGGGATCCAGGGCTGCTGTGGGCTCGGATTAAGTCGCCAGCCCCAGGGAGGCCCTGCTCTGTCAAGGAGCGGGTGGGGGTGCCCAGTGGGCAGAGGGCAGTGCAGGGTCCAGTGGTGGGGGCAGGGAGCCAGGTGAGGCTGGGGCCTGCCTCAGTGGCAAGTACTGCCTCTCCCAGGGAGCTGGCTGACAGGCAGACCCTAGTGGGCAGGCCCTAACTGCTTGCCCCACATCTGCCAGTCCCTGCACCCTGACAGTCAGGGGGTCCTGACCCAGCAGGTCCTGAGATGTGGGACTTTCTGGGGCCCCACCACTAGCCCAGCCTCATCACTCCTGGCCTGAGGGGTCTTTCCCCAGGGGAGGCCACATCCCAAGGACACCCACCCAGCATCGACCCTGCTTGGCCCATGACGGAGACCGTGCCAAGAAGCCAGGCCCAGACGCAGGGCACAAAAAGCTACCAGCAGCCCTGGGGCCTGTAGCCAAGTCACTGCCCCTGCCTGGGCCTCAGTTTCCACCTCTGGAAACTGTGCAGTAGGCCATGCCATCTGGGTTTCTCTAAGTTCACTCACTCTATGGTGTTCACACAACAATGAAATCACCGAACAACGCATTTCCCAGAACTGTCCCCACTGTTAAGTGACATGACTGTAGTTTGACCACCTCACAGTATTTGAGAAAACCCACCAGAGACGAGTACAAGTGCTCTGGAATGTTCCAAGGGCCCTGCAGGAGGCCTCATCAGAACATGGCCTGACACGTTCTCCTCCCTATGACTCCTCGACACCCACCCAGCATGGACCCTGCTTGGCCCACGACGGAGACCATGCCAAGAAGCCAGGCCCAAACGCAAGGCACGAAAGGCCACCAGCAACCCTGGGGCCTGCAGCCAAGTCACTGCCCCTGCCTGGGCCTCAGTTTCCACATCTGTAAAGGGACGTGCTGGCTTTCAAACTCCAAAAGCTGTAGGACTCACTCTTCAGAGTAAATTCAAAGACTCCCTCGTGCCTCTGTCTCTGAGAGGGATCAAAGGAAACTCCTCAGTTTCAAACATCCATGAAGCTCTGCAGCCACTCCTCAGGACTTCCAGATCCACAGCCTATTCACCTGTGAGCTGGACCCATCCCAGGTTACCTGTCCAGCACTGACCAACCAGCAGTTCCTGACTCCACACAGGGGTGGCTGGTCCTTTGCCCCTGGGCTGGCCACGTCCTCAAGGTTTGCAGAACCACAGAGAAGGTGGACTCTCACCTTCCAGTACATGGGGCTCCTCTAGTGGGCACTCCCTGGGGCTCCCCCAACCTCGGCCATTCTCAGCTGTTTGCAGCAGGGCAGGACCCCAAGGCCCAGCACAGGCCCCCGAGTATAGAAGGTCTGAGCTGTGGGTCCGTGATTGCCCACCACTGCAGGCCCTGCCATCAGTACCACAAGACACACAGGGTCCCTTGGGGCTAGTCTCATACAAGGAGTGTCTGGAAACAGGTCTCGGCCGGCTGGCTAGCCTCCTCTTTGTCCCACCCGACAGCACCGCCTGCTCCCTGGACAAGCTGAGAGACCGTCCACCCACAGCCTCTGGGCCAGCCGTGACCCCCAGCCAGATCTCTCTAGCACGCCCTTCCCGAGAGGCTGGCTCCCGAATGAACACACGCATGGATTCGAAGTCTGAAGAAGTCCTTTATCCTCATGCAGCTCAAAGGCTGAAAAGAAACCGAGTCTCCCAGGGAACACAATTTTCAACCTGGAGATGAGGCCAATTACAAGTGCTTTAGGATAAAATTGCTGATTATAAATTGACAAAAAGAAATTCACCTGTAAAAGTGAGAAAACCTCTCACTAGTGACGTTTTCATTCAACACACTCGAGGGGCCTGTCAGGTGTGGAGAGGCACCCCCAGGCGGGGGTGGGCTCTGCTGTCTGTACTCAGGCCTGGGGGGCCCGCTGTTCTAGATGGCGGCGGGGGAAGTGCTCTGCAGGCGGGCGGGGGCTCCTGCTTGCACCTTGGTGCCACAGTTTGGCTCCCACGCGCCTCTGACCCGTCGTGGCTGCAGATCTGTGACATGGCGCCCCCACTGCTCCAGCTGCTCCCACACAGGGCTTTTACCCAGAACGCCCAAACCCCACTCCCTTCTCCACGCGTCCTGGCGGCTCCCGGCCGGGTGGTGCTCCGTGAGACGCAGGCTGTGGGCTGCGGGAGGCCTCTACCCGCCACCACCACCCAGGACAGGGCAGAGGCTGGGCTGGGCGGCAAGAACACGAGCCAGGGAAGGGCCCAAGAGAAAACCCGCAGGTCGCCAACCCTGACGGCTACATAAAAACTCTTTAATGAAGGAGGACAGACAGCGTGGAGGCCGTTCCCCGTCTCTGCCAGGTGCCGCTCCAAGGCCCCACCCCATGGACACAGGATGATCAGAAGGTGTTCTTGATGCGGCCGGCCACCAGCACGAGGATCTCCCCGATCTTCCTCTGCCAGTTGGCGATGTCCTTGGACACGGCGCACCACAGCTCCCCGTGCCGAGGCTCTGCATTCTCACAGCGCTTCCGCACCTCCCCCTGCTGCTCCTGGGGGGCACACGGCACTTCAGGCAGAGCCCCTCCCTAGCTGATCCGGGCCCTCACCTGCCCCACACCTGCCCCCAAACAGACCTGGCTCCAACAGTACCAACCCCAGCTTGGGGGGCTGGGGGACTCAGGCACATCCTGCACCAGGAGGCAAAGCAGTCTTGCGCTGTCTTTCAGGTGTGCTCCTCCACCAGCCCCTCCTCCTGGGGCGCTGGACCCCTCCCCTGTGAGTCCGTGTGACCCCAGCCTTGGCTCACAAGTGTGGAATCGAGCCGGCTCCCCAGTCTGGGCCTCACACAAGAGCTCACGTCCACCCTCTCTGCATGAGCTTACCACACTCAACACAGTCCGGCTTCCTGCTTCCCAGGGAGGACCCCAGGACAGCCTGACTGCACCCTAGTCGTGAGAATACTCTGGCAGCGCTTGGCTCTGGGGGCAGCGGGGAGAGGGGCTGCTGCCCAGGCTTCTCCAGAACACCCCTGGCCTGAGGCCCCAGTCACAAATGACTCACTCAAATGTGCTAACAGGCCACATAAAATGGACCAAGCCTCTTAAATTTCAGGGTATAGGGCCATAAGGCTGTAACCAAAAAAACAGCGGGGGAGGCAGAGGCTGCCTTGTGAGGTTGTGGAGGCCCTTGTGCTCCATCACCCCTGGTGCAGGGTCGTGCTGGTCTCAGCCACCTCCTGCCTGGGGGATCCCCACTGAGTCCCAGAAGGCACTGAGCAGCTGATTGCCAGCGGGGCCTCACCTCAGTGCCGTGCTGCAGCTCAAACTTGTAGAAGAAGGCCCAGGCGTCCCCCAGGTCTGAGTCGATCTTCACAGTGCGGTGGAACCACTCCCTGGCCTTGGTGATCTTCCGCTCACTCCAAAACAGCCTGTTCCAGGAGGGTGGTGGAAGCCCAGAGTAAGTGGCCACGGTGCTCCCAGGGCTGCGCTGGGAATCGACCATGAGCAGTGCGGGAGGGGCCCGGGCCTCAGCGCCACCCTCCGCCCGCAGCCCAGGAAGGCTCAGGATCAGGCCTGGCCACCTGGAAACTGCCCGAGGCTGCTAACCTGAAGCCTTTGAGTGTCTAACCTGACTGCTGCTTAAAACAAAAAATCACATACAGAGTAAGTAAGATTTTCAAACTCCTTAAAATTATTATTTTTCTCTGGATCAAATAAAAGCAGATGGAACTAAACCTGACAAAAAGTTAAATTAAGACTTTGACGTTCTAGTCTGTTCCTTAGTAAGATGCCTGCTGGATCATTCCACCCCCCAGCCTCCAGGAGCAACCCCAGCAAACCCTGAGACAACAGGCTTCCGGTCACGCGGGGACCCAGGGTCCACAGCACGCACACCCACGGTGCCCACCAGACACAGTCGCCTGAAAAACAGGCCTGAGGAAGACCACACCGGCTGTCAGGGTTAGGGTCTGGGTGGGCCCCTCCAGTGCTGGAGCAGGTAGCTCAGTGGAGTGCTGGGGTCTCTGACAGGCTGGAGCTGTTGCTTCCACTCACCTCCCCGTCACCAGAGGCACCGTGGCAGTCAGAGGACACGACTAAGCCCTCCACTCCAGGCAGCTGTTTGGCCCGGTCTCAGTTACCAAACGGAATAATTTCATGCTGATAACCTGATTGTTTTTTAAGCCTTGTGGTATTCTTAATTGCTTGGTGCTAGATAAACTGTGATTTAAAGAGCACAAACCCAGATAGCAGACACACAGAACACTGGCTTGGGAGCGGTGAGGAGTAACTTGTTTACCTTAGCAGAGCCTTTTATGAGGTTTTATGGCTGCCCTATCAGAGTGTCACACAAAAGTCACTCGGGAGGAGAAGCACAAAAGCAGGACCAAGGGAGCCCGGGCAGATGGGAGCCAGACCAAAGCCAGACCACAAGAGACCTGTTTCCACTGGGGGCCACAGGTACTGGAGGGGAGGTGCCCAGGCAGGATGTGAGAACACCAGGCCCAGGGGCAGCCACACCAGACCTCCAGAGACCAAGCACCCGTGCCCAGGGCTGGTGGCGATGGGAAGTCTCAGCACACCACCATGCATGGCACGCATAGGAGCCCCTGGGGCCAGACACACGGCCCCGCCAGGCAAGCTGCCTCCTGCTTGCCTGGAGCCCAAGTGGGGACCAAGGTTCTTCCTGACAACCCCTGCATCCCCCAGTCCCCTCCCAACATCCCGCCCCCACACTCAGGCCCAGCTCTTCTCAGGCCATTTCCCTCTTTCTAGAAGGGGCAGAGACCCCGTGAGTCAGGATGGCTCTCAAGGCCCTGCAGGCACTGGCCCCGCCACACCCTCACCGACCATCCCATGCCCACAGGCCTTGCCCTATGCTGCACACGGACAGCCACACCCTCTGCCACACGGCCACATGCGCTGCCCTTCCACGTTCCAGAGATGCAGCCCCTGGGACCCCCTGACCCAGCGCCCTGCACACCAGTGTCAAACACACAGTGTGGGCTGAGCATGGTGGCTCACCCCTGTAATCCTAGCACTCTGGGAGGCCAAGGTGGGCAGATCGCTCAAGGTCAGGAGTTCGAAACCAGCCTGAGCAAGAGTGAGACCCTGTGTCTACTAAAAATAGAAAGAAATTAATTGGCTAACTAAAATATATAGAAAAAATTAACCAGACGTGGTGGCACCTGTAGTCCCAGCTACTTGGGAGGCTGAGGCAGGAGGATCACTTGAGCCCAGGAGTTTGAGGTTGCTGTGAGCTAGGCTGACACCACAGCACTCTAGCCTGGGCAACAGAGTGAGACTGTCTTAAAAAAACAAACAAACAAACAAACAAAAAAACCACACACAGTATGAGGTCCCTCGCTGACCTCCTCCTCCCCTTCCAACCACGCACTGCAAGAGACAGCCCCCGATACACTGATCAGGTCCAATCAACTGGTTCTGGATTGTTTCTGGGGTCACAGAGCTGAAAGCGTCTGACTTCTTGCCCTAACACAATAAAAATAAATTTCTTGGCTAAAGCCCCTTGCATTCTGTATGCTTATTACTTAAATCCGGTACGGACCAGCACCAGCAGATTTACCCATCTCGTAACCCAGGCCATGTCAGGTATAAACTGAACAGTAGCACAGACAGAGAGAGCAGTGCCCCTCAAGAAGCCAGAACAGAGGAAGGGCAAACGCATCCAGGGGAACCCTCGAGAGAGAGGAAGGTACCCAGGGAGCCCCAGAGAAGGCCCTCTCTCTCCAGGGCTTTGGACAGAAGCCCACGTGACATGTCGCGTGGTCTTCTCTGCCTGCAGATATGCTACCCCAGGGGATAAGCAAAGTCGACTCATCACAGCAGATGCCACGGTAGCAGAGACCAGGGGAGCCCCACCCGTCCCGGCACCTTCTGGACGACCAGGGAGAGGCAGGAAGACACGGGCAACCCCGTGAGTACTCCACACTCACTTGGCCACGGCCAGGAGCACGTGGGGGTCGTGCTCACACTTCTTCAGGGCGTCCACGCTCTTGGTCTTCCTCTGGGGCCTCGCCTCAAGGAAAATGGCTTCAGACCACAGGATACCTGAAATTCAGAAACAGAGATCTGCACCTCAGCTCTCACCTCTGCTTTAAGAAACATGCCCAACCTACACAGGCAGCCCTGAGAGGGGCCTGCAGGGATTCAAACACCGGACCTCTCTCAGACAGTGGCTGGGGCCTCCCACACCGCCAACAGAGCTTGTGACTGAGAGCTCCACCCATGCAGCTGCCCACGGAAGGACAGCAGCCCTGACAGCACAGACCCGGCAGCCCACTGGGGGCCCTGGACTAGAAGCATCACCGACCTGTAAGGGTTCATTCCTACTGACTCGGGAATTTCACATCTAAGCATTTATTGTAACAAAGCAACCAGAAATACTCATAAAGACCCATGCAGAAGGACAGTCAACCCAAAGCAGTATCAGATTAAAAACTGGAGATCACCTAAACGCCCAACAGTTGGCCAGCAGGTGATGGTGTGTCCCTGACACAGCCACACGATTATAAAATGCCACTAAAAGCATTTTTTTTTGGCCGGGTGTGGTGGCTCATGCCTGTAATCCTACCACTCTGGGAGGCCGAGGCGGGCGGATTGCTCGAGGTCAGGAATTCGAAACCAGCTTGAGCAAGAGTGAGACCCCGTCTCTACTATAAATAGAAAGAAATTAATTGGCCAACTAATATATATAGAAAAAATCAGCTGGACATAGTGGCGCATGCCTGTAGTCCCAGCTACTTGGGAGGCTGAGGCTGAAGGATCGCTTGAGCCCAGGAGTTTGAGGTTGCTGTGAGCTAGGCTGACGCCACGGCACTCATTCTAGCCTGGGCAACAGAGTGAGACTCTGTCTCAAAAAAAAAAAAAAAAAAAAAAGCATTTTTTTTCCTGAGACAGTCTCACTCTGTTGCCAGGCTGGAGTGCTGTGGTGTCGGCATAGCTCACTGTGACCTCAAACTCCTGGACTCAAGGGACCCTGCCTCAGTCTCCTGAGAAGCTGGAACTACAGGTGCACCACCATACCCAGCTAGTTTTTGTGTTTTTTGCAGAGACAGGGTCTCACTATGTTGCTCAGGGTGGTCTGAACTCTTGGCCTCAAGAGGTGATTCTCCTACCATGGCTTCCCAGCATGCTAGGATTATAGGTGTGAGCCACTACACCCAGCCACATTTATGTCCTTGAAGATTCAATGAGAATATAAAATTCTCACAAAATTTTCAGCTTTAACAAAGATACAAAATTAAATACACAATATGACTTTAACTCTGCACAGCAACACAAAGTGCAATAATATAAACAAACCAAGAGCAGTGATCCTAAGTAGTAGGCCTATAGGTGATTTCCATTTCCTCCTTTTTCCTCCAAATTTGTTTATTCTACATGTCATTACTTAGAGTAGAATAATAAAAGTTAAACTTCAAAAGAGAAATAAATGGTAGTGCTTCAGAACATGAAATCAAATTCTCCCACACTGAGACCAGGAATTTAGTTCAAACGTCCTAGGGACCAAGTGTAGCTGAAACACCTGACTGGAATGATTCTCACGCTCCCAGGAAAAGCCATGTCTGGGAAGCCAGGAAGCAGCCCTTACCAGAGTTGGGGCACTCCTGCAGCGCCTTGGCCATGAGCGTGTTAGCGATGTTCTTCAGCCCCGCACGGTACTCCAGCCGCACTGACTCCAACCTGACGGGACAGGTCCAGGATGCACGATACCCAGCAACGACCAGCACAACAACAAACCCAACTGGTGTTCTGGTAGCCTCTGGGAAGCCTTGCCTGAGAGGGCCCTGGACCAGTCACAGCAGCAGCTCAAATTCTGTTCCGCAGAACAGAGCTCGTCCACCAGAGAATTGAGGCGCCAGTGCCCACATCCCGCCAGGCCCACTGGCAACCCTGACATTACCCAGATTCAGGCAACGGTGGCCAAACGAGCACAGGCTGCACAGGGAGACCACATGAAACGTGAGAGGCCCCCAGGAGCAGCCTGGTCCAGCAGCATGTGCTATCTGCACCTGGCAAATGCCCACTCTCTGCTCTCTCAACTTTGTCATTTCTCATCCCAGGTGTCATTAGCCCCTTACTCCCCCAGGTACTCTCATTAGAGCACAAGTTAAACTGCATCAGACCATCTCCAGGCTTCTCCCAGCATCTAGACCAAACTCTCCCACAGCAGGAACCGGGACTCCTCATGGCCAGCACCTGCCACCCCCACCCGCAGGAGCCCAGAGATGATGCCCAAAGATTCCCACACAAGCAGCTGGGTGAGCACAGCCCCCAAAGGTAAGCTGGACCAATAGCCCAGGCTGCCCAAAACCCCTAGGACTCACCACAGCCCAGGATTCTTTGGGTTCTTCAGACGAGACTTCTCCAAAATGGCCCGTGCCCGGGTAAGCTGCCCAATCTTCTCCTCCAGCCGGGAGAGCAAAAGCCACAGGGGTGTGGAGTGGGGACATTTCTTCAACTACAGCCAATAAATCAAGTAAAAGAGGAGCTCAGGTAGTGTCTATGAAGGACTGAGATGGCCGTGGCTGGCTTCTTACCTGTGGTGAGAGCATCTCAGGGCTGTCTATGTTCAGGGAGAGATGCCACTTCATTCTCTGCATGTGGGGTATGTATATGGTTGTGTTGTGCACACATGTTTAAGGGGTATGGGGGTGATGTGCATGCTTGTGCTGTGTACACATGTGTAATGGGTATGGGGGGGTCACATGCATGCCTGTGCTGTGTACATGTGTATAAGGGGTGTGGAGGTTATGTGCAGGCCTGTGCTGTGCACACATGTGTAAAAGGTGTGGGGGTTATGTGCATGCCTGTGCTGTGCACACATGTGTAAGAGGTGTGGAGGTTATGTGCATGCCTGTGCTGTGCACACATGTGTAAGAGGTGTGGGGGTTTATGTGCATGCCTGTGCTGTGCACACATGTTGAGTGCGTGTGGGATTTTATGTGCAATCCTGTGCTGAGAGAGCACAACGTGTAAGAGGTGTGAGGGGTTTAATGTGCACTGCCTGTGATAGTGCCAAAACATGTATTTTGTGGAAAAAGAGCGTGTGGGGAGATTTATGTATAGCCTGTCTGTGACACCCATTATAAAGAAAGAGTTGGTGGGGGTTTAGGTGCTGCCTGCTGCTGTGCACACGTGTGTAAGAGGTGTAGGGGGTTTATGTGCATGCCGTCGGCTGTGGCCACTTGAGAAGAGGAGTGGGGCTTTATGTGCATCTGATATCTTTTCTGTGCTGTGCACACATGTATACCAGCAGGTGTGGGGGTTTAGGTGATGCCTGTTGCTGGGTGCACACATTGTAGAGGATGTCGGGAGAGGGTTATTTGGAAGCTGTGCGGCACACATGTGTAAAAACAGAGGGTGTGGGGGGTATTATATGTGACATGCCTACGTGCTGTGCACCACCATGCCTATAAGAGCGGTGTGGGCGCGGTTATAGTGGCGATGGCCTGTGCTGTGGCACACATGTGTAAGAGGTGTGGAAGGTCCTATGTGTCATGCCTGTGCTGATGCACACATGTGTAAAGAGGGTGGTGGGGGGTTTATGTGCATGCCTGTGCTGCTGCACACATGTATAGAAGAGTGTGGTGGGGTTATGTGCATGCCTGTTGGGCTGGTGGGGCACACATGGCGTAGAGGTGTGGTGGTTTATGTGCGATGCCTGTGCTGTGGCACGACATATGTACCACGGGTAGGGGGGTCACTGTCATCGCCTGTGCTGTGTACACATGCACACAGGTGTGTACACACCAGCCTTCACAGTGCCATATCCTGCACTGCCCGAGTGCAGCCGTGTGTGCACCTCTGCAGAAAGTGCAGGATTCAGAGCAGGGACCAGGCCCCAGTCCAGCGTCCACAGTCCGTTATCTGGGGACTAGAGAGCCCGTAACCCCCAGCCCCAGTCCTCCCTAGGGGTGAGGGGCAAGTGGCCCGGGGTGCAGCTGAGGCTCACCCCCTGGCTGTAGGCCTCCCGTGCTCTCTCCATCTGCCCCTCCTGCTCCTCGATCTGCCCCTTCATCATCCACAGCTTGGGGAAGTCCTCATAAGGCCGCAGCGCCTCCTCGCACAGCTCCTGTGCAGCCTCGATGCCACCTAACACCCACTCCAGCTTCACGGACTTCATGAACACCTGCATGGCAGACAAACACCAGCACACTCATCCTTAGCACCTCTACTCTGCTGTACTGTGTGCACCTCTGTAAGCCTCACAGTTCCTTTGTGTACACAAAAGGTGGGGATAAACATGATACGTTTTAGTCCAGGGAGAAGGAGGGGTCCATGCTTGGCCCAGCTTGCCTGCCCGCATCTCAGCCCTCCTGTCACACATGGGCCAGGCTCAGGCCCACGTGCACACGCCTTGCACCCCGGCTCACCCGGGCGGTGGGTGCACTGCTCCGCGCCTTAGCCAGCAGCCTCCGGGCCCGCTCGTACTCGTTGTTCTCGGACTCCAGCTTCACGGCCGCCAGCCAGATCTCCTCACTGTTAGGGTTGGCCTGCAGAGCAAGCACAGCGAGCCCTCGGGGTCAGAGCAGGGTCCGCGCTCGATCACACTTAATCAAAAGCAGGTGCCGGGAACCAGGCTGGCCTCGCTCTGCTGCAGGCTGGTCTGGCTTGAGCCCTTCCTGGGCTAGGAGACGACAGAGCAGACCCCAGCCCCAAAACCCAGACTCACCTGGAAACACACACGTCCATTTCACTCTGGTACGGAGAGGAGGCCTCCGCAGCACTGAAACAACGCTGGCAGCTGCCAAGCCATCTTCTCCAGGATCCACCCAGACCCTCTCAAAGCCCCTGAACTGGTTACTCATGTCCTGCACACGTGGACCCACCACACCCACCCCCACTCTTTTCCCTGAGCCCTCTGAAAAGGAACCAGCCATCCTGGTGCATCCATATGGGCAGGACAGAAGGGTGCCCAGCGTGTTGCCTTTTGTGGAGAGGGCTACACACAACCCAGAGTCCAGTGGACACACTGGCAGTGCCCAGACTAACCCGCACCTGCACAGCTGCCCACGGGCCATGCGCAAGACGGTCACGTGGAGGGGCAGCAGGCATCAGGTGGACAAAGGTAGCCTTGCAACTGCTCAAGCAGCAATGTGCCGCTCTAGGATTTCTCAAACAGGCAACTGAAAGAAAAAGGCCAACCCCACACCAGCCCCTTCTCACGGTATTTACTTAAGGATGGACCAACTTTATGATGTTAGTCTAGGTTACAATAACAGATTGACGTTTATACAGCATTCTATAGTTTATTAAAAAATATGCTGCAAAACTTTCTGACTGACACCCACATTGACATAAAGTATTATGGTATTATACATAGCAATAAAAGTAAGGTACTGCAAAAACTGCATACCTCACGACAACCAGGCACCATCAGGCCTGCAGGTGCAGCTGCTTGAATGTGGCTCCACACACTCTCGGGGCCCTGCTGGCACCAGGCAGCCCACGTGCAATCCTGGGTTCTGTGTCCTGGGATATTTATGTAGCCACACTGAGTGGCAGGACCAAGAGGTACGAGTCCACCAACTGGGCTGTTTTTCCTGTTCTCAGCTGCCCTCGAAGCCTAGTGGTTCAGCGCACCTTGACTAGAGCACGTGCCAAGGTAAGTGCACATGGAAGTTCTCAGGCACCAGCCGGCACTAAGGCCAGGGTCTGTGTACACGATGACCCTCACCCACCTGGAAGGCCAGAGCCAAGATGCTCCTTGCTGCGGGCACATCCCCCGCCAGCCACTTGGACTTGGCGCCCATGAGCCACAGCACCTCCGCTTTGGGGCAGTGGGCCACGGCTCTCTGCAGGAGCGCTTCCAGGGACTCCCTGCAAGACAGAGGGCCGTGGTCACCAGAGCCAGGGCCATAAACCTGAGCACACATTGTGTGCACGGCCACGGTGCAGGCACGAAGAGACAGTTACTGCTCCAAAGTTCGACGCTATAAATGATTTACCAAATTTTACAACGGGGAGAGTGTGGGGAAACCTTCTCTCTCCATAAAGGTCCTAAAATCAACTACCGAGGAGGGTTCCACAAAGCGATGCATTGTTTGAATAGCAGAGCCTGATAGAGGAACTGCACAAGAGACCCTTTTATAGCCATGTGTCCTGGAGGCAGTGATAACTCCAGAGTCTGGTGACAGGGGAGGCCTTTTCATCTTGAACCACAGAGTACACCTTGGATGCACCAATAAAGATTATGACCCCAAGTCTACTCTACTGGCATCCAAAAAAATGATCTGACTGGAAGAAGTGATTTTAGGTGACTGTTGATCAAGAGGACTGCCAGCCCTGGGTGTGAGGTGTGACGCCCATGGACTCTCCCTCAGCCACTGCCCCTTGGACACGTCTGGCACCAATGACCCGCTAAGCCTCAGTTGAGCACAGCAGCAAGACAAAGTGAGCACACGAAGTTGTGCTGCGTGGAGTGAGTCCTGACAGAGCACCAGCCCCAGGCTCCTGCCTCCCCTGCCCTCTGAGCCAACCGCGGGGAGCACAGGACAGTAGGAGGGTCCGCTCACCGAAGCAGGGGTCCAGGGCAGCAGATGCTACTCTGGTCTCAGCCCACACCTAGTACCACCCTGCTTTGCACTTACACAGCCCCAGGTGACCTCCTGCAGGGTGAGCCATTGGGGTCATTTCAAAAGGTCCCCAAAGGAGTTAATTCTGAAACACCAAACCAGCTGGCAGGGGTGGGGAGAGGGATGGAGCTTCAGCAGCACACGTGGAAAGACACCCTGAAAAGACTGAGACTAAACAACTCCAGAAAAGGAACACAACGGGGCTCAGCAAGCCCACCTGCAGCCCCAATGAGAACCAGCACAGGGAGCAGTGCCTGCAGGCTTGGGACAGGACTGACAAGGGTGCTTGGGGACGCCCTTAAGAGCTGCCCATTTAAAACAAGAAATTGCAACGCCTAATTTAATTAACATTTATAGCCAATAAGGCAGACCCAAAAGGCTTTTTCAATTAAAGAGTACAATTAAGGAAAACTGTTGCGGACCTCCTCTGAGCATAAAAACTAGCCAAAACTCAAAGCCAGCAGAGCTTAAATGAAAAACACAGATGCTGCCCTGGCCACTGCTGCAGGCATGAACCATGCTGGCCCCAGTCTGCAACCAGCACCCCCAGCACCCCGGGCACTAATCAAACCACAGGGCACTTGGGCAGGCTCCCTCAGTGTCCAAGTTTTCAACTACGAAACCATGATAATCCTATCGCAGAAAGGGCTACAAAGACAGCTCCAGTTAAAAGTCCTACGTGTCATAAAAGCTGCTGCCCCCATTGCTGGAGAGGGCCAGACCTCAAGGGTGCATTAGCAGATCTGCAGGGAGGAGGGGCTTAACATGAGTGCCAGACAGATGGGAGCTGGAGGGTCAATCAGCCCACCGGGCAGGCAGGGCCTACCACGTACCTGGTGCCATGGTTCTTCTCGAAGTACGCAGCTCGCAGCCACACGCTCTTCTTGCTGGGGAACACTTGCAGGGCGTAGGCGTAGATGGCTCGTGCACACTCCAGGGCATTGTGGGCCACACACTAAAGCAGAGATGGACATGAGAACGGGGGCCCGGCACTGGCCACAGAACAGGTAGTATGATGCTTTCCCCAGCCTTGTGCAATTCTCAGTAATGGCATCTGCCAGCAAGTGTACAACACTGGTTGATCTAATCAGAACTATAGCCCAGGACAGGGACACCTGAGGATGGGGATATGGACACCAAAACAGGAGCACGTGAGGCTGCCCACTGGCCCCTCAGCCTGCAAGAGTTAACACAGAACACCAGTCACCAGCTGCAGGCAAGTGAGGTACACACACGCCCATGCACCCCCACACATGTGGGGCTATGGCCAAGGCACACACACGTATGTGCACTCACACAAACTGTAACTGCCCACCATGCACATTGGTTCCTTTTTTAAAAATTGGATGTAGTATATATTTTATATTATAAAAGTTATACTAATTTGAAATCTATGAGACAAGTGAATACAAAAAGAAAGAAAAACTCATCCACTCAAATAGAACTACAGTAAACACCATTCTACTTTCTTTAGGCTTTATGTTTCTATTCTCAAGAGTGATTTTAGGATGGGTGCAGTGGCTCAGGCTTATAACCCCAGTACTTTGAGAGGCCGAGGCAGAAGGATTGTTGGAGGCCAGGAGTTCAAGACCAGCTTGGGCAATATAGCAAAAAACCCCATCTCCACAAAAAATTAAAAAATTAGCTGGGAATGGTGATGCACACTGGTGGTCCCAGCTACTCAGGAGGCCAATGCAGAAGGATCGCTTGAGCCCAGGAGTTTGAAGCTGTGGTGAGCTGTGATCGCTCCACTGCCCTCCAGCCTGGGTAACAGAGAGATACCTGTCTCTTAAAAAATAAAAAAGTGGGCCAGACGCGGTGGCTCACACTTGTAATCCTAGCTCTCTGGGAGGCTGAGGCAGGCGGATTGCTCGAGGTCAGGGGTTCAAAACCAACCTGAGCAAGAGCAAGACCCCTGTCTCTACTATAAATAGAAAGAAACTAATCGGCCAACTAATATATATAAAGAAAAAATTAGCTGGGCATGGTGGCACATGCCTGTAGTCCCAGCTACTAGGGAGGCTGAGGCAGGAGGATCACTTGAGCCCAGGAGTTTGAGGTTACTGTGAGCTAGGCTGACACCACAGCACTCACTCTAGCCTGGGCAACAAAGTGAGACTCTGTCTCAAAAAAAAAAAAAAAAAAAAAAAGTGATTTCTTGGTTAGCATCAAACAATAAAACAAGAAAACCAGTCTCCATTTTCAGTGATACAATATCCAGGTGTTAGTCTAACTGACCTCTCACGACGGTCATGACACCCAGAGACTAGAACAGGCTCAGACACCTGTTCTCACTCAGCCTCACACTGGACAAAGGCACAGCCCCTGAGAGAAGTCACTGCCTTCCACACTCTGCAGATGTAGGAAGTATTTCTGCACCAAGAAGGGGTTTGGGCCTGGCGCGGTGGCTCACGCCTGTAATCCTAGCTCTCTGGGAGGCTGAGGCGGGTGGATCGTTTGAGCTCAGAAGTTCAAGACCAGCCTGAGCAAGAGCGAGACCCCGTCTCTACTAAAAAAAAATAAAAATAAATAAAAAAATAAAGTTAATTGGCCAACTGAAAATGGAAAAAAAAAATAAAGGAATAAAAAAAAATTAAAAAAAAAAAAAAAAAGGGGGTTTATATCTGAAGGTAAGTGAAAGGCCATTCAGAAGTGGGACAGCAACAAAGTTTTGCAACCGTGAATGTCAAAATGGTGTGGACCTGGACTGGCAGCTCACAGCTGTCCAAGCCTCCACATGGGGCGGGCACCCAGGCCACCCAAGACCATGCCCAGAGCCTCCCAATGTTCAAAGACTCCCTGCATGGAAATGGGTGCAAGGTAGGAACAAAAGCAGGGATATAACTAGGGTCTCCTCACTCAGACCCCATGCCTCTAAAAGTTACAGGGCCTCAATCTGACTCAGCCGCCAGAGAACAGGAAGGGCCTTGCCTCAGGCAGTGAGCCCACACCAGGAGGACCTCAAGGGGTCAGGGGAGGATGCCAGTGAGGGCCAGGCCCTGGGAGAGCAAACTGGTCTACATCCCTCTCTGTGACTTCTGACCCAAGTCCTGGGGGTCAGTTATAAAGCCTTTCAGGCCCACTCTGATCTTCGGGGGGGTCAGTTATAAAGCCTTTCTTCGCAATCACCTGAGAATGGTTTGTTTTAACACCCCATAGGAGCGAGAGACACTGCTCGGGGTCTTGGATGTGGGGCCAGGCCAGTCCCTGTGTGGGAGGACACAGAGAGCACTCCATACTTCTGAGCACAGAAGACACTAGTTCAGGGGTCCTCAAACTTTTAAAACAGGGGGCCAGTTCACTGTCCCTCAGACCGTTGGAGAGTGTACACTGTGGGCCTGGGATGAGTCGGCTGCTAAGCAGAACAGGCAGTGGCGGCAAAAACACCCAGCAGGCCGGATAAATGTCCTAGGCGGGCAGCATGTGGCTCATGGGCTGTAGTTTGAGGATGCCTGCACTAGTTCTTATCCCAGCACTACAAAGCAGTGTGAGAAACAGCTGTGTTCGCCCCCGTACATGTGAAAAAGACAACAAAAAATAAGAGAAAAACTAAAACGTCTCTTGGATTTCTGCTCTCATTCCATCTGAATGTACAGAAGTGAATATAAAAAAACAAAACAGGAACTTTTTTAAATAAAAAAGAATTGCTGTTTATTAATGTTATTTAGAATTATGGTGGCAAGCAGCAGAAGTAACAGCTAAATGAGTTGAGCATCATTCCCCCTGGCTATCTAAACTATGGATTCCAAAGGACGATGGGGCAGGGAACTGGCTTTCATAATGAAAACAAAACTACTTGGCATTTGAAACTATGACAATGTGTTACTTGATTAAAAGTAAAAATTTACTATTAAAAAAAAGAAGTGAATATACACATAAATTAAGAAGAAAGGAAAGCTCTTCATTACTCTAGAATTCCAACTAATAAAATATATGAGAAACTGTATTTAGAAAAATCACCATTTGGCAAATGCCATAGTAATACCTGATTCAGGACAAAAAACATCATTAAGGATCCTCAAACTAGTCAGTTAAAATTTGGCAAGAAACAGAATATTTACAAAGTCTCAAACTGTCTCCCCATAAAATATTTACTAATGACAAAGGAAAAAACAGTCACCTTACAGTGGAGTAACCTGGCAGCAGAACCTGAGCCGGCTGGCCAGAGCTGAATAGGAATTTGCCCCTGCGTACGACATGCCAGGGGGACCCAAGGCCTTGAGCGGGGTGCGAGACCTCCTTCCACCCAGCAAGAAGCACCACAAAGACCCAGATCAAAGAGGATTCTACAAAATTACTGGTCTGTGGTCCTCAAAAAATTAAAAAAAAAGAAAAAAAGAAAAGAAAAGAAAGAATAAATATGCCTCAAGGGACATAAAAAAATTTCAGATGCATGAAAAACAAAGAGAGACGGGGCTGTCCCTCAGACTAACCCATGGGGGCTCCCGACAGAACACAGCCGGTCTTTCCTTTCACTAACAGGACGCGGAGGCACTGCATTAGACTTGACTAAGGTCTGCACGTTTTCCGAGAGCCCTGTCCCAGCTCTAACTTCCTGATTTTGGTAACTGTCGTGTGAGGTGACGGCCGTTGTGTGAGAGAATGTCTTCTTTTACAGAAACACACACTCACATGCCTAGAGCGTGTCACACCTACACTCACTTTCAATACTTGAGGAAACTGACTAGGGTGTGTGCTTGTGCGTGAAGAGAGAACAAAGCAAATGTGATAAAACAGGTAGATCTGGGTGATGATCAGAGAATTCTTTGCACAGTTTGGCAATATTCCTGCATGTCTGAAATTTTCATTTCAAAATGAAAAGCTAAAAAAAGAGGCCACATAGTATTAAGTATCTTAAATATGTTTATCAATGTTGGTCCCTTAATCTCTCTCTGGACACCTATGCTAAGGAAGTAACAACCTCAAAGAAGGCAAACAGTTTGTATGCAGAGTGTTTTCCCAGGAGCCGTTTATGGTGGAAATGGGGAATGCACAACAACCCAGAGGTAAACAGCTGCAAAGTGTGGTGAACCACGCCTGCCTCCCAGGCTGGTCCCCCCCACCACGGCCTGGGCTAATGTGCTGGGCTCCTTGTCCACTCAGGAAGAACTTAAAACGTTAGCTCTTCACTTAAACTTAGGCTAACACAAAATTGTGTATTCCTTTCAATTGCAACTACATTTAAAACAAGCATATTAAAAATATTTTTATTTTTTATTTTTTCGTAGAGACATGGTCTCAACTATGTTGCCCGGGCTGGTCAGACCTCAGGTGATCCTCCTGCCTTGGCCTCCCAAAGTGCTGGGGTAACAGGTGTGAGCCACTGCACCCGTTTTGTTTGTTTGTTTGTTTTTTAATGAAAATATTTTTGAAATAGCCTCCTATTAATAGATGCCTGCCATTCCCCACAGAAACTCCACAATGGAGACAAACGTCCATGTAGCCAAACTCACACTGTCAGCATCTTCCATCCAGGTGTGCTTCCGGTCCTCCTCTTCAATCCCAATGCCAATCACAGCGCGCATGACCGCCTGGCAGGTAGCTACGCTCCCCGCCCTGTCACATTCCTCGGCATCCTGCAAGAGGGATGAAAAACTTGTTTTTAATTTTGAAGTCATAGCTGCAGGTGCCCGACATGGAGTATGCCATGCTGGACGGTGAGAACCGAGACACCTGGTGCCCTGGGGGTGACGGCGCTCACCTGGCTGTGTCCAGGTCACAGATGTATCTGTCCCTGCCTCCAGCGCAACAGTGCTTGATAAATATTGAGCAACTGAAGCCATACCTATTCCCTCAACAAACTGTAAGCACCTACTATGTATGAAAGTGCATAGTAGGTTGTATTAGGCCACTCAGTGGCTATGCTAAAGAAACTTCCAAAGTAATACAAGTAAAAGACAAGTTCAAAACCATTTATATTTGTTGACTGGAACTCAAGACTTGAAACTGATAAGAGGAGGAAACACTGATCAAAACAGATCAATCTGTCGGGCAGGGAAGCCCTGCGCATAGGAGGTGAGACAGCAGCCCAGGCAAGGGACGAATCCCAAAGGCATTTTGTCGGACAGGCCATCCAGCAGGAAAGTACTCCTGATCCCAGGAAAGCAGATTTCAGGGTGTGCACAGAGAAGCCACATGAGGGTCCACAGCATGAGCTACAGAAAAGAGTCACTGCAGATTTGAAGAAATTAAGTAAGCAAGGCCAGCCATGGTGGCTCACACCTGTAATCCCAGCACTTTGGCTGAGGCAAGAGGATCACTTGAGGCCAGGAGTTTGAGACCCTGACTCTAAAATAATACGTTTTTTAAAAAAAGTAGCAGACATGGTGGTGCACACCTATAGTCCCAGCTACTTGGGAGGTTAGGGCAGGAGGATTGCATGAGCCCAGGAGTCTAAGGCTGCAGTGAGCTGTGATGATGCCACTGTAGTCTAGCCTGGGCAATGGAGTGAGAATCAGTCTCCAAAAAATATTAAAGTCCTTCAGGTAGAAGGAAAATGATATCGGTTGTAAACCTGGACTGACACAAAAGAAAGGAGAGCACCAAAATGGTAACAACATGATAAAAAAAAAGACTAAAGAAATAAAGAGGTTGAACAGATGGTTAAATTTTAGCAAGACAAATAACCTGACACCTTGCACCTGAGTTTTTTTTTTTTTTGAGACAGAGTCTCACTTTGTTGCCCAGGCTAGAGTGAGTGCCGTGGCGTCAGCCTAGCTCACAGCAACCTCAAACTCCTGGGCTCAAGCGATCCTGCTGCCTCAGCCTCCCGAGTAGCTGGGACTACAGGCATGCGCCACCATGCCCGGCTAATTTTTTGTATATATATTTTTAGTTGGTCAATTAATTTCTTTCTATTTTTGGTAGAGACGGGGTCTCGCTCAGGCTGGTTTCGAACTCCTGACCTTGAGCAATCCGCCCGCCTCGGCCTCCCAAAGTGCTAGGATTATAGGCGTGAGCCACCGCGCCCGGCCTGCACCTGAGATTTTTAAAAAACAAATCAAAATTGCCCAAACACAGAAGAGGGCCACATGGCTCAACAAAACATTCTGGGTTGGGAAGCACAGGAACATGAAGTGGCATTAACGCCTGGGCAGCCTCCTCAGGAGAGGACAAAGAGGGAGACAACGGCACCGCCTGGTAACCCCTGGAGGGGCACGTGGCTCAGGCTGCTGGGAGAACACTCACTGCAACTGCGGCAGCAGGCGGCACCCAGGAAGAGAGGGTGCAGGGAGGTGTGGAGCTGCCTTCCAGGACAGAGGGGCGGAGGCGAAGTGGAGGGCCCCGGGAGAATGCAGCTTTGGGACGTCACAGCGTGAGCAACATAAAGAAGCGCCTTCCGCTTGGCAGAGCCACGTGACAGGGAGCTCACTCAGTGGACGGCTCCGTGGAGGAAGGCAATAGAGGGGACCCAAGACCTAGTGGTTAGGTTAGATGTACTTTAGAGGATTCCCTAGCCTTAAGTCTATAACAAAAGTTAGAGGGCAGGAAGAGGGAAAGAAGCCATGAAACTTTCTGTCATTCTCTTCAGGACACATCACCACTATGAGCAAAGCAGTGTAGTCTCGTGTGTGTGCACACTGACAGCGCCTCAGCAGTACTCACCCCAAGACAAGCCCAGGTCTGGAATCCACCTAGAGCGATAACAAGTGGTGCATGACCAATCACTTACACCTGTGCCTGCTTCTCCTGCCAGTGTGGGACTCCCAGAGCCACCCAGCAGCCCCTTACCCTACATGAGACTCCAACGTGCAGGAGGACATGTACTTTTGAAGCAGACATCACAACACCTGACTGCAGCCTACCTGAATCCACTGCTCGCGGTTGATCTCCACGCCGTTGGCCCGCAGCGAGGTGATGGCTCGGTCAATGATCTTTTCCACCATCTGTGTGTTCCCATTGGCCTCCTCCAGCTTGGCAGCCGTGATCCAGATGTGCCGGTCTGTAGGAATGTTCTCACGCGCTTTGTTTAAGACTTTGCGGGCATTTTCATAGGTCTCCAGCCTCGCCAGAGCAAGCCAGAGCTGCAGAAGAAGATATCAGCAGAAAGAAAGAAGAGCACACTGAGAGGACAGCTCCAAGCCAGATGGTGAACCCACGGCAACAGGCCCACAGCACTGCCAAAAGGTTCTTTCCAAAAACCTGCAAGGACTGTGCAGTGGTGTGTGCCTGCCATCTCAGCTACTCAGAAGGCCGAAGGGGAGGATCACCTGAGCCCGGGAATTCAAGACCAACCTGTGAAACATAGCAAGACCCCATCTCAAAAAAAAGAACATCAATGAAAGCTTGCAAGGGCCATTTAAACAGAGCCTGCAAAATGTTCACAGTAGTATTTCTCCCCTGATCCACTGCTCATTTATGCTTCTGCACTTATTAATATTTAGTGACTCTGGTTAGCAGGACAGTAGGTAAGATTCTTGGTCAAATGTCCACAACACTGGTCACATGTACACAGTGTGCCAGAGACATAAGCTGGCAGGACATGGCTGCTGCCCTCACAGGCGAAACGGACAGAGGAGTGCTCAGCCTCCCAGAGTTCTCATGCTCTAGGCATTGTTGATTCTGCAACATTCCACCCCAAAATGTGTATGGGCTCTATTTATTTTTATGTAAATAAAATAAGATTAATTTTGTTTAGAGAATTTCACAATACTCCTTAGGATAATTAAAGACATACTGGGTATTATAAAACCAAGACTAATAATCACTGCACAGAATGTTGTGAACTGAAACGCTTAAAGCTAAAGAAATCCTGCTAACTTTGAGGCAAAGAGCTGACCTCATGCTGGGCTGGCAGAAAGACAGAGCACTGTTTTCTATCACCCTGCCACTGTCAGCTCCCATGACACCCTCTGGGCTGAATTAGGAGGCATGGCCACTAAAAGAATGCCAAGCAGAGAATATTCTGCAGTGGTCGGTGACAAGCTGAGATTCTCTCCTGCACTTCCACCAGGGGTGTGACTACCCAAAGCCACTGTCTGCCCTGTCTAGTAGCTGCTACAGAACAGCATCCTGGGACTCCACACCGCCTTCTACTCCCAGAAACCGCAGCCTGGGTGAGCTCAGTGCTCCACTATGCCACCAGCAGACACTGAGCAGACATTGACCTTGGACTCAGGCCTTGGGGGGGGGCTTGAGCCTAGCCAACTCCAGCCAACTCACCTCCACGCTGGTAGGGCAGCACTCCACAGCTCGGCTGAGCATGATCCTGGCATCTTCAGGCTCTTCCAGCTCAACAGCTGCTTTCCACAAGCGAACTGAGTTTGGAACATGCTCAAGAGCTGGGCAAGGTCAAACAAGAAATCAGGTCACAGGGAGGGAAATCAAAGAGGAGGCTCACATTATGAGCAAGCTGCTGCCAGCAGGGTGAGGTGGACCCTCCCCTGGTGACAGTCAAGGACAGCATACCCACCCTTCAGTGGATCCTTGCAGGTCTGGGGAGACACAAACAAGACAAGTACAGGGCATCCTGCTGTAGCAGAGAGCGAGGGAGTATCAAGGGTCGCCAGGGTCACATCAACAGGACCCAGCATATGACAACTCAAAAGTCCAGCATATGAACTCAAAACTATGCTGAACAAAAGGAACCAGTACCCAAAGAGTCTACACCATCTGGTTCCTTTTATATGAAGTTTGAGAACAGGCAAAACTAATCTTGGTAAAGAAATGAGAAGCTGGCTGGGCACAGTGGCTCATGCCTGTAATCCCAGCACGCTGGGAGGCCAAGGCGGGAGGATCACTTGAGCTCAGTAGTTCGACACCAGCCTGAGCAGGAGCAAGACCCCGTCTCTACTAAAAGTAGAAAAAATTAGCCGGGCACGGTGGCGCACACCTGTAGTCCCAGCTACTCGGGAGAGTGAGGCAGGAGGATCACATGAACCCAGGAGTTTGAGGTTGCTGTGAGCTAGGCTGACACTACAGTACTGTAGCCTGGGCAACAGAGCAAAACTCTGTCTAAAATAAAATAAAATAAAGAAATCAGAAGAGTAATTGCCAGGAATTGGGGACAGTGTGTGAGGACTGGCTGAGAGGCACTAGGGAACCCTCTGGGGTGATGGAAATGTCCTCTGTCTTGGTGGAGTGTGGGCTATGTGGGTGTATGCACTTGTGAAGAAATCAAACAGTATGTGTACCCTTAAGATCTATGTAATTTATTTACTTATTTATTTATTTTTATTTTATCATATTATGGGGGTACAAATAGTGTTAGGGTTACATATATTGCCCCTGCCATTCCTCCCCCCGCCCCACCTTACCAAAACATCAAGCGTGTCCTACCCCCAGGTGGTGTGCATCACACCTATTTTGTAAGGAGATCTATGTAATTTATTAAAAATATTTAGAAAAAGAAAAATTACCAGTGTCAGAAAGACCTCATTATTACATGTTTTTCCTTAAAATTAAAATACCTAAAACTTAAAAGAAGAAGGGACTCTCATTGGACAATGATGGAATGGGCGGGAGACCAGTAAGAACAGTAACTGCTACCTGCGGAAAGCATCAGAAGAAAAATAACTGCAATGTGTTCAAACCCATGAAATACAAAATGTCAAAGAGTTAATGACAATGCCAACAAAAGACCCTTAGTCACTTTGGAGAACGCTGGGAAACAAACTCATTATTCTGACAGTCGAAAGGAGAACAAATTAGGCAGCTATTCTGCAGAACACAGAGAGACGTTCTCTTTAAGAAGAATTCTGGGCTGGGAGCGGTGGCTCATGCCTGTAATCCTAGCACTCTGGGAGGCCGAGGCAGGCAGATTGCTTGAGGTCAGGAGTTCAAAACCAGCCTAAGCAAGAGCGTGACTCCGTCTCTACTATAAATAGAAAGAAATTAATTGGCCAACTAATATATATACAAAAAATTAGCTGGGCATGGTGGCGCATGCCTATAGTCCCAGCTACTTGGGAGGCTGAGGCAGCAGGATTGCTTGAGCCTAGGAGATTGCTGTGAGCTAGGCTGACGCCACACGGCACTCACTCTAGCCTGGGCAACAAATTGAGACTCTGTCTCAAAAAAAAAAAAGAAGAATTCTGGCAATAAAAGCAAAAAGAGTGACAGAAAAATAATCTCGTTTTGCACACCCTCATGAAATAACGGGGGCAGACAGGGTGACCAGCCACTGCCCAAGGCAGGAACACAAAGGCTGTGGGTCCCCAGGAAGAACAATGGGCCACCACTCACCCTCGACCCGGTGGGAGGGCAGTGAGAGCCACCTCACGTCCTGACAATGCATCGCCACTGACACTTTCATGCAAGTAAATAAACAAATAAACAATGGAGTCTGCGGAGCCTCCAGATCTACTTTCCAATTTACAAGAAGATACAAGAAACAGAGGACACATGTTAAACAAGTTCGTGGGTCCAGTGGGCAAATCCTGATACAAGGAAATCTGCAGGCGAAATGACCCGATTCCCACAAAGAACCCAGAAAAGACGTATCACCCAAATGGTGATGTTCAAACTAAACTTTGTTTAGATCCTGATTCAAATCAACCACACACATGCCATGGTGTGTGCTGGGAGGACAGCTGGGAGAATGTGAATGCTATGGGCATCTAATGATGCTAAAAATCATTGCTATTGTTTTAGAAGTGGCATGGTATCTGGATTATCTGTAAAAAAGAGGCTTTTCCTTTTAGAGACACTCATTAAAACATTTATCAATGAAATGATATACCACTTGGGATTTGTCCCACAACACCCCCTGGGGGGTGGGGGTGAGGGTGGGACAGAGGAGACAGCACAGTTAGTGCCCATGGCACAGGGGGGCACACAGTGCTGCACATCAGCTCCACTTCCTACAGGCTCAAAAATTAATCTTAAAAAGAAATAACGTAGCCGGGCGTGGTGGCTGACGCCTGTAACCCTAGCTCTCTGGGAGGCCAAGGCGGGCGGATTGCTCGAGGTCAGGAGTTCGAAACCAGCCTGAGCAAGAGCGAGACCCCGTCTCTACTATAAATAGAAAGAAATTAATTGGCCAACTAACATATATACAAAAAATTAGCTGGGCATGGTGGTGCATGCCTATAGTCCCAGCTACTTGGGAGGCTGAGGCAGCATGATTGTTTGAGCCCAGGAGTTTGAGGTTGCTGTGAGTTAGGCTGACGCCACGGCACTCACTCTAGCCTGGGCAACAAAGCGAGACTCTGTCTCAAAAAAAAAAAAAAAGAAATAATGTACACACGAGAAGGCAGCCACCAAAGAGGAAGGGCCAGCCAGGTGGCTGTGCGTGAGTGGGCGAGCAGACATCACAGGAAAACAGCAGAAACCAGCCTGGAATCCACGTCTGCCCAGGCTGCTGTGCACCTGGGGCCTCAAGCACCTGCTCCTTCCTGGTCCTGGAGGAGGAGAAGGCGCCTTCACCACACGCAGAGAAGCATCAAGGAAGAGGGACAGAGACCACGACATCTGAGGTCCAGGAGCTTTCAAACCTTCATTTAAGCAGCGAGTTCTTTCTTCAGATATATTACCAAAAAGCCCACAATACAGGGCAGATGCAGATGGGGATCAGAGGAAGGCCCTGGCTGAGGTGATAGGGACTGCAGGGAGCTAACAGTGAACACAACCTGAGCTTTCAGGCACAGACAGGAAACCAGAATATGCCTCTAAGGCAGCCCCCAAAGGGTTTTGTTTCTTGTAAACACATGGGCCAAGCTTGCTGAAGACAGACCTAAGAGTTAAAGCTACAGAATGAGCAGATCCACAACCCCACAAGAAAGCAGGGCACAGACTGGGCCATCTGGGGAGGCTGGATGAAGCCAGGATGTGATCCCTAAGCCTCCCTGAGCCCTACTCACCAGCAGAAGCAACTCCCCACTCACAAACAGGGCTTCCCTCCCCTATGCACATTGTGAAAATCCCATAGAGGCCCCTTCCCCTCTCCTAGGTCAAGCCAGACGGCAGCCTGCTACACAGCACACCGCGCTAGGGGACATTATTACACTAACTAGACCTGGCCAATCGGGAAGCCACATGTACCTGAGATGTCCAGATAGGCAGGCCAAAGAGGGGACGACAGACCCACAAACCCCACGGGCCTCACACAGTGGAGGTTTTTTTTATTTTTGAATCAGAGTCTTACTCTGTTGTCCAGACTAGAGTGCCATGGTGTCAGCCTAGCTCACAGCAACCTCAAAAACCTGGGCTCAGGCGATCCTCCTGCCTCAGCTTCCCGAGTAGCTGGGACTACAGGCATGCGCCACCATGCCCGGCTAATTTTTTTTTTTTTTTTTTGAGACACAGTCTCGCTTTGTTGCCCAGGCTAGGGTGAGTGCCGTGGCATCAGCCTAGCTCACAGCAACCTCAAACTCCTGGGCTCAAGCAATTCTGCTGCCTCAGCCTCCCGAGTAGCTGGGACTACAGGCATGTGCCACCATGCCCAGCTAAATTTTTTTTTTTTTTTTTTTTGAGACAGTCTCACTTGTTGCCCAGGCCTAGAGTGAGTGCCGTGGCATCAGCCTAGCTCACAGCAACCTCAATCTCCTGGGCTCAAGCGATCTTCCTGCCTCAGCCTCCCAAGTAGCTGGGACTACAGGCATGTGCCACCATGCCCGGCTATATATATATTTTCAGTTGGTCAATTAATTGCTTTCTATTTTTAGTAGAGACGGGGTCTCGCTCAGGCTAGTTTTGAACTCCTGACCTTGAGCGATCCTCCCGCCTTGGCCTCCCAGAGTGCTAGGATTACAGGCATGAGCCACCACTCCTGGCCTAATTTTTTCTATATATATTAGTTAGCCAATTAATTTCTTTCTATTTAGAGTAGAGACGGGGTCTCACTCTTGCTCAGGCTGGTTTCGAACTCCTGACCTTGAGTGATCTTCCCGCCTCGGCCTCCCAGAGTGCTAGGATTACAGGTGTGAGCCACCGATCCCGGCCACAGTGGAGTTTTGAAGGATCCCACAGTAGGCGGCATGTCAGACCTTTTCCTCCATGATGAAAATCCAGCTGCCGCTTCCACCGTGGAAGATGATGCTCCAGGCCCCAGGCCCTGTGCTCCGCAGGGAGAAGAGCACCTGGAGGCGTCTTTCCACCTGTTTCCTGAGTACCGTAGGCATCCTGGAGTGCTGGGGCTCAAAGCACCAGGCAGCTCAGCAAGGTCCAAGCTGAAGTCCAGGCTGCTTCTGACCCCACAGATGCAACCACACTTGAACTAACTGTGCCAACCTCTAGGGAGGTCCAGCGGGACAGGCATATGGAAGAAAGCTACACTCTCCTGCAGACACCTGTGTTCCTGCTGAGAAATGGGCCCTGGTTGACTGCTGGGCCCTGGCAGGGACTGAACATTTGGTTAAGGGACACTAAGTGACTGTGCAACCTGTTGCCCACATGAACATGTCAGGCATCATCTGACAGACCAAGCACAAGGCAGGGTGGGTGCAGCAGCTGTGGAAACAGCACAGAGGAAACGTGGGTGGAACAAAGACAGCTAAAGCACAGGTAAGCTGCCTAAGCCCTGGGGCAGATGCCTTCCCTCCTTAGCCCACACGTGCAGCCTCCGGAGAGCTCCTTCAGACCAAGATACTGGGAAAGAAAAAGTCCACTATGGTTTGCACATAGTTCTGCACAGCACACCGACACCAGCTGCCCCAGCCTGAAATTAAGTGATCACCCATCGTCTGGCTGGTCAACTGAAAGACAACCAAAAGGCAGAGCTGCACTCACTGCTTCACTGACTCACGCAGAACACGGCCTTACCAATCACTCTTCACACAGACCCAGGGCCTGCCACATAGCCTGAGGCCCCCTGAGCACCAGCTGAAACACCCTGAAGGGACAGTCCTCAACCCTACAGAGTGCAATAAATGCTGTGAACAGACACCAATCTACGGGGCTGGACGCTGTGCAGCCAGAACACTCAGGCATAGGAATAAGCAGAGCTGTCTGAGTGGCTCCCCCAGAATCAGTTTCTTCTCCACCCGAGAACCCTACTGTCACAAGGTCTAGTCCCAGGGGAGGGTGTGTCCGCCAGGGCTCCCTCTGACATCCTCGTGCACCAGCTCTGGCTGCAGACACTGACCAGACTTCAAGGTAAGAATGAGTTGCTGTCATACTCTGAGAAGATTGTCTGGAGCCCAGATCCCAAGTTGGACTTTAATATTTGTTTCCAGGATACAAGTTAATGGAAACTACAGCAGCTAAAAAAAGCAAAACCACCAAGGATTCAGACCCTTTAGGGATAAAGATTTGGGTCACCTATCCAGGTAAAGAACCTTGACCAGGTAAGATGATAGCAGAGGGCACAGCAGTGAAAGAAGAAAGTCCTAACCTCCAGCCAGGGGACCAGGCACAGAAAGAGAACACAGAACTACACATCTGCTTTCCTGTTTGCTCTCCAAGCATTTGAGGAGGGCAGAGGGCAGGATCCATCTACATATTAACTACTTCTCCTTATTATTTCTTCATACTGGTGGAGGTGAACTTCTTAAGACTCTAAAGTATAGAGTATTCCTGTGGGACTGAACTCGTGGAGTCATTAACTTCACCCAGAGACAGGTGACCCCAGGACTCTGCCTTCACTTTTTGGGAGACAGTGCTCTGGTACATTTCCATTAGCATCTCATCAGCAGCCCACAGGAGCGGTGCTAAAACCAATAAAATCAACCACCACTGACCAATTTGGTACTTTCCAAATCATACCATGTTAAGACTCCTCAGGGGGCAGTGGCTTTATCAGCAGGAGCAGAGGAAGCACCATCGTCAGACAACACACGGAAAGGAGCCACATGCCCTTGAAGCAGGCCCAGAAACAGGTATTCTGCACTCCACATGCAGCTGTGAGGATGTGACCATGCAGAGGCCAACATGATTTCCTGACTCCACTGAGCCTGCAGGGAGGACACTTGATGGAGCTGAGGGCTGTGCTGTCCCTGTGCCCCACCACACACCGGTGATGGCTGCTAGAAGATGCCATACTTCATGAGCCAGAGCACATGGTTTTGGTGCAAAACAACTGCACTTTCATATTCCTGCATTGACTAGCAGGAGAACCCAGCATTCCCCACATGTCATGTGAGGAGCAGACAGGGAACAGCCAGTGGCCTGGCCCCTCCAGGGCACCCTGACCAGTGAGCTCAGAGGCTGCACCATCCCCCATCCTGGAAAACCTCGCCCTTTCACAGAGAAGACCCCGAAGCTCAGAGGTCAAGCACCTGCCCAAGGACATGCAGTTTCCTCAGGCCTCAGCACCCAAAACGCCTGCTCTCCCAGCTGCCCAACTCTAACCCAGAGCTCACAGAGACACATGCCCTACCAGGGATCCTGGGGGCTGGCAGGTGTCCTAAGTCACTGATGGAGGTGGCTGTCATCTTCATTTCAAAAACCAGACCCTTCAAATACTGAGCTTTGCCCCAGGCACCCCAGAAAAAAGAATGCTGTTTGAGAAACACTCTAAGGAAAGAGGCAGGCCAGGACCAGGGTTAGGAGCAGCGGCAAAGACCAGCCTGGTGATTCAAAATTCATTCCACCAGGACGGCGTGGTGGCTCACGCCTGTAATCCTAGCACTCTGGGAGGCCGAGGCAGGCGGATTGCTCGAGGTCAGGAGTTCGAAACCAGCCTGAGCGAGACCCCGTCTCTACTAAAAATAGAAAGAAATTAATTGACCAACTAAAAATATATATAGAAAAAATTAGCCGGGCATGGTGGCACATGCCTGTAGTCCTAGCTACTTGAGAGGCTGAGGCAACAGGATCACTTGAGCCCAGGAGATTGAGGTTGCTGTGAGCTAGGCTGACGCCACGGCACTCACTCTAGCCTGGGCAACAAAGTGAGACTCTGTCTCAAAAAAAAAAAAACAAAGTTCATTCCACCTTAGCACAGCTTCTCTGCCTGAGAGACAACAAAGCCAGGAGGCTGCTCCCAAGGCCCAGGGTGTCTTTGCAGAAGCTCCCTCAACACTCCCCACCTCCACAAGCACATTCCCCTCTCCAAACCTAAAGCCAACTGGAAATGAACCCAGACAATCTAGTGGTTAGCAGGGAGTGGCCACAAAGACATTCATGACCATTCATCAAACTGTGGCAGGGGGAATTCAGTAGAGCTTTCCTAAATAAATAATGCTAATTACCCGGAGTTTACCATGCTCTCCATCAAAGAACTGTTTTCCTGGCTGAAAAAGATAAGTTGATTTCTACAAACTGAGACAGGTATTAGCACTCTGCTCCTGGCCTCGCTGGCTTTAAGCACTTGATGGGTCATGGGGCTGCAATCAAGAAACCAGACCTGACCAACAAGAGCACCTTCAACCACACGCATGGACATGCACACGCACATGTGTGCAACAGAGCCAGGGAGAACTGGCGAACACAAGCCACACACAAGCAGACTTCATCCAGCCTCTAATGAACACAGACAGTAAACCGGCAGAAGCTACATTTGATAAGAGGTTTTCTACTGAAGAGCCCTGCCCTGCATGGCCTTGAAGCTCAGCACACCAGCCCCAACGTAGCCCACCTCTACCTGATATTTCACTTAAACACATGTATAAAGAAACAAGAGCCGGCCGGGTGCGGTGGCTCACGCCTATAATCCTAGCTCTCTGAGGACCGAGGCGGCGGATTGCTCCGAGGTCAGGAGTTCGAAACCAGCCCGAGCAAGAGCGAGACCCCATCTCTACTATAAATAGAAAGAAATTAATTGGCCAACTAATATATATACAAAAAATTAGCCGGGCATGGTGGCGAATGCCTGTAGTCCCAGCTACTTGGGGCTGAGGCAGCAGGATTGCTTGAGCCAGGAGTTTGAGTGTGCTGTGAGCTAGGCTGACGCCACGGCACTCACTCTAGCCTGGGCAACAAAGGAGATCTGTCTCAAAAAAAAAAAAAAAAAAGAAAAGAAAAAAAGAAACAAGAGCCAAAAACCTCACGGAAAACTGCCCTGGATTCTATAAAATATACCTTATTTTACCCAGGCTACAAATTCATGTAGAATAAGCCATCTGCACAGGTTTACTCCTCTGATGAGCATCTGTTCTGGAACATTACAAAGCAGCATCAACTACACAGTTCTGGTAGAGGGAGAAACAGTGCTCCTCCTATGAATCCAAAGTAATGAATAGTAAACTACCCACAGAGTTCCATCTTGGCAGTGAGGCCTGGATAGAATTGGTTTCCCAGGCAGGCAAACTATTCTTCACTTCTCTGATTATGGGCTGATAGCAGAGGCTGCAGGAAATTGTCCAATCAATGTGCAACTCTGGTGTTTCCTTGGCAGGGAAAATGACTAACACCCAAAAAGGGCCTACTATGTGCCAGATGCTGGCTTGGCCTGCTGCTTCATAGAGACCATCTCATTTAGCCTTCCAGAGACCCAAGAGGCAGGTCTTGAACTAGTATTGTTTTCATCGTGTATATGAGGAAAGCCTGTACCAGAGTGACGGCCTGACACATTCAAGGCCACACAGCTGGAAAGAGGCATCTCAGCCAGGATAGGAACTCCCCCACCAACATCCGTCCCCCCAGCAGGGTCCGAGGGCAGAGGGCACCCAACCCAGGATAAGGCCTGGAAAATGTCACTGGTTCCTTAACCACTCTCACCAAAAGCCCGAGCCAGCAGCAGAAAAGCTGCTCCCAAGAGCACAGGCACCAGAAGTGGAGCAAGCACACCTCCTTCAGGGGACGAGGAGTACCCAGGAGCACCCGCTTGTCGATGGGCACCACCGAGGGAGGCTCACCTTTCCGAAGAACCCGCTTCTTTGCTCGAATGTCTGTTTCCAGCTCTGCTGCTCGAATGTAAATCCTAACAGACTGTGGAAGATGACGGACAGCTTGGGCCACCACGGCCTTGGCTGTATCCCCGGGCTGCAACCTGGCTGCTTCTAGCCAGACATCTTCACTCTGTCAGGCCAAAGAAAAAGGCATGAGGCTATGGGCAGACTGGAAGCCATGATAGAGAAGCAGGTGCCTCTGAAGCAGATCCTGAGGCCCCCAGACTTTATGAAAGTCAGCCAGCTGGGCCTCAAACATATCCACGCCAGAGCTCTCCATTATGCCAACGCTCAGGAACACAGAGACTATATCTGAATGAGGGACACATATGACACTCCATGAAAAAAATACAATTTGCCCAGCAGGATAAGTCCAGAGAGAAAGCAGAGACTTTATATCTGCCTGGGAAGTTATGATTTGCACTTCATGTCCTAGAATAATTACTCATGGGGCCTCCTTCCCTGTCGAGAACATCCCAGTCCGCACAACAAAGTATATGTGCACTTAGAGGATTTCATAATATTTTCTAAAGCTTGTCTAATCACTCCACCTCCAAAAACAAAAGTGCTAGATTATTCTTTTAAGAGTCGTCACCAGCCATTAGGTTTCTTACATTAAGGAGATGAAGAGCTAATTTCAGCTCTTTCTAGTTAAGGTTATCCTGCCATTAAACTAACAGTGGAATGACCTTCACTCCATGTGAAAATGAACAGGACAAAAACCACTTTCCCACTTTCCACACCCTCCTCAGACTGTCCTACTGTCTGTAGTTTCAACACCAAAAGACAAACAGATTTGCTCTAGCTTGAGCTTACTCTCGGGGGGACTAGCAACCGTGAGGCATTCCAGGAAAATGCCCTACAATGCGCCTCACCTTGGGGCACATCTCCGTCCCCTTCATAATAAGGTTCCGAGCTACTTGTAGCTTCCCGGTGACTTCTTCCAGGCGGGCTGATGCAATCCAAGCTGGCGGGTGATGAGGGTTTGTCTCTCGAACAGACTTGAGGAGCAGTCTTGCCTTCTTGATATCACTACAGGAGTGGGAATGCACACAGCATTAGGCCATGCTGCCAACGGTGTGCCCAAAACCCAGAAAGGAGATGCTCACATCATCAAAACAATGTATGAGCTACTAATCTTAATGTCCTGAGAGATACAAACCAACTCAAGACTCCAGTCAGCACCAGTCCAAGCCTGTCTGGCATCCCTGCAGACAAATTCTAGGAACTGAAGGTCCAGACAGGACATGGGGGCACAATCAGCAAGCTACTTTCTAGCGAGCACAGGCTCAAACTTGCAACGTTATTTGTAAGACATTTAATGTATACAATGAATGGATACAGAAGTATCTTAAATGGAAAATCAAACTAATCCACTATATATTTCTTAGAACATCTACAGCCCATTTTGGGTTTTTTTGATCTTTTCTTTGTGTGAGATTGTGTCTCACTCTGTCACTCAGGCAGGAGTGCAGTGGCACAATCATAGCTCACTGTAACCTCAAACTCCTGGCCTCAAGCATTCCTCCCACCTTGGCCTACCAAAGTGCTGGGATTATAGGCGTGAGCCATCAAACCCGGCCCTATGTCACATTTTGTCTGCATATTTCCCAAATAAAATCCAAAACATTCTAGGCAACTAGAGTTCCCATCCCAACCCATGGATTCTGCAAAGTACTCACTTGATATCCCCTCCATGGGTTGGGATCATAGAATTTAAATCCGTGAGGTAGCCTTTGGGGTCAACGACAGTCTGTCCACTCACCGAGTCAGACACCTGTGAGACAGGCCAAGCTGAAAGTCAGCTGGACGTGACCAGGGACATCTGAAACAAACTGTTCAGAGGGTCCCTGGAACCCCTTCCCACAATCCTGACTGCCAGTGGGTAGTCACAAGGAAAAGGAAGAAAGCATCCTTAATGTCATCCAGATAACAGTTTGTGATAATAAATTTCTTCTATGTGAAAAAAAGATTTATATCTAAAAAATTAAATTCTGAAAATCCCAGGAAAAAAACAAAGTAAGCATTTAAAAACTCTAACAAGTGAAATCTAGAAATCATAAAGCACTGATAACTTTTACTACAACTAAAAACTTGCATATACCAGATCATTATACTATAAACAAACAAAAAACCAATTTAAAAAACAGGCAAAAGGACGACTTCTGGGGCCGCCCCTCTCTTTGGACCCCAGAACCTCGTCCACGAGTGTATAATAAAGCCACGTGGTTTGGCCCCCACACAAAAAAAAAAAAAAACAGGCAAAAGACCTAAAAAGACATTTCTCTAGAGAAGACGTACAAATGTTAAACATCACTACTTATTAAGGAAATGCAAATCGAAACCACAATGAGATACTACTGTACATCCATTAGGATGGCTATATTCAAGGAAAAAAGGAGGAAGAAAACAAGTGTTGGCAAGAATATGGAGAAACTGGCCGGGTGCGGTGGCTCACGCCTGTAATCCTAGCTCTCTGGGAGGCCGAGGCGGGCGGATTGCTAGAGGTCAGGAGTTTAAAACCAGCCTGAGCAAGAGCGAGACCCCGTCTCTACTATAAATAAAAAGAAATTAATTGGCCAACTGATATATATATAAAAAATTAGCCGGGCATGGTGGCGCATGCCTGTAGTCCCAGCTACTTGGGAGGCTGAGGCAGAAGGATCGCTCAAGCCCAGGAGTTTGAGGTTGCTGTGAGCTAGGCTAACGCCACGGCACTCATTCTAGCCTGGGCAACAAAGCGAGACTCTGTCTCAAAAAAAAAAAAAAGAATATGGAGAAACTGTAACACAGTGCAGCTGCTGTGGCAGATATTATGGCAGTTGCTCAAAAATTTTGACATAAAATTGCCACACATTTCAGCAATTCTACTTCTAGGTATATATACCCAAAAGAATTGAAAACAGAGTCTCAAATATTTGCACACTCATGTTCATACCAACATTATTCACAATAAGCCAAAACGTGGAAGCAATCCAAGTAAGCAAAATGTAACATACATGCACAGAATGTTCTTCAGCCTAAAAGAGGAAGGACATCCTGACACATGCTGAAACACAGATGACATTAGAGTAAGTAAAATAAGTCAGTCACAAAAAGACATATAATGTATGATTCCACTCATATGAGGTCCCCAGAGTCGTCAGATGCATAGAAAACAGACAGTAGAATAGTGGTTGCCAGGAGCTCGGGAGAGGGAATGGGAGTTAGTGTTTAATGGTGACAGAGTTTCAGTTTGGGAAGACAAAAAGAGTTCTAGTGACGGTCGCCTAACACAAAAATACTTATGTCAGTGAATATACACTTAATAATGATTAAAATGATAAATTCTGTGTTACATATATTTTATCTCCCAAAATTACTACGATAAAGTTTTTGTTAAAGAAAAAATTTCGGCCGGGCACGGTGGCTCACGCCTGTAATCCTAGCTCTCTGGGAGGCCGAGGCGGGTGGATTGCTCGAGGTCAGGAGTTCGAAACCAGCCTGAGCAAGAGCGAGACCCCGTCTCTACTATAAATAGAAAGAAATTAATTGGCCAACTGATATATATATAAAAAATTAGCCGGGCATGGTGGCGCATGCCTGTAGTCCCAGCTACTTGGGAGGCTGAGGCAGCAGGATCGCTCAAGCCCAGGAGTTTGAGGTTGCTGTGAGCTAGGCTGACGCCACGGCACTCACTCTAGCCTGGGCAACAAAGCGAGACTCTGTCTCAAAAAAAAAAAAAAAAAAAAAGAAAAAATTTCTATATCCCACACACAAGTCTGACAGAGAAATAATAAAAAGCAACATGTAACATAAATGGCAACTGTGTTAAACCTAAGAAAGAAACAACAAAAGAGGCTTTTCACAGAACTACCTGAGGCTCCCGTACCTAGACAGTCAACTTTACCACAAATTGAAATGCAAACTAAATGGAGGCTGGTTAGGCTGGGGGAGAAGGAGACTGCCTCTCACACTGGCAAAAATGACAGCAATGACATGCCTCTAACCCAGCAGTGCCACATGCCAAGGGCATGATTACATGGGCACACTGACCCAGTTTTTTGCAAAGTAATTTGACGCTGAGTAAGTGTATGTGAAATTTTTCCTTAAAATATTTTAAAAACAAGCTCCCATCCAGCACCCTCACCTTGTTCCCTGGTGGTGATCTCTACGGAGTATACCCCTGGACACCTCCTAGGTATGTGCAAATACACCCATGACGGGATATACTTTTCTCCCAAAACACACAGAAAATTATACATACTACTCTGTAACTGGTTTGGGGTTTTTTTACACTTGATCTTAGCCAAAAGGCTGAGAAGCGGTGGTTTGGGGTTTTTTTGTTTGTTTTTGGCTTTTGTTTTTTTAAAGACAGGGTCTTACTCTGTCACCCAGGCTACAGTGCAGTGGTGTGATCATAGCTCACTGTAGCCTCAAATTTCTGGGTTCAAGAAATCCTCCTACCTCTGTCTCCCAAAGCACTGAAATTACAGGCCAAACCCAGACACATTTTTTTTTTGAGACAGAGTGTCACTTTATTGCCCAGGTTAGAGTGAGTGCCGTGGCGTCAGCCTAGCTCACAGCAACCTCAAACCCCTGGGCTCAAGCAATCCTGTTGCCTCAGCCTCCCGAGTAGCTGGGACTACAGGCATGCGCCACCATGCCCAGCTAATTTTTTCTATATACATTAGTTGGCCAATTAATTTCTTTCTATTTTTTTAGTAGAAACGGGGTCTCACACTTGCTCAGGCTGGATTCGAACTCCTGACCTCAAGCAATCGCCCACCTCGACCTCCCAGAGTGCTAGGATTACAGGCGTGAGCCACCTCGCCCGGTCCACATTTACTTTTTATGCAAAGAGGAAAGAAAGGACCTTACGCTTCATCAACAGGGCACATGTGACCTGTCATGAGTGCCCTCATTACCTATCCATGGCCCCCGGGTTCCTAGGGGAGGGTAGATATGACACACGGGGCCAGCCCTTGGCTTGTGGCAGTCTGAGCGCACTGGGCCTGCGCACCCCATAGGCAGACACCCAGACCCAAATGCACAAAGAACCTCAACCACTCTGTATAATGGGACAGGAAATCTTACATTGTCACAAGTCTGCTTATCTCATGACAAAGTACTTACAAAGGATGAAATTTTCAGATTTGTTGGAGTTTTTGGTTTTTTTTTTTTATTTGAACACAGTCTCGCTTTGTTGCCCAGGCTAGAGGAGTGCCGTGGCGTCAGCTAGCTCACAGCAACCTCAAACTCCTGGGCTCAAGGTGATCCTTCTGCCTCAGCTCCCGGGTAGCTGGGACACAGGCATGTGCCACCATGCCCGGCTAATTTTATATATATATATCAGTTGGCCAATTAATTTCTTTCTATTTTATAGTAGAGACGGGGTCTGCTCTCTTGCTCAGGCTGGTTTCGAACTCCTGACCTTGAGCAATCCGCCCGCCTCGGCCTCCCAAGAGCTAGGATTACAGGCGTGAGCCACAGCGCCCGGCCAGTTTTTTGGTTTTTTTAAAAAAACAAGCATATATTAATTTTATAATCAGAAAACAAAAATTTTTAAATGCCATCTGTAAGAAAGCATTGCATGACTAATCCTCACCTGGCTCAGCCTCATGTCCATCAGGGTGTTCCTCGCTTGGCCAATCTTCCTCATGTCCAGCTCACCTGTACCAGGTGTCATCAATCCTGGTGTCATTCCACCTGGGTAGGGAGTATTCAGCCCACCTGGATAGGGTGTATTAAGACCTCCAAATTGCTGTGGGGAGGGAGAGAGAATAAATTGCTGGGTTGCACGGTCATGACAAAGAACTTGTTCTCTCTGAAGTCTTTTCACTGTGGCCAGAATGTCCCCATTCTGCAGACAGACTCAGCCACAGCACAGCCACTAACCCGAACCACTGATCCAAAACTGCCCTCCATTCCCACCACTGCCCTTCTAACCAGACTAAGGGAGCCCCAGCTGCCTTATTGGATGCTCACAGTTTGCCGCGGATCCACTGAAGTATGATTCTCTCCAGTCTGTAAGTGTTTGGCAAAGAAACTGTCGGGAACAGGGGTCAGCTTCTCATAGCGTGGGTTTCTCTGGCGTTTGTTTCTGGCATCGCCAACCTCAGGGATGCTCAGCCACTCTTCTTCTGTGACTTCCGCCAACTTCCTCTGGAGACATCCAGCCCCGAAAACATTAATTCTCTGGCTGAATTTCACATGCACAGGTAGAACCATGCTCTCCCTCACCCCTCGCCTCCTGATCCCCATGCTTTAGAAAGGATTCTGATGCACAAATGATTTTCTACTTCACTTAGAAAAGTCAATTTATTAGATCTGCTCTACATCACTAAAATGTAAATTATTCTATCAAAGCCTAGTAGACATAGTTTAGAAAATCTTATGTAAAAATGGAGTCAAAATTACAAAGAAAATAAGTTCATTTGTCCCACCTTTAACAGTAGGGGGAGGAAAGGGTTTTTTACACACATAAACACAGAATTAAACATACTAAAGCAGAGACTTCCTTCTAAGCAATAAGCCTGAATGAAACACATAGCAATTTAGTAAAGTCTTGTCAAATTCCACACCAGGAGAGTCTGCTTCTCTGCCAGTTAGGGTAAGAGCATTAGAAACAGCATGCCATTCTAGCTACTTACTTTTAGATCTGAGAATTGCTGTTGGATTTTGGGGCGTTCCATACGGTATTTCTCAATTTCTTCTTTCTCCCTTTGCTCCCTAGGAAATAAAACATGTGCATACATTAGAAATAGTGAATGTCCATTCTGAACAAAGCTGCTTTATTATGTGTCTTAATTAAATCATCAAAAAGGACAATTCTACACTCTCAGCAGCTAAATCAAATATATTTTAAGGCCAGGTGTGGTGGCTCACACCTGTAATCCCAGCACTTAGGGATGCTGAGGCAGGAGAATCACTTGAGGCTAGGAGTTCGAGACCAACCTGGGCAACATATCGAGACCCCATCTCCACCCAGAAAAAAATTTTAAATTGGCCAGGTGTGGTGGTGTGCACCTGTAGTCCCAGCCACTGGGAGCTACTTGGGAGGCTGAGACAGAAGCACTGCTTTAGCTCAGGATTTTACAGTGAGCAATGATGATGCCACAGCACTCTAGCATGTACAACACGGTGAGATAAAAAAAAAATCCTTAATATGATGACTTCCCATATGTACCCATGTTGCCTGCTGTTCTTTAAAATGAATTAATTCCAAAGGCTTTAAAGCAAATCTTTAAAATGCAAAACCATTCACACTTAATTACTATAGACATAAATTCATGCACTTTGATTTAATAACAAGCTTTTTAAAAAAATTCCCCAAAGAACTGTATTTACCTCTTCTACATCATCTTGAAAAAATAAAAAACTCTGCATACATCATGGAAAGTTACAAAATTGCATGTATAAAAAGCAACAGAAACAGGAAAATAAACCAAAATATTAACTGTTACTTCTAGGCTTATAAATAAATGTTGTACTCTTATCCATACATACTCACATTTCCCTAATATTCTATGATAAGAATATTTTCTTTTTATGATAAAAAATATTAGAAGATTACAAAACACTATGTTATTAAACTTTGCAGCATCATGTGTTCACTTCACATAAGTTTCCTTAGGACATGGACAGGGAATTCAGAAAGTTGCCCACAAGGGTACTCTGAGGTAACATCAATACAACAGATTTGCCGAACAGAGTTCAGTACAAGATGCCCACCTTGGAGGTCTGCAGAGAAAGCCGAGGGCCCTGTAGAGGAGCAGGCACCCAAGGACAGAATGCTCGCCCACAGTGGCACCAGCACTACCTCCCACACCCCCCGCCTGCTCCCTGCACGGCCCAGCTTGACTCCTCAGGGCCATGTCACCACACTGACATGTGGAACGAGCTTGCCAAACCACAACCACCTATCCATGAGAATTTAATGTCCATTTGCCATCTTTAATTCATTTCCAAATTATTAATACTTGATATAGATTAATCAACACCACTAGGCCTACCTCAAAGATGATAACTCTGCGATATAGTCAGAGTAACCCCCAAAATTTTGCTGGGTTCGGGAAAGGCAGACAGAGCTCTTAAGCTCTGCCAGCTGCCTGGTCCTAAGGCTGCTCTGCAACAGCCCAGCACTTGCCCAAGTGTGGCTGCCACAGACCAAGATCCAAGCAGCTTTGAAGCTGAGCAGACACACATATTGTTTTTATTTTTGCAACTTTTCTCCAAGTATGAAATAAGGCAAGGCAAAGTGCTTTTTAAAAAGTTAAAACAGGGCGACTTCCGGGGCCCCTGCTCTTGGGGCCCCAGAAAAAATTTCTATATCCCACCACAAGTCTGACAAAGAGAAATAATAAAAAGCAACATGTAAACATAAATGGCAACTGTGTTAAAACCTAAGAAAGAAAACAACAAAAAGCAGGGCTTTTTCACAGAACGTAGCCTGAGGCTCCCGACCAGACAGTCAACTTTTACCACAAATTGAATGCAAACTAAAATTGTGGGAGGCTAGGTTTAGGCTGGGTTGCGGGGAGAAGGAGACTGCCCTCTCACACTGCAAAAAATGACAGCAATGACATGCCCTAACCCAGCAGTAGCACATTGCAAGGGGCATGATTTACATGGCAACACTGGCACCCAGTTTATTTGCCAAAGGTCAATTTTGACGCTGAGTAATGTGTATGTGAAATTTTTTCCGTTTTTAAAATATTTTTAAAAACAAGATTCCCATCCAGCACCCTCACCTGTTCCTGCTGGGTGGGTGGATCCTCGTACCGGCGAGTACCCTGGACACCTCCTTTAGGGGTATGTGCCCAAATACACCCGATGACGGATATACTTTTCTTCCCAAAACACACAGAAAATTATACATACTACTCTGTAACTGGTTTGGGGTTCTTTAACACATTGATTCTTAGCAACAAGGCTGAGAAGCGGTTGGTTTTGGGGGTTTTTTTGTTTTGTTTTTGGCTTTTTTTTTTTAAAAGGACAGGGTCTTACTCTGTCACCCAGGCTACAGTGCGAGTGGTGTGATCATAGCTCACTGTAGCCTTCAAATTCTGGGTTCAGAAATCCTCCTCTCGTCTCCCAGAAGCCACTGAAATTACAGGCCCAGAACCCAGTACACATTTTTTTTTGAGACAGGTGGTCCGTTTAGTTTGCCAGGTAGAGGTGGAGATGCCGTGCGTCAAGCCTCATGCTCACAGCAACCTTGCAAACCCTGGGTCAAGCAATCCGTTGCCTCAGCTCCCTGAGTAGCTTGGACTACAGGCATGCGCCACCGAATGCCCAGGCTATTTTGTTCTATATACATTAGTTGGCCAATTAATGTTCTTCTATGCTTTTTAGGTAGAAACGGTCTCGCACTTGCTCAGGGCTGATCGAAGCCTCTGAACCTCAAGGCAATCGCCCGCCTCGGCCCTCCAGAGTGGCGTAGGATTACAGGCGGCTGCAGCCACCCGTGCCCGGGTCCACATTTCTTTTTAGCAAAAGAGGAAAGATGAAGGATCTTTACGCTTCATCAAAACAGGGGACATGTGACCTGTCATGGAGTGCCGCTCATGTACCGGCTATCATGGCCCCCGGGTTCTCTATAGTGGAAGGGCCTAGGATATGGACACATGGGGCCAGCCCTTGTGGTTGTGCCAGTGCTGAGCGCACTGGCCTGCGCCACCCATAGGCGAGACACCCAGACCAAATGCACAAAGAACCTCAAACCACTCGTGTATAATGACAGGAAATCTTACATTGTCACAAGTGCTGCTTATCTCATGACAAAGTACTTACAAAGGATGAAATTTTCAGATTTGTTGGAGTTTTTTGGTTTTTTTTTTTTATTTGAACACAGTCTCGCTTTGTTGCCCAGGCTAGAGTGAGTGCCGTGGCGTCAGTCTAGCTCACAGCAAACCTCAAACTCCTGGGCTCAATGATCCTTCTGCCTCAGCTCCCGGGTAGCTGGACAACAGGCATGTGCCACCATGCCCGGCTAATTTTATATATATATATCAGTTGGCCAATTAATTTCTTTCTATTTATAGTAGAGACGGGGTCTGCTCTGCTAGCTGGTTTCGAACTCCTGACCTTGAGCAATCCGCCCGCCTCGGCCTCCCAAGAGCTAGGATTACAGGCGTGAGCCACAGCGCCCGGGCCAGTTTTTTGGTTTTTTTAAAAAAAACAAGCATATATTAATTTTATCAATCAGAAAAACAAACAATTTTTTAAATGGCCATCTTGTAAGAAAAGCATTGCATTGACATCCTCACCTGCGCTCAGCCTCCTGTCCACATTGCGATGTTCCTCGCGTTGCCAATCTTCCTCATGTCCAGCTCACCTGTACCAGGTTCAGTCATCCTGTGTCATTCCAGCCTGGGTAGGGAGTATTCACCACCTGGATAGGGTGTATTAAGACCTCCAAATTGCTGTGGGGAGGGGAGAGAGATAAACTTGCTGGTTGCACGGTCGATGGACAAACACTTGTTTCTCTTCTGAAGTCGTTAAGAAATCTTAAGAACAAATCTGGGCGGGTGCGGTGGCTCACGCCTGTAATCCTAGCACTCTGGGAGGCCGAGGCAGGCGGATTACTCAAGGTCAGGAATTCGAAACCAGCCTGAGCAAGAGTGAGACCCCATCTCTACTAAAAATAGAAACAAATGAATTGGCCAACTAAAAAATATATAGAAAAAATTAGCTGGGCATGGTGGCACATGCCTATAGTCCCAGCTACTTGGGAGGCTGAGGCAGGAGGATCGCCTGAGCCCAGGAGTTTGAGGTTGCTGTGAGCTAGGCTGCCACTACAGCACTCTAGCCCGAGCAACAGAGTGAGGCTGTGTCTCAAAAAAAAAAAAAAAAAACAAAGCTGAAGGTATTAAATTGCCTAACTTCAAATTACACTACAAGGCAACAGTAACCAAAACAGCATGGTACGGGTTTAAAGGAGACATATAGACCAATAGAAAAGAATAGAGAACCCAGAAATGAAGCCAAATACCTAAAACCAACTGATCTTCAACAAGGCAGACAAAAGCATACACTGAGGAAAGGATATCCTATTCAATCAATGGTACTGGAAAAAATTGGATAGCCTCATGTAGAAGAATGAAATTGTATCCCTCTCACCATATACAAAAATTAACTCATGATGGCCAACATGGTAGCTGACACATGTAATCCTAGCACTTTTGGAGGTGGGAGGATCACTTGAAGCCAAGAGTTCGAGACTAGCCTGAGCAAGAGCAAGACCCCATCTCTACAACAATAAGAAAAATTAGTTGGATGTGGTGGCACATGCCTGTAGTCCCAGCCACTCAGGAGGCTGAGCTAGGAGGATCACTTGAGCCCAGGAGTTTGAGGTTGCAGTGAGCTATGATGATACCACTGCACTACAGCCTGGGCAGCAAAGCAAGACTCAGTCTTAAAAAATATATAAATATAAAAAATAAAAAGAATGACATAATGTCTTTTAGAGCAATTTGGATGAAACTGGAGACCATTATTCTAAGTGAAGTAACCCCAGAACAAAAAAACAAATATTGCATGTTCTTATAACTTATAAGAGGGAGCAAAGCAATAGGTATGCATGGTCACACAGAGTGACTTAATGGATACTGGAGACTCAGAAGGCGGAGGGTGTGAGGTGAGTGAAGGACGAAAAATTACCTAGTGGGTACAATGTACACTATTCAGTTGACGTATACATTAAAAGCCTAAACTTCTCTAACATGCAATTTGGCTATGTAACAAAAAACCACTCATACCCCCTAAAAATCTGTTGAAATAAAAAAATACCAAAAAACAATAATTTCCTGGCTTTAATAATTGTATAATAGTAATGCCACATAAGATGGGGTAAGCACTTGGTGAAAGTATGTGAAAAAAATTTTTAACTATTTTTGGTACTATTTTTGCAAGTAAAATTATTTCAAAATTAAACATTTTTTTTTCCTTTTTTTTTTTTTTTTTTGAGACAGAGTCTCACTCTGTTGCCTGGGCTAGAGTGACGTGGCATCAGCCTAGCTCACAGCAACCTCAAACTCTTGGGCTCAAGCAATCCTTCTGCCTCAGCCTCCCGAGTAGCTGGGAATATAGGCATGTGCCACAATGCCCAGCTAATTTTTTCTATATATTTTTAGTTGTCCAGCTAATTTCTTTCTATTTCTTTAGTAGAGACAGGGTCTCACTCTTGCTCAGGCTGGTCTTGAACTCCTGAGCTCAAGCGATCCTCCCACCTTGGCCTCTCAGAGTGCTAGGATGACAGGCGTGAGCCACTGTGCCTGGCCACAAGTATATCTCTTTTGAAGAGCCAAAAGAAGTGCACATTTCTGTTTTTCCTGCTCCACCTCATGCTATCCCATGAATAGCTAAAATATTAAATGCACGGCCCCCTGAGCCACTCATCACAGATGCCAACAGCATGCAGGGTCACAAAGCTGGCGAGCCCTTCTGGGGACTGGCTAGAGGAGCCATAGGAGCCCAATACAAGTTACCTCATCATAGTTGGTGTCATTCAGATCCTCATCATCATCGTCAGCAGCCTGGTTTTTCTTCATCTGGTCCCCGACGGTTCTCTTGCCTGGCGGCGCATGGCGATCATCCACAGGGTCATTTGCATCCCGGGCAGGCCCGATGTCTGACCGAGTGGTAAAGCCGGTGGCTCTGCAGGAGACCCCAGGGCCCCTGTTATCTGGGAGACCGGTTCCTGTGCTCTCCCCTCCACCTCCAGTCATCACCTAATAACATCTATCGAACACCTCTGGGAAACCTCCAAACATTCCAGTGACAGCGAGCTGTACCCTGAAGCACTACCTACCCTCAGGAGGTTACCAAGGCAATCTCTCTCCACCCCCAGGTTTCAATCACCTTCCCCTCCACATTCAACCAGCCTGTCAAACCCAACATGGTCCAAACTGAGCTCCTCTTCTATGCCTATCCTACAACAGCTATGGGCTGTTTCAGCGAACAACACCACCATGCCAGGTGCCAAGGAAGGCACCATGACATCACCTTTGCCTCCTTCTCCCACCTCCTGCATCCTGTCTGCTCCCCCTCACCCCCATCAATGATTCTACCTCCAAAATCTGTCCTCCCCAAACCATGACTCCCATCACAGGTGGGACCAAGTTGGCCAACCCTCTTAGCCTTCCTCTACTTCAAACCATGCTCTGCTAGATGATTCTTCCCAAAATGCAACTCTAAGGAATTCTGAAGTATCGCTGTCTTTCTGATTCCTCCTGGAGCGCTAGCCTGACTTTCAAGGACCCTCTGACCTCCTGCCGCTCCACCCATGGATACACATTCCACCTGCAGTGCACTCCTGATGTTCCCTGGTTCTCCTCTGTGTGTTGCCTGTCTGTTAACTAACCATGCATAAAATGTCAGTTTTTCTTCTACCCCTGCCACAGTTTTTTTTTTTTTTTTTTTTTTTTGACACAGAGTCTCATTCTGTTGCCTGGGCTAGAGTGCAGTGGTGTCAGCCTAGCTCATGGCAACCTCAAACTCCTGGGCTCAAGCAATCCTTCTGCCTCGGCCTCCTGAATAGCTGGGACTACAAGCATGTGCCACCATGCCTGGCTAATTTTTCCTATATATTTTTATATTTTTAGCTGTCCAGCTAATTTCTTTCTACTTTTAGTAGAGACGGGGTCTCGCTCTTGCACTTGCTCAGGCTGGTCATGAACTCCTGAGCTCAAGCAATCCACCTGCCTTGGCCTCCCAGAGTGCTAGGATTACAGGTGTGGGCCACCATGCCCAGCTTCCCTGCCACATTTCTATATCCCTAAACCCACCTCTCCTAAACTTGGCTCAAATGCCATACTCCATTGTACATCCCCTAATCTCTGGAACCCCAGAGTTCTAAATCTGTTCCTCTTTATGTACTTATTTATGCTAATATCAAACCTCCCCTAGTAAAGTGCAGGTCCTCTGAAGATGGTATCCAATATCTGAGTCTTAGATGTATCACACAGATTCTAATACTATACCAATGACAAGAGAAACCCAATAGTGTTCTAATCAAATGAATAACCAAATTGGATGACAATGACTGTTTATCCAACAACTTATGATGTTCATGTGTGGTAGGCGGGGAGGGGGGGACCCAGACACAAGCCTCATAGGTACCCTCCCTGCCCCAGTGGAGCTGAGTTTGAACAGTACATGATAAACAACGCTATAGGGAAAGAATGGGGCACTGTGACCAGCCACACAGAGGAATACAATCCAGACTATATGGAAAGGATCAGTTAAGCTTAAGAGGGGATAAGGGGGGTAGTCACGTGTTACTACTACACATCAGAGACTCATCTACTCCTCACAGCCCACTGGCATACGGGGTTATTACCCATTTTTTTTTTATTTGAAATACAACTTTATTCTGATTCTAAACGAAAAGGAATGGGAAGGACAGTTAACAAACAGGATTTCACAACACTGAATATTGTGATGTGACTGGAGCAGTCTTATATTAGAAACTCAAGAAGGAATCAACTGCGTTCCAAAACAGCTAAATATGCAAGTCCAAACAATGAAGGTATTTTATAAACTGCCATTCACTCCGAAGCCCATTCATATCCTTCTGCTGTTATTACCCATTTTAAGAGATCAAAAACCTTGGGTTCGCACCAATACGCAATTAAGCTCCAAGTCACATCTCCTAGGTCGCAGGCAGAACTCATATCCAGGTCTGCCCTGACCCCAAAGCCCGCTGCTAACCACAGGAATTAAGCCAAACCACCTAGCGTCTTTCGCACCGTGTGGCCATAGACCCCACCGCTGAGCGCGCGCACCCCGCCCCGCCAGCCGGTCCCGGGCCCTCGACGCCCGCCTGGCCTCACCCCCGGCCCAGCCCTGGCACGTAGCCGAGAGGCGCGGGCATGCCCAGGAACGGCTTCTTCTTCTTGTTCATGGCGGCGATGACGACCAAGGCTAGGAAGGGAAGGGACTAGGCCGCGGCGGAGGCGAAGATGCAGAGACGTCTCAGGCTCCGCCGTCTGATGCTCGCCTGAGGAAGGGGTCGCAGCCGCCGCGTCACCGGCGCCCCGGAAGCAGAGCGCTCGGTCCACGCGAAGACTGCCCGCCCCCGACTCTCTGGGCGGAAGTCCCGACGCGCTTCTTCTGACGACATCCGGTTGCGGTCGCGGGGCGGGGATGCGGAGTGCGCGTGCGCTGGAGCGCTCGGCCGGGTCCGAGGGGGTGATTGGGCACACCACCCTGACAATCTCTGGGGAAACCCAAAACTGAGCCTTGGGCGTCCCTGCCTCCTGGGTGCTCTTGATGCATTCCCGAGGAGACCTGTGTGAAGAGAACCCACGGTCCCCTCCCTCTCTGAAACAGCCCGGCCTCCCACCCTGCCCTTAGGAGCGGCCCTGACCTGGGCAGGCGTGATGCCTTCCGCGCGGAGCTGCACACCTACCTAGTTGTGTACAGCTCGTGTGTGGTGGTTGTAGGCACACTTGTCTGTGCGTGCGTCCTGTGTGCAGATGGCTGCCCTGCGCTTTTAGCACTCTGATTCTTGGGCCCCAATTCAGGCGCCTGTCCCTGGAGGTAAACATGGGGACTCTGGCCAGACCACAAGCTCCCCCCACGCCCCCCACCATGCCTTGAACATTCTGGTGAGGGTTAGGGTAAGGGTTAGGGTTAGCCCAGCCACATCCCGGGCTCCTGGAGAGCTATTCGAAAATAAATGAATGCAGCCAGACCTGTCCGGGTGAGGGTACATGAACATGCTTGTCACAAGCATGTGGGTAAATTCTGTGTGTATTAGTGGGGTATGTGTACAGGGCAGATCACGTGGGCTCGTGTTTTGGGTGTACATGCATGACTGTATTCTGTGCATGCAATTCTGCATGTCTACATGCAGTTCTGCTCCTTCTGCTGTGAGACATCCGCCAGCCCTCACATACACGTGGGGAGAGCATCAGGCTCCTGGGCAGAGCAAGCAAAACTCAGCTGGTTGCAAGCCTGGCTTTCTGCGGGACCAGGCAACCACGTTTTTCCTGCCTCCAGCCCACCCAGCACTTCTCACTGAGGTCCTCTGGCGGGACACATCCCTCCCGCCCTCCTGCTACAGCCTCCTTGAAGTTCTCTCTCCCACACTTTAATTTAGTGAGCACTGTGTCACCGCCCCTCCCCCCAGGCACTGAGCCAGATTCTGGGCTGCAGAGGGAAGGGGAATTCAAAGCCGGGGAGTAAGCAAAGGTGAAGCTGGCTCCTCTGGGGAAGCAGGTGCCATTTGAAGGAGAGACCTCCGGAGAGGTCTGGAGAAGGGCTGAATGAGTGAGTAAATTAATGAGGTAAGAGAACGGAGGGAAGCGTTTGGGAAGGGGTTAATCTGGCCCTTGGCCAGGACCCCGGTGAGTAGAAGGCTCAGGAGTAGGTAGGATGGCCCCCACACGCAGAGGGGACTGACAGTTCCTCACTTTCCCGGGTCAGAGCCCCCCACCCCCGCCGCAGGTGCACAGAGACACTCGTCCATCCGCGGAGTCCTGCCGAGGCGCGCATGGACACCCTTCGCCCTGGCAGACACCCTTTGCACACGCAGACCCGCGCGCCACCGACACACCTCGGAGCTCCCGGAGCGCGCCCGGCACACAGGGCTCGGCGGCAGGTGCCTCGCCGCGCAGACTCGCCGGCCGCGGGGACCGGCTCAGGCGCGGGGCCGGCTGGGGCGGGGCGGGGCGGCGGCGCGCGTTCCCCGCCGGCCACACCGGCCGCCCTGCACTCGGCGAGGGGCGTGTGCGCGGGCCTGGCACCGCGGGCCCCATGTTCACCGAGCTGAGGTCCAAGCTGAGCCCCCCGCGAGGCCGCGCCGGGGCAGTGCGCGCGGGCTTTGGGGAGCGCCGGGATGTGGACGGTGAGCCGAGCTGGACAGGGGCGCGGCAATATCGCGAGTAGGGGTTCTCGAGGACCGAGAGGCATGGGGGGCGGGACCGGGTGGGCTTCGAGCAGCGGCGGCGAAGGAGCTGGGGGCGTCCTGGCCTAAGGAGGTCCCTGTGGCCTTTGTCCTGCACTGGGGGGGCGGGGGACAGCCTCAGGCCTTGAGGATCAGCGCGCCCTTGGCTTGGGATGAGGGGGTGACAGGCCGGGGCTCGCGTCTCCAGGCTGGCACCACACTCGGGTCACCTTTTCCCTCACGCGGAGAAAACCTCCCCAGCCCTTGCGGTGGGGCCGAAAGGGGGCCGGGGTCACACCCCAGGTCGGGTGCCCCCACCCCCTCGCCTTCTGGAATTCTGATGTTGGGGCGGGGAGGTGCGGACTGACCGACCGACAGACTGGCTGAGCTACCTCCCCGAGAGCGGGCAGGAAATGGGCGGGGCCTCGTTGGCCCGGGCAGGTGCTGCGCGGGCGGAGGCGTCCGGCTGGTTCCCCGGCACCCGCCCCAGTCGTGCGCTCCGGCCCCTGCAAAGACCTCAGACCACCGCGCCTGTCCGTTGGAAGGTGCGGGCTTAGAATAAGTCTTTTTCCAGGGCACTAGAGGCTACCTCGGGGCGGTGGCCCACTGGCCACACCCTCTGCTGACCGCCGCAGACCCCAAAGTTGAAAGAATTGGAAAGAGGGTGCTAAGTCTCCGGAGTCTTGCAGGGCTGGAAGGACAGTAGGATGTGGGTTTCCCCATCACTCAGACCTCCTAGACGCATCACCAACCATTGCCCCCAGCGTAGAGTGGGTGTCTGTGTCTGGGGGGGGGTCCTCTCTACTGCTGTTGGGGTGAGGGGAGAGAGGCATGGGCCTTGACGTGGGGACTTCATCCTGCCCTGAGGAGTCAAGGCCTGGGTGCTGAAAGCTGAGGGCCAGCCTGTGCCCGCCTTCCTGTCTCCTCTCAGGCTCTGTTAACTTGCAGACCCCATACAGAGCCTTCATTCATTCATTCACAGTGCTTCTCAGGTACCTCCCATGCACCAAGAACTAGGCAAGGCAGAGGATTCCCACCCTCCCTCCCAGACTCATGTCAGCAGTGACCCCAGAAAAGAAGATAAAACCAAAATGTGATGAGTACAATGAAGTTGGAGTAGGACAAGGGACCCCAGGGCATGGCTGTGGGTCCCTGAGCTTGTGTCTGCATCCTAACATACCTGTGCTAAACAGCCCATGCCCAGTGGGCACCCACCATCAGCACGGTGCTGCCCCGAGGGAGGCGGCACAGCAGGGAAGGCCAGCATGTGTTTGGGGAATGAATTCCACTTGTCTTGTCAGCTTGCCCAGAGTTCAGCGTTTTCGTCAATGAGTCATAGCTGGCGAGCACACCGTGGCAGGGGCCAAGACTCAAACACCAGGGTGAGGTCAGGGTGGGTCCAGGGTAGCCGGCCCTGCCCGGCTGTAGGCTTGTACAGAGAAAGGTGTTTCCAGTTCTTCATCTTTAGGCTGGGTAGGGTCCTCAAGACAGTACATTTCCTTCTGCCTTTGGGGGCTTGGGAACCCTTCCCTGGGGAAGTGACTCCCCTGCCCTTGGTGGTGGGGTGGTGGAGGGGAGACAGGCTAGGCTGGAGCTGGCTCTCAGGGGGAGGAGCCTCGGGCCCTGCCCTTGACTGCTCTGACCAGCCACCCTGCACACAGCCACTGCCCACTTCAGCTTCTGCCGGACCCTCCTAGAGCACACGGTGTCAGCTGAGAGCATCCCCTGCCACCTGCCTCGGACGCAGGTCACCAGCCTCACGTGGCATGACTCCCGCAGCCAGAGGGCAGCTGGCAGCAGGCCAATCAAGCTCCTGCAGCAGCCAGGCACGGAGACCGCCCAGGTACCTGCCCTGCTACCCACCTCAGTCCCTGCCTGCCCTGCCCGCCACTCTCACTCTACCTGCCACCCTCCTCTCCTACAGAGCCGGCTGTACTCTGACCACTATGGCCTGTACCACACAAGCCCCTCGCTGGGTGGCCTGACGAGGCCTGTGGTCCTGTGGAGTCAGCAGGATGTCTGCAAGTGGCTCAAGAAGCACTGTCCACACAACTACCTCGTCTACGTGGAGGCCTTCTCCCAGCATGCCATCACGGGTACAGCAGGACTGGGTGGGGGAGGGGCCAGGATGCCTAGGAGAGCCCCTCCCCCACACTCAGCCGCCTTTGTTTCTCTTGCTATTGTTTCCATCTCTTGTCTGTTTCCTCCTCTCTCCCAGTCTCTGTTATGTCTCCGTCTGCCTTTTCCCTGCACAGTCTCTGTCTTTTCTCTCCATGCCTCCCTCTGCCTCTCTCCCTCCAAGTCTCTTTCCCGGATTCTCTTTCTGTCTGAGTCTCTGTTTCCCTCTCCTCACCCCTTTCTTTCTTGGTCTCTGCTTTGGCTCTTGATGCCTCTGTTGGCCTTAGCTCAGCCCCTCTTCCCTTTCTCCAGGCCGGGTGCTGCTGCGGCTGAATGCGGAGAAGCTGCAGAGGATGGGGCTGGCGCAGGAGGCCCAGAGGCAGGAGGTATTGCAGCAGGTGCTCCGCTTGCAGGTGCGCGAGGAGGGGCGGAGCCTGCAGCTGCTCAGCCAAGGTCAGTGTGAGGCGCCAGGTGGGGTGCCAGAGCAGCCTGGAGGCTGGACTGAGAGGCCCCTCTGGGTACAGGGTGGGTGGGGTGACCTCAGAAGAGTACCTGGGGGCCCCATAAGGGCCATGCTTCGGGCGGGTTCAGGGACCCCAACCTTCTCACCCCTATCCACCTACAGCTTCCTTTGGAAACATGTCCTAGCTGATGTCCAGGCTTGAACCCCAGACCCCAGCACTGTGACCAGAGCCCACAGCCAAGGACGAGGCAGAGCTGGCTGTGCAGCACCTCGTGGACCCTGCCAGATGCCCTGGTAGCCAAGCCTGGGTCAATGGACAGGCGAGACCAGGATCACCACCTCCAAGCACCTCGGGTTGGGCATTCCAGGCTGTGCCCTGGGCTACTGCTTGAATGCGGCCCCTCCTCCCGGGACCTGAGCCCAGGCCTGCCCCCAGTGGGCCGGCAGCATGCAGGGCAGCTGCTTGGAGCCAGAGCCGGTGTGGACGTGCCCCAGCCTCCCAGGGACTCTGTTTATTTACATCCCCAACCCCTCAACATCTGTCCTACACCGCCTGCTGAGCCACTCCTCTGCCCACCCCTCATCTAGTCGGCTCTGAGCCCTCCCTTGGCACTGCCAGCTGGCACAGGTGGGACAAACTGTTGTGGCTCCCTTTGCTTGTGTCCTTCCCCTGCCCCTGCCAGGGCCCAGCAGGCCCAACCCACCCTCGAGAATAATGGTCATCAGCTCCTGCCCAGCCAGGCACCATGCCGAGCACTTCCACTCACTCATTATTTATACACCCTCACCACAGCCCCACCTATTCATGAGAACTGAGGCCAAGAGAGGTCTGATGGCCCAAGCTCCAGGGACAAATGTGGCACAACGAGGACTGCAGCCCTGTCCAGGTGGCTCCATGCCCAGTGTCCACCAGGCTCAGCAGTGCTCCCAACCCTATGTTTGGGAAAATCTTGCTTTTGCACATCTTTCCTACTCCCACCGTCCAGGCAGTTGTGCATGGGCATTCCCAGGGGGGCTTTCCCAGGAAGACCTGGATTCCCAAGAGTGGCTGTCCTGAGGGTTGCTCCCCCATGTCCACCCAACAGATGCCTGAGCAACCCCTCCCTAGGTGGTTTGGGGCTGGTGCTGCCTGGCAGAAGGACAGTGGGGTGGCCAGTGCTCCGTCTTGCTCCTCTGCCCTCTCCAACTCCCCTTGGGGACTCTGAAAATCTCAGGGACAGATGAGGCTGAGCTCCCAGTCCCCTCTATGTGACTTGAGCTAGCCTCGGGACTTGAGGCTGGTCATCGCAGGTCCCGAGTAGAATTTGGACAACTGGCCTGACCTGGCCCTCCCACCCTGTGACCCCCCAGCAGGGAGCACTGTGGCCCTTCCGGCTGCCCAAGCGTCCCACCCACCGGTGCCATCAGCCTTCTTCCAGAGGGCCCTTCCTGGCTCTGCCCCTTTCCCCCCTCCTCCGTCTTGCCCCGTCCTTCGTGATCCTGTCTTGTCTTCCTTGTTTTGTGCTCACTTTTTTATACTCCGACAAAAAATCAGAAATAAACCTAGTTCTCAAGTGCCCAAAGGTGCTGGCTCTGGGAGGAGAGGTGTCCTGCACCTGCGGCCACCAGGGGGCAGTGGTGTCGTATCCTGAAGGGGGTGTCCTGCTAACCCCAGGACGTCACCCGGGACAAGAGGCAGAGGCTTGAAAATGTGGGACCAAAAGCCAGATGGGTGGCACCCAGCACTGGGCACAACACCCAGACACACAGTGTGTGAGTTTCCTGGGTGGGGGCTGAACAAAGGGCCACATGCTGGGTGGCTGGAAATAAGAGAAACTTACTCTCGCACAGTTCCAGAGGCCAAAAGTCCAAAATCTAGCAAGGCAGCGTGTCCCTGGGGCTTGAGGAGAGGATCCTTCCTTGCCCCTTCCAGCTTCTGCAGGCTGTCTGGGGACTCCTGGGCTCAAGGTTGTTTCAGTCTCTGTCTCTGTGGTCAATTGCTGCCTCCTGTTCTGTCTCTCTCAAATCTCCCTCTACCTCCTTCCTATAAGGGGACCTGGATGCAGGCCCACCTGGGTAACACAGGATGATCTCCTCGAGATCCTTAATCACATCTCCAAAAGCCTTTTGTCCAAATAAGGTCCCACTCACAGGGATTTGACATGGACATCTGCTGGGAGCTCACCATTCAGCAATGCCAGACATAAGAAACACTCAAGAGTGCAGCACACACGGTGACACACATATACATACACACAGCAGTCAGACACACAAATAAGAACAAAAACCACACGTAGGCACAAATGCACAGAGACACAATGACACTGACATCAACAAACCCCAATACACACACACAGGTGCCGTGGACAAGACAGACACAATGGAACCCTGACATACAGATGCAAAGATATATAGCAAAACCCCCCAAAAACAGATGTAACTACACAAACACAAATACTAACACGCAGACACATAGTGACTTCCTAACATGTAGAAACACACTATATCATACAACACCATGGCATTTAGATACACACAGAAAACAATCACACTCTGACATACAGGTATTCACACACACAAACCGCCGACACCCTGACAGTCATGCCACAGCCTGGACACAGGTATGCTAAGATTCACTGCCCCACGCACCCTGAAGTCCACTCGCCTGGATACCGACACACAGACAGGCATCAACCTCATCAAGCACAGAACACGCAGGCAACCCACCCTGTACCATGATGTCCAAACATGGGTACTGCTGAGCACACACCCACCCACAGACACGGACATGTCCCGTATGTGTGTCAGTGTGCTAGACGTACAGGGGGAAAACTGACACGCTTGGACGCACCTCAGGATGTATACACTGACTCCCCCCTGCCTCGGAAATCCTGCTGTCCCAGGGAGGGGATGGTCAACAAGTGAAGGATGAGGTGAGGAACTGCCCCCTTCCTCCAGGGGCCCCCAGGCTGGCTCACAGCTTCTCTCTGGCTTAGATTTCTGAGGAAGTGGCCGACTCCTCGACAGACAGCCTGTTTCCATGCGAGTGCTCTGTGCCATCCTTGAGCAAAGCATGCCCCAAGGGTCCCTTCGGGAGAAGGCAAAAAACCTGCCCTGCGCCAAGCAGTGCAGTAGAGCTTGCTCCAGAGGGGGCAGGGCAGGGGACGGCTGGGCAGGAAGGGCCCCAGGAAGAAGGTGCACCTTGTAATTTCATTTCCCAACTCACAACATCCAACACACACCAGTGTCGGAGACTCCAGAGTGTTTGAGGAGTATAAAAAGAGGCCTTAGAAACTTAAAGTCAATTTTAATTTCAAAACTAATATATATACACGGTGAAAAAAAATTGATAGTATTGTGGGCACAAGATGAAAACCCAAAGTCTCCCTCACTCTTCCTTCCCAAGGCCCGAGTTCCTCCAGGGAGACGGGTGCTGTGAACAGGTACAAACAGCTCTCCTGGGGAGATGGCTCTCGTGGGTGGGTCCCTTGCCAGCTTCCTGTGGGGGGGTCTCCCAGAGAAACATGCTCTACCTCTTCCCTAGTGCCCCTTGGGGAGAAGCACACCCTTCTCCATTGCATCCTGTGGGGCCAGTGCCCCGTCACCCCCAGACCTTGGAGCCCAGACCTAACGGCAGTGCCCCTGGGCAACGTGGGGCTCTGGGGCAGAGAGGAGTGAGACACTGGCTGCTGGTCTAGGGTTACCGCCTCCAAAGCTGGGAGAGGGCAATCCAATGGTCAGCGCCCCCAACAAAGCTCCAGGGCCTCAAGCTGCCCCAGCACTGCCAGGAGCCAGGCGATCCCCTGACAGTGGTCACAGGGCTAGCTGGAGCGGGGTCAGTCCTGCCCCGCGGGCCTATGGGCCCCAGGGCCAGGAGGCCAGGGTACCGGAGCACGTGGCCTCCCCTGCAGCACCTGCCCGGGGCCAGGACGCAGAGGCATCGGGTCACCACATTCCGTGCGCATCTGACTTTGGGTTGTGCCCAGAGTCCCTATCGTGCCTCAGTTTACCCCATTGTCCATAAAATGCCTCCCGCCCTATGGGCAGCAGAACTGGCCGCTGTGGACTGGGGGAGGCCTGCCCGACAGAGGCGGCGGACCGGGGAGCCGGGCGGAGCAGGCCTGCCCGACGGGCCCCCTCCCCCAGACCCACCCCTCCCCGTCGCGGAGCAGCGGCAGGAATACCGCGAGAGTTCGCCCCCCTCCCCCCCACAGTAAAACTGTCAAAGGTGGGAGGGGCGGGAGCGCGCATGTGCGCAGCGCGGCGCGCAGCCTGCGCCGCCCGGACCCGCGCCCCCGCGCCCCGGCCCGGCCCGGCCCGGCCGCAGCCCGCTGCGCGCGCAGGTAAGCGCCGGCCGCGCCCCGCCCGGCCCGCCCCCCCGCGCGCGCCGCCGCGCCCCGCGCAGGCCGAGGCCCGCCGCGCCCCCCCGCGCCCGCCGCCGGACCCGCGCCGCGCCCCGCGCCGACGCCGTCTTCCCGCCTCCTCCTTCTCCAGAAAAAGTCGCCATTTTGGTTCACTGCTTCGCCCCCCCGCCGGCGGCCCTTCCGGGGCCAGGCCGCGGCCCGCGCCTGCACCCGCCGCAGGTGACAGGTGGGGGGGGCGCGGCCGCCTTCGGGGCGCGTCCGACGCGCGTCGCGCGCGGGCCTGGCGGGTCCCGCGGACGCCTTCGCCGCGGCCTCGCCGCCGGCCTCTCGCGCGGTCGGCGCGGGCTCCTCCCTCGAGGGTTTGCGACCCTGCGGGTCCCCGGGCGGGGGACGCCCCTTCTCGTCCTCGTGCGCGAGCCACTGGCCGCGTTGGAAGGAGGGTCCCTGCCTCCCAGGCCAGCCCCTACTCTGAATTCCGTGCCCAGGCTTCAGGGAAGTGGAGGGGGCGCTCGGCGGGCACCTGCACGGCAGGCCACTGGGGCCGTCAGAGTCTCCTTTCAAACTTGCAAAGTGAGGACTTCAGAGAACTTTGTGTCCTGGGACCCTTCCTCTCCCCAAGCCGAGGACATGGTATCCCCCTTGGCAATGGGCAGTGACTGTCCTGACCTCCGACCTTGGCCCTCTGGCCCTCCTGGACACAGCAGCCCCTTCCCCTCTCCTCTGATCCAAGTTAATTGGAAACTACCAGGAAGGGGTTGTTGGCTCGCGTGACCCTTACCCTGCTTCCTGGGACCACCCCCTTCTGTGGCTTGGGGTACTGCTGTGGGAGGGTCCAGCAGGGCTAAGCCTGGAGTCCCTCTGCTCCCCAGTTCTCTGGGGGTGCCACCTCCAGCAGAGCAGGCCAGAGAGGCCCAGCCTTGAGCAGCAGGGTGTTCTCTCTGCCCAGGGCCCAGTGGACTCTGGAGCTGGGCCTTCACTGCCTGTGCCCACCGTGGCTTGTCTGCTGCAGTGGTGCCGGTGCGTCTACAGGCCGGGACGGAGAGGCTCTTAGGAGTGGAGGTGGGGGGAGGTCAGCCAGCCGGAGTGGCCGAGGGCTAAGCAAGAGGTCTCCGCCGGAGACCAGGTCGGGTGGGAAGGTCCAGCCCGCACAGGGACCAGAGCTGGGCGTGGTGGGGTCCTCAGTCTGCCCACTGGGGAGTGGGCCGGGGGCCCACCCTGGCTGTTTTCCCTCTGTGTCTGGGGAGGAGAATCCAGGGATGCCCCCCAGGTAGGTTGGCATTGCATCAGGTCTGGATGGGAAGAGGGGAGGGTCGTGTGGGAGAAGGTGTCCCCTGGTGTTAGGGCAGCGTGGGAGCCAGCGGCCATCCCTGGTTTCATAATTGGCCCCTAGAGGGATGTTGTCAGCCTCCTTCCTCCTGCACAAGTCACCTCTCCTGGGGACACCCCCTGCCCAGCACAGGGAACGGGGTGCGTAATCCTCAGCACCCTTTGGGACTGTATGTCTGAGACAGAGCGAGTCTGTTGAAGCTGTCAAGGGTCTTGGGACAGGATTAGGTGCTTCCAAACTTATCATGTCTCTTGGGAGTCCTTGGCTGTGCAGCTCCTTCCCTAAATTGCAAGCCCCTATCCCTTTCCTTCCTGTGTGACCAAAGCCACAGGAGGGCAGGCTGCCCGTCGCTGGCCAGAGAGAGGGCCTGTCCAGGGAAGCTCCACCGCATGTCCCGAGTCAGGTCTGTTTGGCCTTACAGGTTTGTCCACTTGCTCCGAAGAGATGACGGATCCCTTCTGCATTGGAGGTGGCCGTCGGCTCCAGGGGTCCAACAGGAGTGGACCCGGGAAGGATGGTGGCCGGAAGGAAGTCCGACTTCCTATGCTGCATGACCCACCGAAGCTGGGTAAGAGGCGTCAGGGTCAAAACGGGTTCTAGACGATCATGGGCAGCAAGTGGTAGGAGTGGGCCACCTTGCCGGGCATCCAGTCCCAGGACACCCAGCCAGGCATTTGAGTTCCTGAGGGCCTTTCCAGGGTGGTGACTGTCTTTGACATAGCCCAGGGCCTAGGGTTCTTGTCCTCAGCTGGCCATGCCCTCCCCGCTGTACCTGGGTACCGGAAAAACAAGGCTCACTGTGGACCCCAGCAGCCCCCGGGGTGGCAGGCACAGCCACCGAGCCCAGTGTGTTGTGTGCTGCAGGAATGCCGGTGGTCCGCAGTGGACAGACAGTGCCTGGCCAAGCCTCGCTCTGCTTTGACCCGGGAAGTCCAGCCAGCGACAAGATGGAAGGGAAGAAAAAGGGGCGTCCAAAAGCTGAGAATCAGGCTCTCCGAGACATTCCTGTGAGCTCCCTGAGGGCTGGGGGAGGCATGCTGAGGTCTCCCGTCCAGGCCACTGCTCTGCGCTCATTCGCCCTCGGCACATAAGACACCAACTCCATGCCTCGGGGTGTGGGCACTGGCCTGGCAGGCTTCACGTGGCTGACGTGCTGTGAAGTCCTAGTGGGTCACGTTGGTGGGGCTCGTAGAACAGGTCTGGGGCATGGCCACTGCGTAGGTGGCTTGAATTCTGGCTGCGTTCCCGAGGCCAAGAGGCTTGTGTGGGGTGTGTGCCCTGCAGGCCCTGGGAGGGCTCGGGGTCTGGGGCGTGGGTGGGCTGAGCCCTCGGGGTTGGCAGCATGGCCTTTCCTCACACCCAGCTCTCCCTGATGAACCAGTGGAAAGATGAATTCAAGGCACACTCAAGAGTGAAGTGTCCAAACTCAGGGTGCTGGCTGGAGTTCCCCAGCATCTATGGGCTCAAGTACCACTACCAGCGGTGCCAAGGGGTAAGGGACTGGGGATTGGGGAGCAAGAGGCCAGGGGGTGTGTCTGGGCAGAGGCCCCCGGGGCCCCGGCCCACACCTGCCCTCCCTGCCCAGGGCGCCATCTCAGATAGGCTGGCCTTCCCCTGCCCCTTCTGCGAGGCTGCCTTCACCTCCAAGACCCAGCTGGAGAAACACCGGATCTGGAACCACATGGACCGACCCCTGCCTGCCCCCAAGCCTGGGCCAGTCAGCCGGCCGGTCTCCATCAGCCGGCCGGTTGGGGTCAGCAAGCCCATTGGTGTGAGCAAGCCCGTCACCATCGGCAAACCCGTGGGCGTCAGCAAACCCATCGGCATCAGCAAGCCTGTCACAGCCAGCAGGCCTGTCCCTGTCACCAAGCCTGTCACGGTCAGCAGGCCCATCCCGGTCACCAAGGCCATGCCAGTCACTAGGCCTGTGCCAGTCACCAAGCCCGTGCCAGTCACCAAGCCCATACCGGTCACCAAGTCTGTGCCGGTCACCAAACCCGTGCCGGTCACCAAACCCGTGCCAGTCACCAAGTCCGTGCCAGTCACCAAATCCATTCCGGTCACAAAACTTGTGACAGTTACGAAACCCGTGCCGGTCACCAAGCCCGTGACGGTCAGCAGGCCCATCGTGGTCACCAAGCCCGTGACGGTCAGCAGGCCGATTGCCATCAGCAGACACACGCCACCGTGCAAAATGGTGCTGCTGACCAAGTCTGAGAACAAAGCACCTCGCACCACAGGGAGGAACAGCGGTAAGAAAAGGTATGGGAGCTCGTTCCAGGCTGGGGCGCTCCTTGGCCGTGGCTTGGGGAAACGGGGCCCAGAGTCAGGCCTTCCCCTCACCTGCTCCCTGCAGGGCTGCCGACACCCTGGACACCTGCCCCATCCCACCCAAGCTGGCGAGGTCGGAGAACGGGGAGTACGGCCCATCCACCGTGGGCCAGAGCTCGGCCTTCCAGCTGAGCTCGGACCCCAGCAGTGGCCCCGTGTTGCTGGGCAGCAGGCCCTCGGGGGGCAAGGAGGCTCTGCGGGCGGCAGGCCCCGCGTCCCTGCTGGAGGAGGACCCAGAGCGCACAAGGCACAGTAAGAGGGCCCTGGGGGCAGCCGCCGGGCCGGGCCCCAGCCTCCTGATGGTTATTTGACCAGAATCTCGGCTCTTCTTTCTCTCCCCGAGTCAGGAAGGAAACAGAAAACACCGAAGAAGTTTACAGGGGAGCAGCCATCCATTTCAGGGACTTTTGGGCTCAAAGGTGAGACGCAGTGGGCATCTCCAGGGTTGCGTGTGTACCCCTCACACGCGTGCTGGCTGCCTCAGACCCCCCCCTGCTGCGTGTACACAGGCCTGGTCAAAGCGGAGGACAAGGCCCGAGTCCACCGCTCCAAGAAGCAGGAGGGGCTCGGCCCTGAGGACTCGCGGAAGAAAGTTCCGGCCCCCGTCACTGTCAGCAAGGAGGCACCGGCACCCACGGCCCACCCAGCCCCAGGTAGGGGCTGCCCGGCCCGCGGTGGAGGAATGGGGGACGGGTGTGGACCCTGGACCCTGAGCGAGGCGTGCGGGGCGTCCGGGAGCGCCCCAGCCCCTGAGGCCCGGCCCCGCCCTGCAGGTGGCCCTGAGGAGCAGTGGCAGCGGGCCATCCACGAGCGGGGGGAGGCCGTGTGCCCCACCTGCAGCGTGGTCACCCGCAAGACCCTCGTGGGACTCAAGAAGCACATGGAGGTGTGCCAGAAGGTAAGGCTGCCTCGGGAGGGGCCGGGAGGGGGACCCCCGGGACCCCAGGCCCGACTCTCACAGCCAGGCTGCGTCTCAGCTGCAGGACGCACTCAAGTGCCAGCACTGCAGGAAGCAGTTCAAGTCCAAAGCGGGTCTCAACTACCACACCATGGCGGAGCACAGCGCCAAGGTACCCGCCTGGCTCCCAGCCCCTCCCGCTGACCTCCAACTCCTCCCCCTGCCCACTGCAGCCCCTCCCCCCAACCTCAGACAGCCCCTCCCCCCATGCCCAACCTTGGACGCTGGTGGCCCCATCCCGGGCAGGGCCGGCCCGTGGTGGAGGGTACTGAGGCTCACCCATCCCCAGCCCTCCGATGCCGAGGCCTCCGAGGGGGGCGAGCAGGAGGAGCGGGAGCGGCTGCGCAAGGTGCTGAAGCAGATGGGACGGCTGCGCTGCCCCCAGGAGGTCAGTGGAGGGGCCCCCACGCAGCCCGGGGCTGGCGCTGTGCTGGCTGCCTGCCTGACCTCTGGCCCCTGGACCCCCAGGGCTGCGGGGCCGCCTTCTCCAGCCTCATGGGGTACCAGTACCACCAGCGGCGCTGCGGGAAGCCGCCCTGCGAGGTGGACAGCCCCTCCTTCCCCTGCGCCCACTGCGGCAAGACCTACCGCTCCAAGGCTGGCCACGACTACCACATGCGCTCCGAGCACACGGCCCCGGTGAGTGGTCCGCGGCCCCCCGAGTCCTCGTGGCTCGCATGTGGCCTGTGCCGTGACTCATGTTCTTTCCTGTCCGCCGCACGTGTGTTCCCATGTCCCTTGGGTGCTGAGCGTGTGTGTGCATGTGCTGCCTGATACATACGTTCTCCGTCCCTCCCTGCGGGAGACGTGTCCCAGTGGGTGGGAGCCAGGGACCCTGGTGCCTCTGTTCCCTCGGGCTGCCTGTGTCCCCCGTGTCCCCAACGTACTTGCATGCCTCCTGGTCCCAGTCCGTACGCCACGCTGGCCCTGCCTCTCGTGGCCTTTGCTTGTGGCTCACGCTGGCCTCTGTGCCCTCCTGTCTTCCAGCCCCCCGAGGACCCCACACACAAGCCCCCCGAGGCGGAGGACCTGCTGGGCGTGGAGCGGACCCCGAGTGGCCGCATCCGCCGCACGTCGGCCCAGGTGGCCGTGTTCCACCTGCAGGAGATCGCAGAGGACGAGCTGGCCCGGGACTGGACCAGGCGGCGCATGAAGGATGACCTCGTGCCCGAGACCGCGAGGGTGAGCCGCCCGCCCCAGCGCTGGCGTGGGGCAGTGGGCCACGGTCATGCCATCCGTGGTCTCTGGGCGGGATGTGCCTCTCCCAGAGTTGGCTGTGGCAGCCATCCCGGGACCCAGGCCAGCTGCCCCCGAGGCGTGGCGCTCTTAGAGCAGCCGGGGCGTCCTCGGCCTCGGGCTCACCCTGGCACCGCCTGACTCCACAGCTCAACTACACGCGGCCGGGCCTCCCCACGCTGAACCCCCAGCTGCTGGAGGCGTGGAAGAGCGAGGTGAAGGAGAAGGGCCACGTCAACTGCCCCAACGACGTGAGCTGGGGCACACGGGGGCGTGGGGACATGGCTGGGGGACAGAGAGCCGGGGATGACCCCTGGGCAGGAGACCCGTTGGGAGGTGATCAGCCACTTCTGGCCCTGGGCCCTTGCGGGGTCTTCAGAGGGACCCTCCTCAGCAGAGGGGGCCTTGACCTCAGGTCCTACGTGGCCAGCCTGCCCACTCCCAGGACTTCCGGGGTCAAGCGCTCCCACTGCCCCAAAGAGGCCTCAGCGCTCCCCCGGGCTAGAGCAGGGGTCTGTGTCTGTGTGGGGTGCCCACCTGGCGGGCCCTCACCCGCTGCCTCCCCCGCAGTGCTGCGAAGCCATCTACTCCAGCGTGTCTGGACTCAAGGCCCACCTCGCCAGCTGCAGCAAGGTCAGCTCTGGGCCCCCCCAGCCGGGCAAGGTCCTTGGTGCTCCCACCCAACCCCTCGGGGGTCTCCACCCTGTTCCCCCGTAGAGCTGCCTCTTCCATGAGCCCAGAGACCGGCCAGTGGTTGTTGGCCAGCCTAGGACACCTCCTGTCCCCCAGCCACCAGTCAGCGGGTCCCAAGTCCTGCCCTCAGGCCCTGGTCTGAGCGGGTGTGGGTGGTCACCGTGCCCAGCGTGGAGGGCACACTGGCTCGGGATAAGGGACCCTTGGCCAAGGTCCACAGCCCTTCCCCAGGGCAGTCACCTCTTAACCCTCTCCTCACCCCCACCCGCTGCGGCAGGGTGACTTGCTGGCCTCCTCAGCACCTGTCCCAGCGTCCTTTTTCATTGGCTGCGCTGCCCCTGTAGCTACAGGGTAGGGGCTTAGGACAGATCTAGATGCTTTGGGGCCTCCAAGGGTGGGGGCGGGTCTGACCTTTGGGGACCGGACTGCCCGTGTGTTGCAGGGGGACCACCTGGTGGGGAAGTACCGGTGTCTCCTGTGTCCAAAGGAGTTCAGCTCCGAGAGTGGCGTTAAATACCACATCCTCAAGACCCACGCAGAGGTGTGAGAGCCATTGCCAGCCTGGCGGCTGGCGGGGCTGCTCCAGGAGGGCCTTGGGCCAGGGTTGGGTGGTGGGGGGGCGCTGTGGCCTGCGTGGTGTGTGCCTGAGCGAGTGACTGGCGTTGGGAAATCCAGTGGTCTCCTCAACTGGGCATCTTGCCGTCCTGGAGACAGGAGAGCTGAGAGGTGTGGCTGCACCCCACAAGGCACCCCAAACGGGAGCCCCCCCTCTGGTGGGTGCCAGCCCCTCGGTCACCTCGTAGCAGTTGCCTGACTGGCTCCGGAGGCTGCTGGGTCTGCAGCTTTGGGGCGAGGGCGTGGACTCTGGGGTCACACCTGGCTCAGGTGCTCAGGATCTTCCTGTCCCCAGGTCTTCATCGCCACCTTTCTCTCCCTAGAACTGGTTCCGTACCTCAGCAGACCCACCTCCCAAACACAAGAGCCAGGACTCGGTGGTGCCCAAGAAGGAGAAGAAGAAAAACCTGGCCGGCGGCAAGAAGCGGGGCCGCAAGCCCAAGGAGCGGCCCCCAGAGGAGCCGGTGCCCAAGCTGCCCCCCCGCCGGGACGACTGGCCCCTAGGGTGCAGAGACAAGGGGGCCCGTGGCACTGCTGGCCGGAAGGGGGGAGCTGGCAAAGCACCTGAAAAGTGAGCGTGGCGGGCCGGCCACCTTGCCCCACTCTGCCAGGGTGGGCGTAGCTGGCTCCAGGACCTGCCGTCCTCCAGTTCTCCATCCCTTCCCCCGCCTGTCCGTCCGTCCAGTGGGGCGGCCAGCCACTCTCCCCTCCCTGCAGGCAGCCCTGACCCTGCTCAGGGCACACCTGGGTTTGGACTCCCCGGGGCCGGAGCAGAAGTGCAATAGCCGGAAGGTCAGCCCTCCCCGGGAGAACATGTCAGGTCTGCGGCGTGGAGCAGGCACATGGCCCGCAGGCCCCCCGTGTCTGCTTCCTCAGGCCCTGCGGGATCCCACCTTGGCTCCACCAAGGCTCAGGTGTCCCTGGCGACCCCTGGCTCTGGGCTGGCTAGGGCACCTGCACAGCCCTGGCAGCCACCCTCTGGGCCTCGCCTCTACCCGACACTGGAATCCGGTACCCCAGCTACCTCCCAGGACAGACCCCCATCCCGCCACTGCCATGCTGACCTGGCAGGTGCCTGCCCTCCCCAATCCACCACCTCTGGTTCCTCTGCTTCTGTTTTCTACCTCTCCAGGCCTGTCCTCTGCCCCCTCCTCTCTGTCCTGTCACCCTGCTTTGCCGTGCCCACGCCCCTCTGGCCTGTGTCTGCAGTGTCCCCCACTCAGGGCAAGGGAGGGATTCTGCTCTCCCACCTGCAGAGTGGCAGGAGCAGTAGCCTGAGGCTCCCGGACATAGCCCTAGGGGTGTGGGGGCCCTGAGCGTGCTCTGCCTCCCACCATCGGCTTCCAGACACAGGCGAGCTAGATCGGGGCAGCCTGGTAGTACAGCCGGACAAGTCTGGGTCTGGGGCCCATGGGCAGGAAGCTGAGTAGAAGCAGCCTGGCTCTGAGTGGCCACTGGGGACAGGCAGCCTTCCTCCTGCTAATCTGGGTTGGCCCAGTGGCCACTCCTGTGGGAGCCCCTTTCTCCCCCATTTCTACCTGCTCCTTAGTTTCTGGTTGTGTTTCATTTGGTACAGGAGCCGGCCAGGGGAGGGGGTTTGGCCAAGGTCACAGAAGTTGGTGGCACTCCAGGGCTCTGTCTTTGCTCCTGGTGGGGCCCCCCAGTTGGTGGGGTCTGCAGGTCGGGCATTGGGTGGGTGGGGAGTCCAGGGAGCCTGGAGGAGGTGGCCGCACAGCCTCTGAATTCCTCCTGGGCCCCCGCCTTTCAGCGTTGTCACAGGGAGGAGGGTGCTCAGAGGGGCGGGCTTGGATGGAGGCCGTTTTCCAGGGGGTGGGCTGAGGGCTCATCCTTGCCGATCCTGGATGATGTGAATTTTGATATTTGCCCGTGTGCGTGTGTCTCCTGGGTGTAGTGGATGCCAGTCTTGTTGCTGTGACAAGTAACAACCTTTTTTTAAATTCTGTTTTTTATACAAAAACAACAATCTGACATTTTGGTGCTAAGGGTTTCCTGGTGCCCATGGCGGGGCTGGGGGCTGGGCTGGGCTGGGCTGGGCTGGGGCCCTGTGCTGCTCAGATGGGCAGTGCTGACTGGGCACCCCGCCTGCCCCCTAGTTCTCACCAAGGGCCCCAGCTGGGCTCAGCTCTTCTTGCCCCGCAACAGGGAGGCAAGTTGCAGGGGGGCTTTGGGGCTGGCTGGGGTTGCTGTGCTCTGTCTCTGGCTCTTTCCTTTGGCCAGAAGGCTCTGACCCCGGGCAGCCCTGTTGTGGTGTGCTAGGGAGGGGTTGTGGGGGTTTGGACTCCCCTCACCCTCACCTTGACCTAGTCAGAGGATGGGGCTTGGACAGGTGGGGGCGGTCCAGCGGTGAAGGTCAAAGAGTGGGTGGGGTTTGGGGCAGGAGGGCTTCCCTTGCTGTGTTCCAGAGCTTCACCGGGGTGTGCAGCTGGTGGTGGGGGGATGGGGCCAGGCAGCTCTGCAGGGGCGGCCTCTTGAGTGGCGGGGGGAGCAGACGCTGGGCTGGAGTTTAGGTGCACTTTGTCCTTGTCACCAATGGTGGGGCAGGTTGGACCCCAACACCTCTGCTGGGTGTGGCTGCCTGCCCCAGCCTCTCAGGTACTTGGCCCTTAGGGAGGGGGGTCTGGTTTCTGCTGGGGGGTGAGTTTCCAGGACACCCTAAAAGCCCACAGATAGTCCTCCTGTGGGAAGGGGGTGCCCTGGATGACTTATGTTTAGCACTTTAACCCCCTTTGTAAAGTAGGTGTGGGGGCTGCTGCCAAATGTGGCCGTTGGGTCTAAGCGCCCCCACCCCCCTCTCCCCCAGGTGCTGGCAAGCTGGTCTGCAGGGCCCTCCTCCCAAGGAGGTGGGGGCTCCAGGGGGCTCAGAAGGATCTGCCCGCCTCCACTCTGGCCCACATGTGGCCAGGTGAGCACCCTGGATGCCTCCATGAGGGGGGCCAGCGTGGTAGACCCCGGGGTGTGGTGGGCACGGTCCCTGCCCGCAGCCGGGTCTGGAGCCCTCTCTGCGGATCTACCTCTGGCTCAGCGCAACTCCCCACCCCAAAGAACAGGAGAGTGCCCGCAAGGGCTGACTCAAGGGGCTGACACTTCACACGAAAATAGGGTGCACTTTATTTGCCCGGCAAAGGCAGTTGAGGGGAGCCTCCTCCGTGCTGTTGGGGGTACCCTGACGGGGAGGGCTGTCCCCACACCCCTACTGGGGCCCCGGCGGCTCTCCTCGGGGCCTGAACTGGGAGGTCCAGCGGGTCATACCCCCTGCCTGGTGGCCACGCGTCCTATACCTGGGGTTTCTTGGTTTGGGTTTTTATCGCCAGTTCTCAGTACATAAGTGCATTTCGAGAGGCTCCAGCTATCACTTGTAACCATATATATACATATATATTCTATCTACAAAGTGTTTATTTGCAAGATGTTTTGACGGTGAGCTCGGGCCGCCCGCCCTGTGACCATCTGTCCCCAGTCCTCGTCCCCGCCCCGCCCTGGCCCGAGTGGCGCGGGGCGGGCCATCACTGTATGTATTAAAGATGACTGTATCGAATAAATGTTTATTGATTTTTTTTCCAGGGCTTTTGTGAGGCTGAGTTTGTGGTAAAACGCGGGGGGTCCTTGGGGCGCGGGGCCGGGACGAGGCCTTGTGGGGATCGTAGTCCGCCGGGTCGGCCCGGTTCCAGGCGGCCCCCGCCCCGGCGCACGGCCTTGTGGGGCTCGTAGTCCGCGGGGTCGGGTCCGGCTCCCGACGGTTCCAGGGCCCCCGCCCCGGCGCACGGCCTTGTGGGGCTCGTAGTCCGCGAGGGCGGGTCCGGTTCCAGGGCCCCCAACCCGGCGCACAGCCTTGTGGGGCTCAAAGTCCGCGAGGTCGGGTCCGGCTCCCGTCCCGGCGGTTCCAGGGCCCCCAACCCGGCGCGCGGCCTTGTGGGGCTCGAAGTCCGCCGGGCCGGGTCCGGCTCCCGGCTGTTCAGGGCCCGCGTCCCGGCGCGCGGCCTTGTGGGGCTCGAAGTCCGCGGGGTCGGGCCCAGCTCCCGGCTGTTCAGGGCCCGCGTCCCGGCGCGCGGCCTTGTGGGGCTCGAAGTCCGCGGGGTCGGGCCTGGCTCCCGGCTTTTCAGGGCCGCTCCCGCGGCCTGCCCTTGTGGGGTCGAAGTCCGCGGGGTATCGAGCCTGGCTCCCGCTGTTCAGGGCCGCTCCCGGCGCGCGGCCTTGTGCGGCGCTCGAGTCCGCGGAGTCCGACGCCGGCTCCCGCGTGTTCCCAGTGCGGCTCCTGGCGGACCGGTGCGGCGCGGAGAGGCCCGCGAGCCCCATGGCTGCGCCCCCGCCGGACCCGCCGCCGCCGGCCGCCCCCCGCCGCGAGGAGAGCGGAGCCCGCGACGGAGGACCGGTAGGCGCGGCGCCGGCGACCGGGGCGGCGCTCCCTCGCGTGCACGCGGAGGACGGACGGGCGCGAGCCGCGGCCTTCGGGCTGGCGTCGGTCCCCTGCGCGCACCGCGGCGGCGCCAGACAACCGGGCGGCCGTCGCGGGGTCCCCGCCCGCCGCGTGCCGCACCTCACACCCGGCCTGCCCGCCGGCCCGCCGCGAGTGCGCGGCCCAGCGGCGGTGCCTTCTTGGGCTTCCGGCCTGGGCGCGGCGGTGGGGCCCGGCTCGGCCCGCTCCTCCCCGCGGGCCGGGGCTCTGCTGCCCGCGCGCGGGGGACCCCGAGGCTCCTCCGGGCTCCGCAGAGCACGAAGGGAGGAAGCGCGGGGTGCGGGGCGGCCACCCCGCCCGGTTGGGTCCCCGGCGGCCGGCGGGGAGACGCTGCCTGTGCCCTTGCGGCGTGGCCGTGAGGGGGCAGTGCCGCGCGGTGCCCGGGCTGCCGGCGCTCGCACCGCCTCCCTCCGGGCCGGAGCGGGGTCCTGGGGCGGCGAGGGCCCCTCTTCCCCGGGCGCCGGCTGTCACTCAGAGGCGAAACCCGCGTGCCGGGACTTGAGGGCCGGTCTGGGCGCTGCCGCCTGGGGAGCTGCAAACGGCAGCTCTCCACCAGGAGCCGCGGCAGAGCCGCCCCGCCCCGAGGGCGCGGTTCCCTGTCCTCTCGGCTCACGCCCTCCCGGCGGCCAGTGGGCAGTGGCCAGGAGCGTGCCGTGGCCGGGGGCCAGGAAGACCCGAGTCTGCTAAGCTGCTGGTTCCAAATCTTTGATTTAACTCAAGATGGGAGAGGCTGAGGGCTGTGGAGAAAAGCACTCCGTGATGACACAGGGTGGTGGCAGCGACCAAATGGTGTACTGGGCACGGTGCCAAAGGAGGTGGAGACTGTTGTCATCCTTCCTCAGGGTGGTCACTGAGGGACAGCGGGGAGGCAGGACCGCCAGCCGAGAGAGTGACCACAGCATTCTCCGTCCAGAGCTGCTTCTGCACTTCTTGCACCTTTCCTGGTGCCTGTCCCCTCCAGGGCTTCCTCTGCCCCAGCCCAGTGGCTCTTGCTGTTCCTCAAATGTGTCCCCAGCCCCTGCTCTGGCCCCCAGCCTTCAGTGCTGCCCCGTGCCCCCTGCGGGCTGCAGCTGGGCATCCAGGTCTGTGCAGACACCCTGAGGCTCCCCCGCCACTGCTCCAGTTCCTCCTTCCCCATCTTTGCGCTGCGGCAGTGCAGTCCGTCTGCGTTGTCCGTTGTTTATGGTCTGCTTGCCCCTCATGGCTCTGTCTCCCACAGCTGCCTCCGAGCTGAGTTCCCCTTTGTGGTGGTAGCAGTGACTCCCAGCTGTGGTCTCGATGGGGGGAGAGGAGGGAGGCTGGCAGTGACCTGCCCAGAGCAGCCAGAAAGAAGAGTCCTGCTGAGGAAAGGTTTCCGGGGCAGTGGGGTGGGCCAGTGCAAGCCCCCCGATCTACCAGCCCTCCGTCACCCTGCGAAGGCTGCCAGTAACACTGTCCCTGAGCCAGTCTGGAACCACTGGGCTCTGGCCCAAATTGGCTCCTGTGGACTGGCCCGCTCCCTCCTCCCTCTGGCCTCATTTTATTCATCCAGCAAAACTCTCACACCCGGCTGGGTGACAGGAGGGGCTGTGCTATGGGCGCTGGGTGGGAGGGTCCTCGGTGACGGTGACCAGAGTGGCAGGAGAACAACACTGAACTGCAGCAAGGGAGGGCCCGGAACCTCCCTGTGGCGTCTGTGTTCCACACCACAACTGTTCCTTCAAGGTCAGATTCAAGTGTCCCAAGTCCCCGCTGTCAGGCGTTTGCTTCTGATTTCACTGGCGTTGTAGACACGTCAGTGAGGCCGGCTCTGCTCTGCACACGCCAGTGCTTGTTTCCTTACGACGACATCACTCATGGGGTCCTTATCTTGACCCTCCTGTAGTGCACCTGCTGCTGTCCTTGAGGAAACTGAGGCGAGCGGTGGCTCAGTGGTGGGCGGTGAAGGGTGCTGTAGCCCCAAGTGGAACGGCCGGCAGGTGAAGGGTGTCCTGAGGTGACTAGGGCAGCCTCCAGCACCACCTGCCTCAAACAGCCCTGACACCTGCCGTGGGAGGAAACCTGGGCAGAAAGGTGCCGGAGCAGGCAGCTCCTGGAGCAGCATTTGCCCCCCCATAGGTGGCGCTGGGAACGGGTGTTCTCTGGCCCATCCCAGCCCTGGTGAGTCAGAGCCCGGTGTGGGCAGGGGCAGGGGGTGGGGGCCGTGTTCTTGGCATATAGGTTGGGGGATATTGGCGCTGGGGAGACCAACAGAAGGAGAGTCTGGAAGTTACCTGCTTTGGAATGGCCAGGAGGTCCTGTCCCTCCCTGCCATGGGCTGCATGGCCAAGAGGCCAGCTACATGGAGGGGTGTGCTGGACATCGTCCTCAGCAGGGTGGCCTGTGGCAGGGCCAGGCAGTCCAGGGCGGAACCTGGTGGTTCAGTTAGCAGCTGCATACCTGGGCTCCTGCCTCCCTTTCCTAAGCCAGCACAATACTGGCTTCCCACAGACCTGTCTGGACCCTCCTACTCAGCCTGGGTCCTGGCCCGCTGGGGTGCATGCCAGGCTGGCCAGCCTGAGTCCACTTTGCTGCTCAAACAGCCAAGCTAGCGAACTCCCAGGAGCCCCAGCTGTACACCCCTGACTATGGGTTGGCCAGCGGTGTGGACAGCCAGCCCCTGGGAGTGGGTCAGGGGCTGAAGCCCTGTGCACGCAGGTGGATGTGCTGCTCGAGCATCCAAGGCAGCTCCCCGGAGGGCCCACCTTTCAGGTGTGTGAACCCCGTGTAGAATCTTCCCTCTTCCCCGACCCCCTGGCAGCCCCTGTCTCTGTGCTGGAAGGCAGCGTGCGGAGAGACTGCCTTGCACAGATTGCTTCATCCCTCCCCCGGGGACAGTGAAGGGATTTTAGCTGTGACACCTTGCTGAGGCAGGGCTGGCTCCTGGACTTCGTCTGCTGCAGGCTGAGCTTGTGAGGTGGGGGCAGGGCAGGTAGGGCAGTTATTCCTGGCTGGTGTCAGAGGGTTGAGTTTCAGATTTGTTTATGCCTGTAGGAGACACCTTGGGGCCAGGGGTGGGGCGCCCAGCTCAGCACTGACATTCAGGTCACCTGTTCAAGAGGCGCCTCAGATATCCCTGCCTTGGCTGTGGGGGTTGGCTCTGCAGCTTTATCCACGGAATTCTGGGGGGTGCACGAGCACTGTGGTCCTCAGGTCTTGCGGACCAGCCCCCCCACAGAAGGGCCCTTAACGCTGAGGGCTGGCCTGGGGCTGTCCTGGCCACACCAAGCAAAGCCAGTGCTATTAATATCAGGCAGGCACAGGCCCCCAGCTTGGTGATCCTCTTATGCCTTGGCCTTGGCCTCTGAGGACAGCGGTGAGTGCTGTTCCCTTAGTACAGCGGGGTCACAGGGGCCTCCCAGCTGCTGCATCCCCCCTGCCTTACAGCAGCACCCACTGCCTCCTGGTGCCCAACCCCACCCGCTCCTCACCTGCGGTGCTGGCCAAGAGGGGTCCCACCCATGGAGGGGCAGTTAGGCGGCCACAGCTCCTGAGCTGGCCTGGGGGCCCACTGTGAGTTTAAGAGGTGGTGATACCCCCATAACTGCCATCCCAGAGCCCCACGACACATACCTGGGGTCACCCCGCTGTCCAGGAGCACCCACCTCCAGGGCCTGTGCCCACCCGTGTCCTCAGCCATGAGCATTCCCCCGGCTTACCCTGGCATCAGGATCTCCGGGTGCTGGGCCCTCGGAGCAGAAGGCAGGTGAGTCCCAGCAATGAGGCCCTGCTGGGGGCAGCCCCTTCCCCGTGGCCTTGCTGTTGTGGGCTTGTGTGGGGTGTGTCTGTGGGTGTCAGGGAGCAAACGGGCTGCAGGTGTGCTCAGGAGCTGGGCAGAGCTTGGGCCCACCGGTCGCGGTGCCTCTTGTGTCAGTTGTGGCTCTTTGGGTTGAAAGTAACTTTTGTCACTGGCCAGAAGCACCATTGTTCATCTGTGGACAGGAAATGAGGTCTTTGGTGCTACTTTCCTTTCTCAAGGGGTGCTTCTTGTGGAGAATGGGGTGAGGCTCGGTCCCCGGCTCCCAGAGGCAGACTAGCTCTGGAGAGGGCGGCAGGGCTGGGTTGGGCGCGGACGCGGCCCGAGGCTATCCAGCTAGTGGGAGCCCGTGCTGAGGCGGACATCAGGCAAGGCTGCCCCTGGCCTGCCGGCAAGCGTTCCCACCGTGCGGCACCGTTGGCAGGAGCACGAGCCGTGGCAGGGATCTGTGGCGGTTATCGCAGTAGCACGAGGAACAGTCACCAGTGGAGCCCCGAAGGCTCCCACCGAGACACGCGTGGGCGGGCACCACGTCTACCGCGCTGAGTGTGGGTGCTCACCCCTGGAACCCAGGGCGTGGGCCAGTGGTGCTGTCAGAAGCTTCATCCTTGAAGTCTTGCCCCTCTGTGAGTCAGATTCTCTGTGCTGGAGTTTCCTCCCTGAGGCTGAAGTGAGAGGGCGATTCCCTGTGGACGGTGGGGTTGGGCACAGAGAGGAGGGGGCAGCCTGGGTCTGTTCTCTGCCCACCGTGGCCTCCAGGCCCACCAGAGCTCGCCTGTCTGCTCAGAACACACGGCTGCTAGGGGCCAAGGCAGCTCCCCGCCCAGGCTAGCCAGCTGTGGGCCCCCACTGTTGCCCGCTGGGAGGGGCGGCCCCCAAGGGTGAGCCCTGGAGGCCCGTCTGTTTACCTCAGGATCCGTGTGCCCAGGTGACAAGCCCTCCCTCCCGGGGCCCAGAGAGGCCATTGCTTTCGAATGCTGAGTCCCCTTGTCTGTCCTGGGCTGAGTGGGGTGCAGCCCGGCTGGCCGCGTCCCTCACGTGCTGTGCGTGGCCAGCGGCTCCAGGCGCGGTGCAGGTCCTCCTGGCACCCACCGTGTGGCTGGTCCCCAGCCCTGCTGCTGACGCCAGCGCTCGGCTCAGAGGCACCGCTGGAGTGGAGAGGGGAGGCTGGGCGCAGCAGACTGGCTAATTATTCCCCGTGCTCCCCCTCCCACCCCCGCCTACCCATGGGTCTCCAGGGAGAAGCGCGGGATGTTTTCCTACCAGGGGGAGGCGGCTGGTTTTCTTGGGGCTCGGACTCGAGCCACGTCGTTCTGTGGGCCCTTGGGAGCTGCTGATGTGACCGGCCACACACTGGGCTCTGCCATTCCTTCCACGGCCCCACATGAGTGCACAGGCGCCACCTTTCCAGCTCCGGGCACTGCCGGTGTTCTGGGAGGTGGCACAGCTGGAAACACCAGCGTTCTGGGGCGGGAGGTAGCCAGGCTGCCCCGGAGGCGGGAAGACGTTTGTCTTGGCAGCAGCCGGGGAAGTGTGGAGCTGCACCCTCAGGGTTATAGCAGTGATGATGGGACAGCAAGCTTGAAGGACAGACTGTGGTTTGGGTTTTGATTACAAAGGGGCACGTGCTTATAAAACATTCAAATGAGGCCGGGCACGGTGCCTCATGCCTGTAATCCTAGCACTCTGGGAGGCCGAGGCGGGCGGATCGCTCAAGGTCAGGAGTTCAAAACCACCCTGAGCAAGACCCTACTAAAAAAATAGAAAGTCTCTACTAAAAAAATAGAAAGAAATTAATTGGCCAGCTAAAATATATAGAAAAAATTAGCTGGGCATGGTGGCGCATGCCTGTAGTCCCAGCTACTTTGGGAGGCTGAAGCAGGAGGATCGCTTAAGCCTAGGACTTTGAGGTCGCTGTGAGCTAGGCTGACACCACAGCACTTGAGCCCAGACAACAGAGTGAGACTCTGTCTCAGAAAACAAAACAAAAACATTCAAATGAGGCAGAAGTCCCTGTTCCAAATTTTGGTGCCCAGGGAGGTCCTGATTGCACCTGGCCCGTGTAAATGTCTCCCTCGCGCAGATGCAGGCGGGCAGACACCTGCGTTTGCCAGTGTCTGCGGAACGGGCAGCACCTCCTTACGGTCTGCTTTTCTCGCCTGGCCGTGCTCTGAGAATGCCTTTCCCTGTCCCCACCTGCGGTGTCCCACTGCGGAGTGTGGCATTTCCAGCCGTGATGGACACACTGCTACTGCAGGAGCGCCCTGCCTGCTCACCTAACTTTCCTGAGACGTGGGGCTCCGCCCTGCCCAGTCCGTGGCCACGTGGGTGGGCCGCCACCTGCAGGGCCAACCCGACAACCCCTCGGGGCTTCTGGCACAGTCCTGAAGCGTGCTGTTGGGCCACTGGGGCCGGCCCTGTCTCCCAGGCAGGGGACAGGGTGCTTCTGCCCAGCCTGTGTCCTGTCCCCACAGCGTCGAGCTGCTCAGAAGACACTGAGCCTTCCAGAAGCTGTCCCCTCCCAGGGTTTGAGGCCAGGGCCCCACTCACCTTGGGGATGTAAACCAACTGAGACATAAGCAGGGACTTGAATGTCAGCTTGCCTGTGAGTGACGTGTGTGGGTGTGACACAGACAGGCCTTAGCGTCCCTCAGATTGGATTCCCAGCCCCCTCCCTTCCCCCAGTCAGCCCAGACGGGTGTTTGCAGGATGCTATAGGTGTCCACCTTGGGGACCCAGCAGGGACCACAGCAGAAATATTCCCCTTGGGTCTCTCAGCCCAAGACCCCCTGTCCTGCACTCTGACAGCCAGAGCGGCTGGGCCACAGGGCCACCCTGCCCTGAGCACTCCCTCCTGTCCCGGGCAGGGACAGGTCCTGGCTGAGCCCTCCAGCCTCCCTCTCCCCAAGCCACTCAGCCTCTTCGCAGGTGTGGCCCCTCACCTGGGCATGCACAGCCTGGTCTGGGCTCACTCTGCCCGTGGGCTGCCCTCCCGTCCCAGGCACCTGCCCTGGGGCAGCGGTGATTGGGCTGCTCAGAGTGTGCAGGGCTGGGGAGAGGGCCATGGTCCTCTGCAGGGTCCTGCCCATCTCACATGCCCACCCGGGGGGACGGGGCCCCGCCCGGCCCGCACAGAGGAGGAGCGTGGCCCTGGGACGTGCGTCCCCTCCTGTTCCTGCCATCCTGCTGCTGTGCAGTGGTGGTCCATGGCCCCATGCCCGGCCGAGCCACAGGGTCATCTGTCCAGCGGGCCTAGGCCCCCGCTCTGTGGACCCGCTGCAGGCGGGTTTCGGGTGCACCCCCAGTCGAGCCGTGCCCCACGGCCAGGGATGGGTAAGGCTGGTGGCCTGAGGCTGAGGCCAAGCATGTCCTCCTGTGCAGCAGCAGCAACACGGAATCCCTGGACAGGCTCCTGCCCCCTGTGGGCACCGGGCGCTCGCCCCGGAAGCGCACGACCAGCCAGTGCAAGTCAGAGCCGCCCCTGCTGCGCACCAGTAAGCGCACCATCTACACGGCGGGGCGGCCACCCTGGTACAACGAGCACGGCACGCAGTCCAAGGAGGCCTTCGCCATCGGTGAGAGTGCGGGAGGGGCCCTGGGCTTCCTGGGGGGGTCGGGCGTCTCCGGGCCTGTCTGTGCGGCCGTCTGCTCCCGCTCACGGGCGTCTCTGCGCCCCCCCCCCACCCCGCAGGCCTGGGGGGTGGCAGTGCCTCCGGGAAGACCACCGTGGCCAGAATGATCATCGAGGCCCTGGACGTGCCCTGGGTGGTCTTGCTGTCCATGGACTCTTTCTACAAGGTGAGGCCCCGCCCGGCTCCCCACAGTGTGGCCCCGTGGCCCTGCGTGGCCCCGCGTGGCCCCGTGGCCTCAGCTCCTCCGCACCCCCCCACAGGTGCTGACCAAGCAGCAGCAGGAGCAGGCCGCCCACAACAACTTCAACTTCGACCACCCGGACGCCTTCGACTTCGACCTCATCATCTCCACCCTCAAGAAGCTGAAGCAGGGGAAGAGCGTGAAGGTGCCCATCTATGACTTCACCACGCACAGCCGCAAGAAGGACTGGGTAGGCGGGGTCCGGGCCGGGAGGGTGGTGGGGGCGCAAGCCGTGCGCTGGCAACTCCTGGTTCCCTTGCAGAAGACGCTCTACGGAGCGAATGTCATCATCTTCGAGGGCATCATGGCCTTTGCCGACAAGACGCTGCTGGAGGTGAGGGTCCATCCTGAACGCCCACCCCTTGCCGTCCCTGCTCCTCCTCCTGCCCACTGCAGGGAGGCTCCAGCCACCCTGTCCCCCAGGTGCGCAGTCACCTGTTCTACCCCGTCCCAGAGGTGCACGGTGCCTGTCCTGTCCCTGGGGCCTCCGTTCTCTGAACTGCCCGAGCCGGCCACTCCTCGCCCCCGGGAGGGCCCAATGGTGTCACGCATGGTGGAGTGTGGCTGCCGGCAGTGGTTCCTACTTCCACCTGCGCAGGAGGCCTGTGCGCATACCTGGCATGTTCTTTCAGCCTTGCTCACTGTGACCTCAAACTCCTGGGCTCAGGCGATCCTCCCGCCTCAGCCTCCCGAGTAGCTGGGACTACAGGCATGCTCCACCATGCCTGGCTAACTTTTCTATTTTTAGTTGCCCGGCTAATTTTTTTTTTCCTGTTTTTTAGTAGAGACAGGGTCTTACTCTCTTTGTCGGTCTTGTCCCTCGTAGTCCTGAGGGACGGGTGAGGACCCACGCCAGTGAGTTTGAGGTCACGCAGGCCTCCAAGGGCAGAACCGAATTTGACTCAGGTCCACCTGGCCCCAGGGCCCACGTCCTGCCCCCGGCACAGGCCCGGAGGACCCCACTGTTCTGCACATAGCAGCGCTCTGACCCCAGTCTCCCACGTGGCCACTTCAGGTGCCACCTGCTGTGTGCTGAGTATCAGGCCAGACTCTGAACTCTGAGCCCCAAACTTCCCGGTGTGGCTGTGGGAGCTTCACCAAGCGGACGTGCTGCCCAGCCCGTTCCCGCCTGGCCGCCCACCACCCTCCTGTGCCCAGGGGACACCACCGTGTGCCTCCAAACACGCTGCCCGCGTGCACGCACACCCCACAGCGGCCAGGCCCGACGGGTGCACAGACCAGGAGGTCTCGCGGCAGGGGCTGGTCCTGGCGCCTCCACGCTGGCTGTGCTGGTGACAGGCCCGCCCACGGGTGGCCGTCCCCATGCAGCTCCTGGACATGAAGATCTTCGTGGACACGGACTCCGACATCCGCCTGGTGCGGCGGCTGCGCCGGGACATCAGCGAGCGGGGCCGGGACATCGAGGGCGTCATCAAGCAGTACAACAAGTTTGTCAAGCCCGCCTTCGACCAGTACATCCAGCCCACCATGCGCCTGGCCGACATCGTGGTGCCCAGAGGTGAGCCCCCGGGCTGCCTGCGGGGTTAGGCGGGGGCCCCGGCCCCCGTCACCCGCCTGCCTGTCCCCCCAGGGAGCGGCAACGCGGTGGCCATCGACCTGATCGTGCAGCACGTGCACAGCCAGCTGGAGGAGGTAGGCGCCCGGCGCGGGCTCCCCGTCCCCACAGCCGTCCCCGCCCAGTCCCTGCTCCTCTGCTGCCACCGCCACAGCAGCCTGCTCGGGCAGCCCCTGTGTGTTCACAGTCCCCCGCAAGGTGCCAGCCCCCAGCGTCCTGTGCCTGTTGGTTAGCCTGGTCACCCCGCTGGGCCCCCGCCTCTGTGCCGGGCAGGGCCTGGGTTCCCTGAGGATAGGGGGCAGCACAGTGGCCAGGCCCAGCCAAGAGCCACCCCCACAGCGCACCTGGCCTGTGCTTGGCCTCGCACAGAAGGGCACGCTCCTGTGCCCCCCAGCCTCTGAGGGTGACGAGAGTGGCCAGGACTGTGGGGTCTCAGTGCCGAGTCCCATATGGAACCAGAGCTCCCCTCTTTCCCAGTGGGTCGCCCTAGGAGTGATAGCCCCAGCAGAGCTCCCGTGTGCCCTGTGGCATTCTGGGGCCAGGCAGGCTCAGGGCACACCCTGGCTCTGACTGCCCCAGCCCAGAACTGCAGGTCCTGGCCCAGGGTCAGAGGCCATTAGAAGCTCAGCCTCTCCCCTGGCTGGCCATGTTCCCACGGGGCTGCAGCATGGCCACTCCTGGGTGGGACTGGCCTGGCCACCTGCCCTGCTCACTGACACGTCACCGTTCCCTTGTGTCTCCCTGTGTTGCTGCCACAGCGTGAACTCAGCGTCAGGTAAGACTTGTGCAGCTGTAGCACAGATGGAGGCATTTCCAACATCCACACGGAGCTCCGGGTCTGGGCTGTGGCCCAGGCAGGCAGGCAGCCCTTCCCCCGACATGGCAGGGGTGGCGTGGAGCAGTCCCTTCCCTGCTTCTGCCTCTCCTTGCTGGCAGACGAGGACACTGAGGCACAGAGAGTTTAAGCAGCATGCTGTAGGTCACACAGACCTTGCTGGAGCCTCCCCCATCTCTGGATTTGACTCCAAAGAGCACAGCTGTTCTGAGACAGCACTGCCAGGCTCCCAGGGCAGCGGCCACAGACACGGCCCATCAGACAGAGGGTGCCTGTTATAGCCACTCCCACCAACCAAAATCTCGTGGGGCCTGTCGATTCAGTCTGGGTGGTGAGGGCCTGGCCCCTGTCCCTGCCCATCCTGGTCCTGTGCTGTCCTATCTTTGTCCTCAAGCCCAGTGCAGCTTAGGCCAGGAGGAGCAGTGTTGGTGCTGCAGGCAGCAAGCTCTGGTTGGGCTGGGGCTGCCTCCCACAGCCCACCACGAGGGCAGGCTGGCGGGGAAGTCAGCACCTGCCTCGCGCGGCCAGCCGAGGGACCTGCCCTTTTCCTAGGCTTTCTGTGGAGTTGGGAGGCTTGGGCTGAGCCACCTGGTTGGTGAGCCTGTACACCCGCCCTGGGTGGCCCAAGGGTCCGCTGTGTGTTGGAAATGCCTCCAGGGCCCATCTGCCAGCTGCGCACCTCCCCATCCCCCCCCTCCTGTCCCCGCATGAGCTCTGCTTGGCCCCCACCAAGACCCACAGGGCTTGTCACGGCAGTTTCCTCTTGAAGCCTTTGTTCTCAGAAAAAAAAAAAAGTTTCCAGGGTTTCAACTTGAGAAAAACGCCTGAATACGGCCAGCTACAGTTTCCATTCTCTGGTCAGCCAAGGAAGTGGTGGCCAGAGGCCCTGCGTGCGGCTCTCAGCCCAGGAAGTGCTGCTGGTGGCAGCAGGGAGGGGCTGGGCGCGGCTGGCTGGCGCTCCTGCCCGGGAGCAGAGGCCCGGCCTCTTCCTCAGGCCTGGTGGCCGCGCTGTTGACTTCTGCTGGGACTGCCCCTGCTGCCGGGACTAAGTGGGCTTCTCTCTGTTCTCTTCCTCTTCTGTGTAAACCCCATCTCCTGCCTTGTTCCCTCTCTGAATACGCTCTTCACCTGGTGAGCAGAGGAAGCTGCGTTGGGATATGTGAGCGGAGTGTGCTCTGATTGTAGTGCTGCTGTGTGTGCTGCTCCTGCTGCGAGCCCAGCCCTGCACCTGCCCTGCCCCGCCCCCTGCACCTGCCCCCCCCCCCCCGCCGCACTTGCCCCGCCCCCGGCACCTGCCCTGCCCCTGCACCTGCTCCCGGCACCTGCCACGCCCCCGGCACCTGCCGTGCCCCGCCCTCTGCTTCTTTTCCTATCCTGCTCCCAGCACCTACCGTGCCCCACCCTCTGCTTCTATTCCTGCCTTGCCTCTTGCACCTGTCCTGCCCCGCCCTCTGCTTCTATTCCTGCCTTGCCTCTTGCACCTGTCCTGCCCCGCCCTCTGCTTCTATTCCCATCCTGCCCCCTGCACCTGCCCTGCCCCGCCCCTGCTCGTATTTCTGCCCAGCCAGCCCCTTGCACCTGCCTGGGTCCCGCCCCCGGTTCCTGTCCATGCCCCGCCCCCTGTGCCTTCCCTTCCTGGTGGCCCTACCCTTCTTCCCTCTCCAGACCTGGGGCAACAGGGCGGGGCAGCCAGGCGACACTGAGCCAGCTTTGCCCTTCTCTCCTGAGAGTGGCCATGCACACCTGGAGGATGGGCCAGGACAGTGATTGAGCCAAAGCATAGTCCCCCCACAGAGAGGCTGGGATGAGGGTCCATTCCGGGGGCTAAGATGTGTCTGCAGGCACGAGCCCCCTCTGTGCCTGGCCCTTTTCTGCTGCTTCTGAGCGTGGGAGGGTCCTGGACTGGTAGGGGACCCTCACAGCCCAGCCCCTGGCTTCCTGGCCGACAGCCGCTCCGCCGTCCACTGCGCTTTTTTTACCTTTGCCTGGCAGTTGAGGTAGGGGGACATCTGCCCCCCAGGGCAGCCGCAGGGAGGCAGCCTGGTTCCACCCTGCACATCCGAGGTGCCCCCACAGGTGTGCCCTCACAGTGATGCGCTGTCCTATGGGGGGGCTGTGGGAGAAGACACCCCTTCTTGAGTGTCCCCAACTGGCTTGTGCCCCCAGGGCCGCACTGGCCTCAGCCCACCAGTGCCACCCCCTGCCTCGGACGCTGAGCGTTCTCAAGAGCACGCCACAGGTACGGGGCATGCACACCATCATCAGGTGAGTGCCCACCTGCAGGGCGGGGTACCCTGGGGGCCCCCCCTCTGCTAAACCGCTGGCCCCACAGGGACAAGGAGACAAGCCGCGACGAATTCATCTTCTACTCCAAGAGGTTGATGCGTCTGCTAATCGAGCACGCACTCTCCTTCCTGCCCTTCCAGGTGCGCAGCGAGTGGGGTGGGAGCGTCGGGTCCGGGCTGGGGAGGAGGGTCTCTGCACTCACGGTGCCCCACGTCTGTGCAGGATTGTGTGGTGCAGACCCCGCAGGGGCAGGACTATGCCGGCAAGTGCTACTCAGGGAAGCAGGTACTTGCACGTGCGCCTGGGGGCGGGGCCGGGGGCGGGGCCTGGCGGCGGGGGGGGTAGGGGCGGGGCTCACTCAGCCTCTCTGCTGCCAGATCACCGGTGTGTCCATCCTGCGGGCCGGCGAGACCATGGAGCCCGCGCTGCGTGCCGTGTGCAAAGACGTGCGCATCGGCACCATCCTCATCCAGACCAACCAGCTCACAGGGGAGCCTGAGGTGCCGGGACAGGGCCGGCCTGGGGGATGGGGGGATGGGGGCCGAGTCAGAGGCAGCTCACAGGAGGGCCCTGGGAGCGCCGGCACGTGGCTCTGACCCCCGTTGTCTGCAGCTCCACTACCTCCGGCTGCCCAAGGACATCAGCGACGACCACGTGATCCTCATGGACTGCACGGTGTCCACGGGCGCCGCGGCCATGATGGCTGTGCGCGTGCTCCTGGTGAGTGGGCCCCAGGCGGGCTGCGGACGGTCCGCACAGGGCTGGGAATCACCTGCCTGTGCTCGCAGGACCACGACGTTCCGGAGGACAAGATCTTCCTGCTGTCGCTGCTCATGGCAGAGATGGGCGTGCATTCAGTGGCCTACGCTTTCCCACGTGTGAAGATCATCACCACGGCCGTGGACAAGCGAGTCAATGACCTTTTCCGGATCATCCCGGGCATCGGTGAGGGGCCCCTTCCGCAGAGCGTGGAGGCAGGGGGTGACCCCAGGCGGCCTTGCCATGCTGGCTTTTTTTTTTTTTAATTTTTTTTTTTTTTTTTTGACAGAGTCTCGCTTTGTTGCCCAGGCTAGAGTGAGTGCCGTGGCGTCAGCCTAGCTCACAGCAACCTCCAACTCCTGGGCTCAAGCAATCCTCCTGCCTCAGCCTCCCGAGTAGCTGGGACTACAGGCATGCACCACCATGCCTGGCTAATTTTTTCTATATATATTAGTTGGCCAATTAATTTCTTTCTATTTATAGTAGAGACAGGGTCTCCTCTTGCTCAGGCTGGTTTTGAACTCCTAACCTTGAGCAATCCGCCCACCTCGGCCTCCCAGAGAGCTAGGATTACAGGCGCGAGCCACTGCGTCCGGCCAATGCTGGCTTCTTTCTCTAGGGAACTTTGGCGACCGCTACTTTGGGACGGACTCGGTCCCCGATGGCAGTGATGAGGAGGAAGTGGCCTCCACAGGTTAACGGCCCAGGTGGAGCCACCCGGTCCACTTACCCCAGGATTGCAGTATGCAACACATAATTTATTTTAATCTTTAAAATGTCATCAATATGGCTTACGCATTTTATAAAATAAAGCTTTAGAAAAATGGAGGTGTGGCTGGTTAGTTACGGCACAGGAGTGGTGTCCCGGCCAACGGCCAACGTGGCTTGTAGAAGCTCCCCCAGGCTGCAGGAGCTGCGGGCCACGAGGCCGGCCTCTCCCCAGCAGGACCAGGCACTCCCAGTCTCGCGCTTGCGCCTGGCCAAGCGAGGCAGCTCTGTTAGATGGGTCCCCCGGAACCACGCAGTTTGGTGTCCACTTGGCCTGGACCTGGGGAGGGGACAGGACCACCCGGGGCCCACAAGAGGCAGCCCCACCCTGTGACTGCTCCCCGCTACCCACAGATTTGTACCATCAAGGGACCCAGCGGAAACTGGTGTGTGGGCGGCTGTGGGAGGGAGGCCCCGGCTGCAAGGAGCTGGCCCGGGCCTCAGTGGACCAGCTGTGCTGTTCAGCGCTAGATGCCTCGTACAGCCCAGCCATCACTGCTCCTAGACTCAAGGGTGATAGACTTCCCCGGCCACCCCCAAACGTCCCCGCCATGGAGAGCCTGCCTGGGTGAGGTGTCCATGGTGCACACGTGACACCCTGTGCTCGTGGGGGCCGTGGGCTCATCTGGGGCAGATGGGCTGGGACCCTGAGGCAGACTCCCTCCTCTGCCCCTCCAGACCTGCTCTTGCCTCTTTCCTGCTTCCCTGGTCTCCCCTCCCCCCCAAGGCCTTGTCATGGAAAAGCTTGAGAGGGGGTGGGGACAGGAAGTCACCGGGTGGAGGCCAGGCCAAGGCGGGCAGATAAAGACAGGAGGCTTGTCCAGGGGGCAGCCAGCCACCACTGGGACAGAGGACCAAGGTAGGCTCAGAGGTCAGCAGGAGGGTCTTCCCTCCCTACCGTGGTGAGTAGACCCCTCTCCCATCCCTCCGGGCCCTAGCCGCACTCACTCACTCACGCTTGGGCGACAACAGCCTGGCCCTGCCCTGTGCACCGGGAGGAGGTGTCTCCTTCTTTCATCCAGGTCTTCCCAGGAGAGGGATGGTGGAAGCAGTTAGCCAGGAGCTGGCAGGGGCCAGGTCGCCCCCGGGAGGGCCCCAAACGGGCTGATCCACTCCGGAGAGGCATGTGTGTGCCAACACCCCACATGCACTGCGTGCATGGCAGCACAAAGCACTCATCCACCCCCAGACACACACACACTCGTGCATGATGCAGCCCAGGGCCGGAAGGAGGGGTCCAGCTGCCCCCATTCCAATTAGCCCCCAGCCCAGAGGGGAAGGCAGCTTCCTCCCTCTTCTGAGGGTCCGTGGAGGCCTGCCTGGAGCCCTGGCTCAGATCCCCACCCGCGTGGAGGCTGTGGCACTGCTGGCAGGCCTCAGGCTGGGGTCTCCATACCGGAGCACAGCTCAGGGCCTGGCAAGGCTGCGTGACAGTTTAGGGGAGTTCTTGGGCACACTTCCTGCCAGGGCCCCGTGGGGTGTCAGAGGTGGGCCACCTTTCAAATAGCTCTGGGGGAGGGTTTTTAGGGTGCCAGTGGGGGGAAGGGGCAACTCCTCCAGCCCCTGGGATCTTTCTGGTCCTACGAAAGAGGAAAGAGAGCCAGGATCCAGCATCCAAGGCCTGCATGAGAACAAACCCCGAGGCAGCTTCTGGATACATTGGGGGTGTCCAGTGTGGGCAGGGCCTGGGGTGAGGCTTGGGCCATGCTCTCCAGGGAGGGATGGGGCCATCCCTGGGAAACTCTCGGAGGGCTGATGTGGGGCTGCAGCCAGACAGCCCTGTGCTGCCCTCCAGCCATCTGGGCTCCCCTGGACCCAGCAGAGGCTGAGGGGTGCTGGGCGGGCACCCTGCAGAAGCCGAGGGGAGCAGTAACACGGGGCCAGGGCCCAGAGGTGCTCTTCAGAGCCCAGGAGGGAGCCGGGCGGGCTGGACGCAAACCCGTGATACTCCGTGTGAGTGTCCCCAAGGAGAAGCCTGCCCGCCCCGGCTCTGCCAGCTGCCCCGGGCAGCACCTCCAGGGCTGTCCAACCTGAGAATGGTGAGTCTCCAGGGTCAATCTCAGGTTCGTCAGCCCGTGAGGTGCCGCCCCTTCCCCACGGAGTCTGACGTGAGGGGGTGATGGGTACCCTGGGTGGGTGGGAAGGGAAGCCTGGGGTGCCCAGTGCCAGGGGATGGGGTCTTTCCCCAGCACAAGGCACACGTGGTTGTCACAGTGACACATGCTATCAGCAGCAGGGTCTGAAAATCCGGGATGGACTGGGGTTCAGGTGCCCTACCTGGTTCCCGAGCTGGGCCACCTGCAGTCAGGAAGAAGGCAGCAGACCTGCCTGGAGTCCTGGGCCCCCGCACCCCCGCTGCCTATTGTAGCCCCACGTGCCCCAGGATGACTCCTGGGAAAAGGGCCTTCAGGAGGAACACCTGTGGGGCTGGACAGGTGCTCCCACCATGGGGGAGGCACGAGGCAGCCAGAGAGGACCCCGCAGGTTATGGCATTCTCAGGCTCTCCAGGTCGAGTCGAGGGCTGGGGAGCCACGGAGGGTCCTAAGCAACACGGCGGGGAAGCAGGTGTGGGGAGTGGAAGGGAGCCCGTGGACCTCGGCCGCGCGGGGCTTAGGAGGAGGGCAGCTCCCATATAGGGTCTGACCCAGGACGATGGCCCTGGAGCGACGGGGTTGAATGCAAGGGCGACTTCAGCGGTGACATCCACTGGGGCGGCCAGTGCGGGGCGGACTTAGTTAGGGGCGCGGGTCCACGCACGTCCCACCAACCGGCTTCCAGCTGGAGGCCTGGCCTGCCCCGGCGTCACGCGGCTCGGGGGCGGGGCCGGCGCCTGCCCTCCCGGGTCCCGCCCGGCCCGGTTCCCGCGCCAGTGGAGCAGAGCCCAGAGCGTGTCCGGTGGAGGGACCGCACGCGCGGGCGGGCGGAAAGCGCGCTGGGCAGCGGGCGCTCGGGGTCCTGGACGCGGGGCCGGGGCGTGAGACCGCGGGGCCCTGGGGAGTCCGCGGCTGAGCTGGGCGCCCGCGGGCCTCGTCTGGGGTGGCGCCGGGGCCTCTGAAACCGAAGCGTGCTGGGGCTCGGGGCCTGGAGGGGCGCGCGGGCGGGCTGAGGACAGCGGGCCTCCCCGCGGCGACGGGTCCTTCCGGGCGGCGGGGACCGACGGCGCTGGAGCCGCGCTCCACGGGCCGGGTCGGGGCGCCACCTGCTGCAGCGCGGGCAGGTGACAGGGGACGCTGGCGGCGCCCGCCCCGCGCACTTCTCGGGCAAATCTGGAGGCCCACGCGCGTCCCGCGGACCCTGCCGCGCCCCCGCCGGCCCAGCGTGCTCAGGTCCCGCCCGCGCTGCGCCCCGCGCCAGACCCAGGACGCAGCGCCCGTGCGGGAAGGCGGTTAGGGTTAGGGCCGCACAGCCCCGGGCTGGGAGGGGCGGGGGCGGCGGTGCCGGAGGCCGGGCCGCCCACCAGAACGTCCATCATCCAGGCCTCGTGTCGCTTCCTGTTTCCCTGTAAGAATCCCATATATAAAATACTGAAACTATTGTAATAAACGTGGACTCTACCTAATTAAGAAAATGTAGAAAAACGAGAAACGTGCGACAGCGCTAAGGCAGACAGGGAGGCGCCTTCGCAGGGCAGTTGGGCCCCAGCAGTCGCGGAAAGTCTTGTCCCACCCCCGGGGCAGCTTGGCAGCTTTGTTTCAACAGTGAAAACCCAAAAACCCGTGTGGTCGAGTAGACCAAGGCCAGTTAGGATTAATTCACGTGCACGTTCTGTACAGCAGTTACAGTTAAAGGCCAGACCTAGAGCCACATGGAGTTTTTTGTTTTCTACGACAGGGTCTCACTCTGTCGCCCAAGCTGGAGAGCAGTGGTGTCCTCGTAGTTCACTAACTGGACTGCTGGGCTCAAGTGATCCTGCTGCCTCAACCTCCCAAGCTGCTGGGACTATAGGCCTGCGCCACCACACCCAGCCTGATTTTAAAAACTACATTGAACGACAATGCAGGTGACTTAGTACAGTGCATGTGATTTATGTAAAATTTTACAAGCCAGCGGTACACATTATTTGTGGGACCTGACCCTGGTAGACAAGGTTTGAAACTAGGGACAGAAATGGATGGAAATGGGGAGAGGGTGCAGACTGGCCTTCAATGCTGTCACTTTGTTCAAAAAATGGAAAATCTTTGTGAATAGTTTTTTCTGCAAAAAAAAAAAAAGGAAAATCTGAATTAATACTTTGTGTTTCTTAGGTCTGAATAGAAGATTTCAAGGTGTTTGTTACATTATTCTCAGTATTTTTATGCTTTTTTCCCCCAAAATATTTTAATTTTAATTTTTTTTTTTTTGAGACAGAGTCTTACTTTGTTGCCCAGGCTAGAGTGAGTGCCGCGGCGTCAGCCTAGCTCACAGCAACCTCAATCTCCTGGGCTCAAGCAATCCTCCTGCCTCAGCCTCCCGAGTAGCTGGGACTACAGGCACGCGCCACCATGCCTGGCTAATTTTTTCTCTCTATATATATTAGTTGGTCAATTAATTTATTTCTATTTTTGGTAGAGACGGGGTCTCGCTCAGGCTGGTTTCGAACTCCTGACCTCAAGCAATCCGCCTGCCTCGGCCTCCCAGAGTGCTAGGATTACAGGTGTGAGCCACCGAGCCCAGCCTCAAAAATATTTTTCAAGTTAGCTTTTTAGTTCTGAGAACTTTCTGCCTTGCCCTCAGGGCACAGAAAGGTTCTGACTCCTGCTCCAGAGGGGCACAGGCCAGAGAGCAGGGGTCCCTGTGGCTGCAGTCTGCGTTAGGAGACAAGTCATGGGGTGTGGAGGTGGCGGCTGCAGCTGACCGGGCGCACAGACCTGTGGGCCCCCGGGGCTTTCAGGAGGGCTCTACTGCCCTCACCCAGATCCTTGGGCAAGAGCCTCGGGTTGGTCCCTGCTGTGCCCGGGCTGGCCCCAGTGCGTGCTGAGCAGCACCCTCAGGGACACAGCCCCCACCAGAGGGGGGGCTCCTGCAGCAGCCCAAGACCAACGCTTATCCCAGAGGTGGGGAAATTGCCAGAAGAGCCACAAGGGCCCAGGGTAGCCACCCAGGCTGCAGCCGGCACTGCATCCAGGTGAGCCTACTGGGTCCAGGCTAACCTGCTCCTCCCCCTGCCCACGTGCTGCGGTGAAGGGAATCTCGGAACATACCCAGTGGCTGTGGCTCCTGGAGGGCTGGGTGGGAGGATGGACTCTACCCTGAGAAGTCAGGGCACAGGGTAGGTCACCCTGACTTGGAGACGTCCAGGCAGTTGGTGCAAAGCTGCTGCTGCAGCCACATGTCCAGGTACCCTGGTAGGGCAGGAAGCAGGACAACCCTGGGAGATCTGTTTCTTATGGCCAGGACACCAGGTAGACATGGAGACAGACCTGCCTGAAGGTCAGCCAAGAACACAGGCTCAGCTGCAGTGGTCCCTGCCCCAGAGGACAGGAGGGCTGACCCGCCTGTATCAGAGCACTGCTGTCCAGATGCCCTCTGCCTCATCCTGCCTCCACCGCCAGCTCAGGACGGAGGCCTGTGGTGTGGCTGAGGGCTCAGGCCCAGAACTGGCTTGCAGTGGTGCTGTGTGCTCACGGACAGCAGTCTGCTCTCCTGGAACTGAGGCCAGCAGAGATGGTCAACAGCAGGCACAAGAGGGTGGCAGGGAGGGTTCTCGGAGGCCCAGGCAGGTAGGAGCTGGCAAGGTCAGCAAGGTGGACAGCTAGCTGAACCAAGGGTTGTTAGCCAGTGGCTTGGATTGGCCACCAGGGCCGTCACTGGGCACGAGTAAGGTGTTAGCTATTCTGGGCAGCCAGCCTCGGGCTCCAAGAAAGCCGCTTGGGCTTCAGCTGTTGGGAGCTGCACATGCCCCCCGAGGGCTCCAGAACCTACAGTCCGTCCTGAGCTGGCGGTGGAGGCAGGATGAGGCAGAGGGCATCTGGACACAGTGCTCTGATACAGGCCGGTCAGCCCCTCCTGACCTCTGGGGCAGGGACCACTGCAGCTGAGCCTGTGTTCTCTGCTGACCTCAGGCAGCTCTATCTCCATGTCTACCTGGCGTCCTGGCCGTAACAGATTTCCCAGGGTTGTCCTGCTTCCCGCCCCACCCAGGGTACCTGAACATGTGGATGCAGCAGCTTCTTTATAAACCTCAGCCAACAGGTCCCTTTCTGTCACTGCAGTCTTGGCATCCAGAAAATGGAAGTGAAAACAGAACCAAGGGGAGGGGGTGGGTCCACACTTGGACCAGGCAGGAGGGAAGTGAAGTCCCAGCCCCCAGGGGGCCCAGGAGGGGTCCCAAGGTCAGCTGCCCCCTCAATCCGAGACTCACCAAAATCAGGATTCTGCAGGAAATCAGTGAATAAGACATGCACATGGTCTGCAGTGAAAACATTTATTTTTACAACAGATATCTTTATTTTAGGTCAACATTCAGACACACAAGACAGCGATCACCATGCGACACCAGCCTGGCCCTTAGATGTGCATGTGGGAGCCAGGATTGGCCAGGAGCTCTGACAGCCTGCACCCAGCACGGTCCATTCCAGTAAGAGGACAAAACCAGTGCATGGACAATTGGCTTCCATGCATCTGTATTTAATTTTAAAAACAAGGTATGTTATGTTTCAGTGTAAACTTCCTCCCCTCATTTGGCTTGAAACATTAACCCCATTTTCCAGGAAAACAAAATCTACCCACGGGTGCTGCCTGTAGGAGCCCTGACCCCTTCCCTGGAGGACAGTGGTGGCCTCCGACCCCCTGCCGTCCCTCCCAGGGTGGGCCTGGGGCCAGGGCGGGGCCTTCCCAGCCTGCCCTACAGGCAGCTTCCCCCCACTGTATCTGCTGCTTGGAAAACTGGTTTGATGCCTCCAGGGAGGGAAGGGTTTCCAGTCACCACTTAGATTCACAGGGGGACACACACCTGTGGACCAGGTGAGGATGACAGCCCCCAGGGATGGGCATGTGTTCGTGACAGTCACCCTCACCGCTCCCTGCACACCACGGCTGAGGCGTTTCCTTCTGTGTGCCTGCCGCGGGGAGACCCAGTCCCTGTCCAACTTGCCAAGAAACCAGAGGCCATTTTAGAGCCAACTTTTATTGTACTTGTTGCTTCACTGCCAGACAGCAGCATGACACACCTGCTGCGTGTTATATACATATACACATATGTACACACACGGACACATACCACAGCCCACACTCACAGTATGTGACAACGCAAACCGTGCTTGTACGGACAGTAATAAAGTAGCTTTTGCCAATTCCACAGGAGGATGACTCACAACCAAAACAACAGGTCAGTCCTGTGCCACACGGCGCACAGCTCAGAACACGGGGACAGGAATGAGATCAGTCGCTTTTTATACCCTTAGGAGCCCCCCTGCAGCAGGTGCACCCAGAGCCAGGAGAGGATGGACAGGACCCACCCTGTGCTCTACCCGCTAGCGCCAACCTCGTCTGGTGCGGGGAAGCGGGCACCTCCCAGACCACCAGCTGCATGGAGAGAAGTCCCAGCACGAGGCTCACCCGGAACAGACTGCCACGGGCCCCGCAGGACAACGGCACTGCTACTGGTCAGAACCTCTGAGGACAGTCCTGACTGCTCTATGGGCCCTTTCCTGGACTGGACCCTTGGGCCAAGTCCAGCAACTGATAACAAGGAGACAAAGCCTCCTGCCAACCACGCACACTTGGGTTTTTTCTCTAAAAGGTCCCCATTGGGTGTTGGCTGCATTGACTGAACATCAGAGAACTAGGGAAGTTCACAAACATTAAGCAGTAATATCTAAAGCAATTTAGAAATAAAGCGAAAAGGAAGACAAGAAAAGCCCACGTCACTGAGTGGGAACGGAAACCTACACATCAGCAGCTACCGTGGAGGGACCGCTCCTCACAACTGGAGGGTCTTCAGCACACACCCACCCCAACACTCCCCTGGCAACACGCCGGCCACGCCACCCGCAGCCCAGAGTGGGGCTGGGGTGCTCCTGTCCCGACCATGATCAGGCAGAGGTGCTGGGCGCTGCAGGGCGTCCTGGCCAGGTAGCAGGTCAACAGGAAGGGGCTCAAGCTGCCCCTCAGACACACCAGCTCTGTTTATTAAAAGGGAAACAAACAGTCCACTCAAGAGAAAGGGAAATGAAACCGGGGAGATCTGTTTCCTTGAATCAAAACACAAAGCCTTATAACCGATGGAGTGAAACATGGAAAAGGGGCTTTGCCTCAGGGTCAGTTGGTGGGAAGAGCCCCAGGCCCTGGCTGTCTGGATTCCACTGTGGTAACGGTCATCACCATGAGAACTGTTGTCACGGCCATCCTTGATTTATATTTAGTTTTCACAAATTACACAGGGGCCTGGCTTTCGAAAACTTCCAGACCTGCTGCTCTTTTCTGCTATACCCGCTGCCGGGGAGCTGTGCGACTCAGAGGAGCAGTCAGTGGGTTCTGGAACTGGGAGGCCACCTGGCACGGGGCCCACTAGACAGTGAAAGGGCCTGGGCGTGCTCCAGCCACAGAGCTGCGTGCAGACCCCCGAAGGCCAGGTGGAGCCTGGCTCTCGGCCATTCCGGGGAAAGCAACTCACTTCCTAAGCTGTCTCTGGAACAATCACCAAGGCTGCGGCAGGACCGCAGATGGAATCCTCTGGGGTCAGCAGAGGAGGTTCCCTGTTATCTCGCCTCCTCCCTTGCTCCAGGATGGGTAAAACAATGAGAGGTTTGATTTTTAACAAATTATTTCTAACTTAATAACGTAGTGCAGTGCATATCTTCCCTCTCACCGAAAGTCTTCATGATCATTTTAATGAGTAAAAAGCAAAGCAAAATGGAACAAGCTGCCCCAGGACCTGGTGCTGGCAGCCAGCTCAGGGCCCACGTCGGGTCCACAGGGGGCCAACTGGGCCCCCCCTCGGGCAGCACCTTCCTGACAGTCCTCTCACAGTCCTGGGGGGCGGAGCCAGCAGGTGGGCGGGAGGAGTGGGCTTCGGGACCACTCTCTGGTTTGGCCCAGCCAGGCCAGCAGAGGCACAGCCTGGTCCTTGCCTCCATCTCCACTGCAAGTTCGGAAGACACTCGGTGCAGCCAGCGGCAAGTGCTGCAGACACCAGCCCCCGGACTCTGCTCCGGGGCCAGGGCGGGGGCAGCTCCGAGCCCCTCGGCCTAGCTACTGGCCTCTCTGGAGCCCAACCCTCCCGTAGCTGAGGGACCTTTGGTCCAGCCAGCCCATCCTTCGGGGACCCAGCATCTCTAGTCCCGCCTGATCGTCGGGGACGGGCGAAGGCGAGTGGCGTCGGGGAGCTCTGGCCAACACAGTCGCCAGGGCAGGGTACAGGCAGCCGTGCCCCACACCAGAACTCATAGTCCCTCTGACTGTGACTGATCAGATTGGTCCTACCATTTGTGGTTCTAAAGGTCCAGAAAGGATTTATTACAAAAAGGACAGGTGGCTTGAAGGAATGTGGAGGATGACCCAGGGAGAGGGAGGGGACACATGGCCCTGACAAGCCAGCTCGCTGCCTGGGAAGGGGCAGGGACGCAAACGACCTTCCACACACTGGCGAAGGACACAGCTCCAAGGACAGGAGCCTCACAGTCCCTGTGACAAGGAGACTCAGGCTAGAAACACCGTGCAGAGAACGTGGCTTCAGTCTCAGAAGGGCCCCGCCTACTCCTTCCACAACAGATTTACCCACAGGAAAAATCCCACCGCGAGGCCCTGTCAACAAGGCGAAGAGATCCCACGTAAACCGTGCCCGACACAAACACGTGGAACGGACGAGGATGCTGGTGGTACCCGGGAGGACGTGGCCCAGCCCTTCCCTGGCAGGTGACATCAAAACTTTGCGAGGCCTTGGGGCTGGGGAGCACAGAGCGCAGACCAGACCCTGCGGCCGACGCAGAGACGCAGCCCCGCCAGGTGGCTCCTGCCTCCAGCTGCTGAGAACACAGGGCAGGAGGGGGCAGCTCCTTCCTTTCCTTGCCCACCTGGCCGGGCAGCACCTGGCGGCTGCGATCAACCCTCAGCGGACCGACCTGACCGAGAGCCCCCAGGCAGCTCCACCGTCCGGGTGACACGGCCGTGCCACGCACATCCACAACACAGACATGGAACATAACCCCATACATGCTATTAAAAAAGGAAAAACAGAAGAAGACCGTAGCTACACTGCTTTAAATACTGCATGCTACGCACTTCGTGGGTCAAGGGTCGATGCTGGGCGGGCGTGGAGGTGGCGGGAGGGGCCCAGCGCAGCCGCGGCAGGCAGGCAGCAGCCTCCCCATGTCTGTGACTACAGTTCATGATTCTAAGGTTGGGGTGGCCAGGCGCTGATCGCCTGTGACCACGGCTTCTCCTAGACTTAGTTGAACCCGTCAGTGTGGTAGCTGGGGTGGGAGTCGGCCGTGAGCTGGGTGGTCTCGGTGGCAGACGCTGGCTGTATGACGATCGGCGTGTCTGTGGCCTCTGAAAAGCAAGACACACGGGCACTGCAGGAGGGCAGCCGCCTGGCCGTGCCCGTCAACACCGTCCTGTGTGGCAGACACGGGCACTGCAGGAGGGCAGCCGCCTGGCCATGCCCGTCAACACCGTCCTGCACATGATGTCCGGTCACCTGGGCAGATGCTCCACAGGAGAGGCTCCTCGCTGACCTCCACCCGATACGGCTTCCTCAGGCACCTCCAGTCACCGCCAGCCCTTGGCCCTCAGCCCCTGCCCGCCTGCTTGCCACCCGCCCCGCCTCTGCCCCTGGGATCTATGGCTACCGCAGGTCACGGGTGGGGACAGCCCTCTGCGCCTGCTTTACCTCCAGGGTCCATGTTCACACCTCAACAGTCCCAGCTGCCACACAAACACTCGCGGCACAGTGTCAGTGCCCTCCTGTTTGACAAGACAGGTTGACAGCGTTCAGGGCCCGTGCTGGCTCCACCCCACGCACGCACGCACGCGGGTCCTGGGACAGGCACTCACCCCTCTCGTCCGACTGCAGTTGTGCCTCCAGGTCCTCGGGGGACACGTAGAACTCCGTCTCCTCGCCCTCGGGTGCTTTGGGCTTACACTTCCCGCAGCAGCAGTTGAAGCAGCAGCACAGGCAGCAGCAGCAGTAGCAGCACGTGAGGAGGCCACAGAAGACAAACAGGGCCTGGGGAGACAAGAGGCTGGCGTTGCACGGCTGCCGAGACCACCGGCAGGCCGTGGCGCATTTCTCGCCAAGAGCATTGTTTTCCAGATGAGTATAAAGAAAGAACTGAATAGGAGAGACAGAAAGACATCAGTTGCTTAAAGAAAAATGTTTAAAGGTGGGAATCACAGCTGACAAGTAAAAGCCAGAACTGGGCTTCCTGCAGCCACGGGATAACTCACACCCTTTGGCCTTACGTGAGATCCACAATGGGAATAAAATAAGGAAGCGAAGAAATGCTAATAAGAAATGAAGGCTTTTACCCATCCTTTTAAGAACCTGGAGTCACTTATGAAAGAACATTGTGTTACACGATGGGCTTGCGCAGACCTCGCTCTGCATCCTGCGCACTTTGATCGTGACCACGGGCCACCAGCCAGTCAAGGACCCTCACCCACCACAGGACAAGGAGAAAGAAGCCATTTCTCAGGAGGTGAAGTGTTTGAATCAAATGCACTGGTCCTTCAGGTCTGAAGTTCCAGCAGGCAGGTCACCACCTGCTGCTCACCTTGGCCCACCAACTGGACAGCACAAAGTAGGTGTTCACGTTCTCCTCCCCAAACTGCTCCGCCACGTAGAGCCCCAGGGAGCCGTACTTGTCGTAGATGTTTCTTTTTGTGGCGTCTGTCAGGATGGCGTGGGCGTTGTTGATCTCCTTAAACTTGTCTGCTGCCTCTGGGTTATCAGGGTTCTTGTCAGGGTGATATTTCAAGGCAAGTTTCCTGCAAACCAAAATCATTTCCTGGCTGTATCTTGGTTTCCAGTTTTACACTTACCCACTGGAGGGCCCAGTGGAAAAAATATTTACCCATCGCCACCCCACTTTCCAGCTGTCCAGAGTTCCGGAACGTCAGGGTCGTTTCAGGGCAACCCCCCCTCACCCTGACCCACCCACAGAGGGCCCGAGGTGAGTGAGGGTCTGGGCCCGGTAAGCTCAACAGTGCAAAGACAAACCCCACGGCTGAGCGCTGGTGTCCCAGCTGGCTAACTGCACACTGTCAAAGGTGCTGGTGAGCACATCGAGTGTAATGACAGCATTTTAACTTCAGTACGTTTCATAGCAAAGTACACAAAGGAGGACTAATTGAATTATCTGGATTAATGATGACGTCTGTCTCTTACAGGTCACTAAATGCAATTATACCTGAGAGTTAAGTTCTTCAAGTTCAACTGGAAGAACACAACAGAGCAAAGAGACTCTGTCATCACTGTGTTAAAACAAGTAACTCCTGCAGCCATTCCAAAGCTCTGCTCGCACCAAACCCTGACTCCCTGAGGAAGTGTGGGCAGTCTGTAAGATCTACAGAATGCTATTTTCTGTCCCCAAGAGAGCATTAATGTAACCATTTCAGGCTATAAGGAGCGCACTATGCACACAAAGATGCAACAGAACCGTTACCAGTTGAATACCAAGTCCTCCAGGAAAAAGTACCAGCAGTAGTTCTTGGTAAAATGCTGACTAAACCAAAGGAGGGCTTCTTTGTCCTTCTAAGGGAACATGGTGGCCTATGCATGGCCTCTTACCGATAGGACTTTTTGATGTCATCTGAGGTTGCATTCTTGTCCAGCCCAAGAACGTGGTATAGTGAGTCCCCCGAGGTAGAGAGTGAGCGCTGTCTCTGGTCTGCCATGTTAGGCTAATCTACAAAAAAAAATTTTTTTTAAATCATCAGTCTGGCGCGGTGGCTCATGCCTGTAATCCTAGCACTCTGGGAGGCCGAGGCAGGCGGATTGCTTGAGGGCAGGAGTTCGAAACCCAAGCAAGAGCAAGACTCTGTCTCTACCATAAATAGAAATAAATTAACTGGCCAACTAATATATATATAGGAAAAAATTAGCTGGACATGGTGGCAGATGCCTGTAGTCACAGCTATTCAGGAGGCTGAGGCAGGAGGATTGCTTGAGTCCAGGAGTTTGAGGTTGCTATGAGCTAGGCTGACGCCACGGCACTCACTCTAGCCTGGGCAACAAAGCGAGACTCTGTCTCAAAAAAAAAAATTATCAACAAGTATAGATGAAAATATCAAGTGTGGAGCTGATGGACTTTATCCCATAAGACTGTTCAAAGCAAAAATCAAAACACTATCTTGTGGGGTTTATAATATTTACAGATAGACCCCAGAGTGTATGGGCATGTGGAGGAGCAGTCCCACCCTACACGGGACATGACAAACTACAATATTGCTACCCTAAGCAGATCCTGAAAAATTAAAGATATGTATTTTTTCTTTTTTATTGAGACAGAGTCTCACTCTGTTGCCCGGGCTAGAGTGCCATGGCGTCAGCCTAGCTCACAGAAACCTCAAATTCCTGGGCTCAAGCGATCCTTCTGCCTCAGCCTCCCAGGTAGCTGGGACTACAGGCATGTGCCACCATGCCCGGATAATTTTTTCTATACATATTTTTAGTGGTCCAGATAATTTCTTTCTATTTTTAGTAGAGACAGGGTCTCACTCTTGCATAAGCTGGTCTCAAACTCCTGACCTTGAGCGATCCTCCTGCCTTGGCCTCCCAGAGTGTAAAGGTATGTATTTTAATACCTAGAGCAACCCCTACATAAAAAATAAGAAGAGGTATAGCTAAAAAGTTAAAAGATAAATGAAAATGAAACTCTTAAAGTCAGGGATTGTCAGAATAGATAAAAATGTAATACTCAACTCTAATTTTAATACTTTCTTCAGAAATCAACAGACATAAAAAAAAAAACCAATCACGAAAAATACTGATGATTTAAAACCACACCGTTGGCCGGGTGCGGTGGCTCATGCCTGTAATCCTAGCTTTCTGGGAGGCCAAGGCGGGAGGACAGCTGCAGCTCAGGGGTTCAACACCAGCCTAAGCACCATAAGACCCTGTCTTTAGAGACAAGAAAGAAACAAACAAAAAAAGATAAAACCACACTCTCAAACCACCATGACCCAACTGACAGTCACAGAACACCAACATCTACAAAAGAGACACTCTTTAAGCACACACTGTACACCGACCAAGACATACCACATGCTGGGCCTTAAGAGAGATTCCAATAAATTTTTATATTAAACAACATACTTCTTCTACATACTTCTAAATAACCATGTAGCCCAAAGAAGAAAACACAAGGGAAATTATAATTTTTGTTTTTTTAAGAGACAGGGTCTCCCTCTGTTGCTTAGGCTGGAGTGCAGTGGCCTGATCACACCTCTCTTGAACTCCTGGGCTCAAGTGATCCTCCCACCTCAGCTTCCAGATTAGCTGGGACTACAGGTGTATGCCACTGAGCTCAGCTAGAAAAAAAAAAAAATATATATATATATATATTTTTTTTTAGGGGGATCAAACCACGGGGCTTTATTATACACTCGTGGACGAGGTTCTGGGGCCCCAAGAGCGGGGGCCCCGGAAGTCGCCGAGAAAATATATTAAATTGAATAATAAAATACAACATATGTGATGGTTAATTTTATGTGGCACCTTGACTGTGCCACTGGGTGCCCCGATTAAACATTATTTCTGCATTTGTCTGTGAGGAGGTTTCTGGAACTTGTGGACTCAGTGAAGTAGACTGCCCTCCCCAACATGGTGAGCCTCATTCAATCCCTGGATCCTTGGGGGTAGGGAATAAAAAGAAGAGGTAGAGGAGGAGGAACTTGCCTGTTCCTTCTTCCTGCCTGTCAGGATAAGCTGCAACACTGTTCTGCTCCTGTCCTTGGACTGGGATTACTCACATACCCGCTTCTCTCTCACACCCATCCCCCCACACACACACCCCTCCCTCTCCCCTCCCCCCACACCCTCCCTCCCCTGCCCCCCCACACCCTCCCTCTCCCACATACACCCCCTCCCTCTCCCACACACCCCCTCCCTCTCACACACACACTCCTCCCTCCCTCACACACACTCCTCCCTCTCACACATCTTCCTCTCACACACACCTATCTCTCACACACATCTCTCCTCTCACACACACACCTCCCTCTCACACACTCCTCCCTCAGACACACCCCTCCCTCTCTCACACACCTCCCTCCTCTCTCACATACCTATCTCTCACACACATCTCTCCTCTCACACACACACCTCCCTCTCACACACCTTCCTCTCTCACACACATCTCTCCTCTCACACACTCCTCCCTCAGACACACCCCTCCCTCCTCTCACACACACACCTCCCTCTCTCACACACACCCTCCTCTCTCACACACACCTCTCTCTCTCACATACCTCCCTCTCTCACACACACCCCCCTCTCACACACCTCCCTCTCACACATACACCACCCTCTCTTACGCGTACACACCTTCCTCTCACACACACCTATCTCTCACATACATCTCTCCTCTCACACACACACCTCCCTCTCACACACTCCTCCCTCAGACACACCCCTCCCTCTCCCACACACACACCTCCCTCCTCTCTCACACACACCTCCCTCTCTCTCACACACACCTCCCTCTCTCACACGCACCCCCCTCTCTCACACACCTCCCTCTCTCTCACACACACTTCCCTCTCACAACATACACCACCCTCTCTTACACATACACACCTCCCTCACATACACTCCCTCTCTCACACACACCTCCCTCTCACACACTCCTCCCTCTCTCACACACACTACCCTCTCTCACACACACCACCCTCTCTCACACACACCACCCTCTCTCACACACACCACCCTCTCTCACACAACACCTCCCTCACATACACTCCCTCTCTCACACACACCTCCCTCTCACACACCCTCTCTCACACACACCACCCTCTCTCACACACACCACCCTCTCTCACACACACCACCCTCTCTCACACATACACACCTCTCCCACACACACCACCCTCTCTTACACATACACACCTCCCTCACATATACTCCCTCTCCCACACACCCCTCCCTCTCCCACACACACACCTCCCTCTCTCATACACACACACCTACCTCCCTCTCACACACCCCTCCCTCTCACACACCCCCACATACATGCCCCACTCCCTCTCTCACACACACACGCCCCCCCACACACCTCCCTCTCACACACACCTTCCCTCACACACACACACACACACACGCCCCTCACACACACCTCCCTCTCACACACACACCTCCCTTACACATGACCCCTCTCACACACACACGTCCCTCTCACACCCCTCCCTCACACACACATGCCCCCTCTCACACATACCCCTCCCTCTCGCACACACACTCCTCCCTCTCACACACACAAACCAGGCTAAGCTGTGGCACTATCTTCTCCTGCCCTGGGACTGGGATTACCCCCCAACTTTTTCTCAGTCCCCAGCCTGCAGACTCCAGGATCACATGAGCCAACTCCTCATAACAAATCTCCTTTGAAAAGGTAGGTAGAGACAGTAGAGACAGAGAAAGACATTAGTTGTTTTCCTGGCCAACACTGCACAAAACATTCATCAAGACCTAAGGTTCCACTTCATGATGCTACAAAATAGCAAAATAAACCCCCCCAAAATGGAAGGAAGGAAATAATAAAGAACAGCAACAAATGAAATAGAAAACAAACAACAGAGAAATTTAACAAAGCCTAAAGTTAGTTCTTCTGAAACAACAAAAAAAATTGATCAACAACTAGCCAGACAGACCAAGAAAAAGAGAACAGACATCAGCAACATGAGGAAAGAGGGTTCATCACTACAGATCCTAGAGGCATGAAAAAGATGAAAGAATATCATGAACTTCATGCCAAGAAATTAGAAAAGTTAGAAGAAATAGATAAATGCCTTGAAAATTTTACCAAAATTGACACAGAATGGACTATAATTATCAGTAAGACAGGGTAAACTTTATCAAAATATCACACATACCCTATAAATATATAACTATTACGTACCCATAATTTTTAAAAAACTTTTTAAAAAACAGAATGAAATAGAAAATCTGAATAGCCCTATATCTATTAATAAAACTAAATTTGCGATAAAAAAATCTCCACCCACCCTGAGCAACACAGCAAGACCCCATCTCTACAAAAAATACAAAAATTAGCCAGGCCCGGTGGCATATGATTATAGTCCCACCTACTTGGGAAGCTGAGGCAGGAGGATTACTTGAGCCCAGGAGTTTGAGGTTGCAGTTAGCTGTGATGACGCCACTGCACTCTAGCCAGGGTGACAGAGTGAGACCCTGTTTCAAAAAAAAAAGTCCCTGATAAACATGGATGCAAAAATCTTTAACAAAATATTAACATATTGAATCTAACAATATAGAAAAAGTTATATACATCATGATTAAGTAATGATTCCAGGATTGCAAGCTGGATTTAACATTTCAAAATAAATCAAGGAGATTCACTATATAGTAATGTATTGTATTCAGGATTTTTAGTAAATGAGTAGATTGTAGCTGCTCTTGCCACACAGGGTTAACAACTGGTTAACTATGTGAGATGATTGCTATGTTAAGTTGTTCGCTTGCCCTATGGTAACCATCTTACTATCTATGTATCCTGTAACATCAGGTGCATACCTTAAGTATACACAATAAAATTTAAAAAAACAAACAAAAAACCAGAATTCTATTTCCAGCAAAAACATCCTACAGAAACAAAGCTGAGCCAGGCACGGTGGCTCACGCCTGTAATCCTAGCACTCTGGGAGGCCGAGGCGGGCGGATTGCTCGAGG